AAGTTTACCCCAGGGGCTGCAATGACCTTTCACTTTGACTCTTTGCTTTCTATTAGACAGGTAGTCTTGTATAAGTAAAAGAGAATTTCTATCTACACCATAGGCATGTAGTTTTGCTAAAAGTAGGTTTTTTTGGTAAACAGTCAAAGGCTTTTGACATATCCATAAGGACAGCGCCAATATGTTTGTTCTTTTCCAGTTCTGTTTTCCAGTCATCAATAAGTCTAAAGAGAGCGTGCTGGGAAGAAAACTGTTTTATATATGCACATAGGAATTTCGAAAATTTTTCTTCAAGAAATGGAGAAATTTGAAGCTCTATTGCTTTTACAAATACCTTTGAAAGTGTCGTTAGTAGAATTATTGGTATATAATTTTCCTTATTGAAAGAATATTTTCTCTTATTGACAGGTGAGACTATAGCCCTTTTTAAAAAGTTTGGAAAAGTTCCTTGAATAATGCATTTATTTATGATTTTCAAGAGGGGTTGTAGGATGATATCAACTGAGATCTTTAGAAATTTTGCATTTATCATGTCGTGGCCGTGTGCTTTTTGTGATTTAGCTTCACAATTATTTGTCTTAGGCTTTCTTTGGTGATCGGTTTAAAGATTAAGGTTGAGTTATTTGTTAGGAAGTTGTTGATTGTTTTTATGCTTGAATGCCCTTTAAAGTATCTTATTATTTCAGTTATTGTTGAATTCTCAGTCCGGCCTTTATGGATTGAATTTGTGGTTTGACCAATGCTAACGAAATGGGTATTCAGAATCTCAGCAACTGACTGTGGATCACTAATAAGACAATCATTCTCAGAAATTGTGATATCTGAATCGCCTTGACCTTTAGTGAAAAAATATGGTTTTAATTTTTTCCAAAATGTTTTTGAATCTAGCATGCCTTCTTGGCAGATTTTTGTGAAGTAATTCATGGTGCTCTTTCAGGTTATGGGAAAAATTTCAAAAATTCTAAAAATAGATTTTCGTCAGTGGCGTACCCAAGAGGGGGAATAGGGGGTCCGGACCCCCCCCCACTTTTCTAAAATATGGTCCTCGAGATTTGTCCAAAAACGATGTAAAACTTATTGGGGGGGGGGGGGTAGTATACTGTATGCATGTGTCAATAACAATTGTAAAATGCTTTGCTATTTACCGTAGCTAACATGAATAAAAAATGGGGGAAAATTTTGCAAAAAAGGCGTTTCCCCGCATTTGCGAGTGTTTTAAGGGCGTGGTCCCCAAAACATTTCTCTGAGGGCTACGCCCCGGACCCCCCCACTGATGCAGCCCTGGGTACGCCACTGATTTTCGCGGCGTCATTACTTGACAACTCTGTTAGTTCTTCGTTATGAATACATCAGATATATTTTGGGCGTGTTACTTTAAAATCACATCTGTGTACGATAAGGTTAAGATAAGACAGCAGCTGATGTGAATAATTTGCGGAAGAACACCGTAGTAGGAGCAAAAGTACATTTGAGAGTTGATGTATCCTCATGGTGTGATGATGACAGTCAACCGTGATCAACTATTGTCTTATAGGGGTGAAGACCCTTCTGGTGTTAAGGGTCCTTTTTTATTTTAGTACTTTAGAGGCACCGCGGAGTAGGGGGGGCTGGGGGGGGGGCTTTTGCCCACTTTTTGCAAAATATGCCAAATATCAAACTACCAGAAAAGCCTCTTTTCATGCGGTTTTAGCCCCCCCCCCACTTTATTTAGACCCCCACTTTTCTCAACGCTCCGCGGTGCCTGCTTTAGGGTCCTAGGTCTCAGGGTCTTGGGGTCTGGTTTTTACGGTATGTCAGTGTGATGCTGGCTACGTAGGGCGCACAACCCAAAGATTAGAGGATTGAATAAAACAGCATGTCCCTTCCATTATTAGAAACACAGCTCTCCCCCAAGAGAACAGCCTCTTTGGTCTTAGATTAAAGACTCATAGCTAACAATGGGCCTTTGCGAGCGTGGCGACGATCCAAACAATGGCAGTAAACTTCTACGGATTAACCAAAATTGATTTCAGACTGTATGAAAATGCATTATGGGATGCTTGCGTAGCGCAATGGCTCATTGTTAGCAGTGAGTCTTTAAAAAAAAGAATTAAAACGTGATTTTACTAACAAAGGCGGAATTTACTGGAAAATCCAGTTGGTGCAAAAAACTATAATGGCGACACGTTTCGTATTATTGGTAAAGCCCGATCGTCGTTTCATCTGGCAGTTTCGGAAATTACATACATAAACATGAAACAACTGTTAAATTAAAGGATTAGAGATGAACGCACTTGAACGCACTTAGTCGCCTACTGGGAACCAAGCTTTACAAGCAAAATCGCATCAACTAGAGTCTTTATATTTGCCAATTTGAACACTACAATAGATTTTATAGCAATTGTTGGTGCCAAATGCCTGTAGAATTCGTTCCCAAAAAATAATAAAAATAACAAATTCGTATAAATCCATCCTTTCTTTGAGTCTCTTTGCATCATCTTGCTCATTTTTGTTTTTTGATGTCGGTAATGCGAGTTAAAACTGCCATAATATGTGGATATCTATCACCGAATATGTTAACTCGAAATAATTAAAAACATTCTTCAATGTCCCAAAGAAATAATCATTCTTCGGTACTGCCCCCACAGCTTCACTAATGACCAGATTCAAGTGATGGCTGTAGGTTGCCGGGTGTTTGTTAAAAGCGTGACGTGACCAGTCGGTGAAAAGTGTTTGGGAACAGTGGCGTCGCTTGACCTTTCAGACTAAGAGGGTGGAAGGAGGGTCATGTAATGGAAAAATTTACCGACGAAGACATAGGTGGAGAAGAATTTAGGGGCTATTTCACCTAATGATAGATGATTTTACCGACAAACTAAGGATTTTATAAACGATAATTAAAGATAACAGATAAACTACCCAGGCATTCCCACTTGCAAAACATAAACCCTCAGCTAGCTGTGTGAAGACAAGTCAAAATGTCTAAATGTCGCGTTTTATAGACTCTCGGACATGCATTCAAACACTAAGATGATTATCATTTTTGCTCTTTTATCACTTGTGAATTATATGCAATTGTAAGATGTTGTAACCCTCTCTTGAAAATTATGTAAAGGCCATTGTTAGCCACACTATCCGATCAAGTATCGCAACAGGGTCGCAACTCAAGTTCCTTTGCATTTTCGTGACACAAATTTCGCAATTCTTTTACGTGTACATTGTAGGTGTTCTATGCTTTCAGTTTATGGCCTCTCGTTAGTCATTTCAAGTAATCCAGATTGTATAGCTCTTTTCAAAATTTCCATGTTAGCAGAAAAGGCAGTTATGTTAAAGGCAGTTATGTTAAAGGCAGTATGTCCGCCATTGTGGCCACAATATTCATGCATCGTTGATTCAATGCACAAATAAACAATCAGAATGAAGAACCATTATAGCGTAATTTTCTTGAGCATCACGAAGGGGACAGACTGCCTTTAATTGGCAATGTTTTATTGATCGCAATGTGCTAACAGTCACGAAATCGATTTCATGCGTTGCTACGGTTGAAGTTGCCTTATTTTGGCTTTACATTTGTATCTTGCTTGTTGGTTGATGAATGAAATATTTTCTGAATTTTTTGGCTTTTTTATGCTTAAACGCTCAGATCAAAATCTTTGATCTTGGCGTTTAACTTTTTTGAGCTTTCAAGTGCGTTCATCTCCACCAAGTTAAACGCCCGGAGCATTCACAATTGGCGTTTAACTTGAACGCTTAGAGATAAACGCACTTTATCGCACTTAGTCGCCTAGTGGGAACTAAGCTTTAGTTAGCTGCCAGGTTAGTTACAAGCTCGTGCAGGCAAGGAGTCACTCACCGCAATCGATGAACAAACTGCTTTTGGGGCTATTTGACAGAATTGGGTGCTAGATCCAGTGAATTATGCCTCTTTGGACCTTCTTTTATTATCTATTTTCTGTTAATGAATGATTGTACGCCCCATTTTTCATGGGAATTAATCTCTTAATTCGAGTTAATACCCGCGGGGAAGGCGCTTATTCTTGTCCAAGGGTCGTGTTATCTTGCACGTACATCCCTGCTAGGCCCTCAATCATAAATTGTTATCTATTATTTTGCTAATTACCTCGTGGTGCTTTTACAAGGCAGTGCTCTAATCTGCGTGTAGTTTTTGATCTGGCAGCTCGTGGGTTACGCCACAATGTATGCATTTATTTCCCCTCCCAGTCCCACCCCTCTCTCAGTTCTTTTTTTCTTCTCTACCTGCCCCGACTACACTTCCTTTTGCCTCTCTCCCAGCTAGTCTTCTCACACAGTCATTCGATTGTGTGACAGATGTATCAGTCTGATTGGCAGGTTAAAAAACTGAGATAGTTTTTGCCTGATATCAAACACCGACCATAAATTACGTCATTGCTCAGGCAATACAAGGGCTGATGCACCGAAAGCCCAAATTGTTTTTCGTGAGATAGAGATTCACTTAGTTCATTTTTAGGGGCCCCGCGAAGGAATTGACCGGTTCTTGTATTTCAAATCTGGCGGTCTCCGACAAACATGAACGTATTTTAAACAAAAGAATAATAGCGGCCAGTGAGAACAGCCAAAAGTTGGAGCAAGCAAGATAAACGCGCAGCTGGAATACACTAGACATTTAATTGCCAGACAACTAAATGCCTCAGTGTGAACACAGCCTTAGAATCAGAGCTACTGGCATTTGCTAACGAGTTTCGCGTCAAAATAAAAGAGAAATGGACAGCTGTAGACTTGGTTGATTTGATGTTGGAAAGTCGAGCCAGCTCTTCATTTCCATAAGTCTACAAAGGTTTTTTTCTTTTTGCCACAATTCCTATCACTGTGGTTACAGCAGAGAGATCTTTTCGAGGCCCATATTGATTGTCTTGAAAAAAATTCATTGTGAAAGGGCACCCAGGCAAAATATTGTTAACGGCCCCAAACTGTACCGTTGCGCCACTGGACATAGGACAAAATCATGAAACAAAAATGTAAGGCAAAAGCAAAATGCATACCAGTATTTAATAGAATGATAGACTCGTCTGGTATCCTCCCATGTTTCTTCTCGTATCTTTGAAAGTCAGGAGGACCAATCAAGTAATCACTGTTGTTCTTCGACTCTGCGGTGACATCAATGACTGCTACTTTGCCTATAAGCTTCGATAATGGTACTTGGTCTGCAGACATTTTCCCCTGCACAAAATGTGAAGGCGCATCCATGTGTGTGCCACCATGTTCGGCAGCACTGAAAAAGTTCATTCCGTAGTAAGTTGCGCCAGAACCAGCCGTGATTTTCTGTGTAAACCTGAAGCGATTTGACACTGCTATAGTTGGCCAGTGTAATGTTGTGTTATCGAAAGTGTGTGTGAGGTCTTGAATTTTCAGTGCACCCTCTGCATTATATAAAGAGAGAAGAACCAGGCAAAGGCCTCTTGCAATCTTTCTCATCGACGTTGCCATGCTGCTTGTCTTCACGCTCTTTCGCCGTGCAACTGACTGGACACAACAAACAACTCGAAAAAATCGATTTATCTTTATTGTCCCATTGTTTTCGCCAATCAATAGTGTGTTCAATGAAGCATAACAATTCATTCCTGGAAACAAATATCTCCATTATTTATCCTCAAAAAATACCTCCATTGTCTTGCATGTGGCAGCATTTGTAGACTCAGGCGCAGGCTAGTCCTGCACAGGCTGGAAAGTAATGAGATCAGGTGTGGAAAACCCTCCCCACTCACATTTGGGGGCCCTGTCATGTCAAGTAAAGTATATGCCAGTTTGAAAACACGACGAACTTAAGGCCAAAAAGGCGTTTAATAATCCACTAAAACAAAAGTACTGGTTTCGAGAAAGATTATTTTGGCTCACAAAACGATACGTCACGCTTGCTCAAACGCGCTTTACAAAGGGGATGACCAAGAAGAAAGACGTTGTTCCAGACCGATAGACCCTTTGGCAGTGCCACGTCTACCCATGGGCCCCAATTTTGAAAGCCTTTAACGTGCTCTTGATTTCAATCTTGTGTTTGAATTGAGCCAGGGGGCCTTGTAAAGTAATGAATGGAATTAAGGGCGTGATCACAAGAGTTCTCAGCACGCTCTGACAAAAAAAGGCCTTTGAGTTTTGATTTTCTATTTTAATGTACTTTATATGTTTGCTCCCAAGTTGAGTTAGAATCTACTTGCTTTTTCTGCAAATTGATATTACATTGTTAATCTATTTGGAAAGCTTTCCTTTGAAATTGAGTGTTATGTATAGGTCTGAATTATACTACCAATAGGCATGGCAATTAAACATGCATAGTAACAATGTCCAGACCTCTACTTCCAAGTAAGGGGTCTGGAGCACAAGCTACCTGTACCTGCGCAACATCATGGCCGCCGAGAGGGAGGGAGGCAAGAGGAACAAATCGCCAAAGGGCCTCCAGGTATAGGGGGCCACATAAAGTAATGAATTGCATTTTAAGATAGAATTAATTTAAGGTAGGTTTTGCCAAAAAATAATAAAAAATTTTAAACGAACTAATAAATTTAGGCCAATCTTAAGGGCGTAGTCCCAGAAATTTTCTTTTCACTTTGCTCGAAGGACCTAGATACAGTGGGGCCGGGGGCCTTGCCCTCCCAAAAAAAACTTAATTGGTATAAGTCAAATACTTTTATCTTGTAAGATATGGCTGTTTTCAAACTTATTTATCGGGGCTGGCCCTCTTAAAAAAACTTAATTGGTAATAGTCAAATACTTTTATCTTGTAAGATATGGCCGTTTTCAAACATATTTATCAGGGCTGGCCCTCGCAAACAATAAATTGGCCTTTTTCTTGAATTATGGAGGCGCTTTAGAAGGTCGTGTACGAGACAACAAGTATAGAAGATCGCCAATTCCTAAAGGTGGACTCGAAATAACGATTTTCCTAATCGTTAATAAGAATAAGGCGCCAAGTTATGTCTTCAATAGAATGAAAGAATATCTGCAAGACTACTATATTGAGCCAGAGAAGATGATAGTATCTTCTGACCAAACTGAAGCCGAGGAGAGACTGGCCGCTGATGATTTGGACGAATATGGCCCTGAGGAGGAGAATACTTTGGAAATGGAAGAACAAAATCACCCTTCAGACATTGGAGAGGACAATAGTATCGTTATCGAAGATTAATGGATTTTATTTTGAAATACAGTAAGGCCACTTAAAAAGACGTAAGTTTATCATCTTTGTCAAATTTTAAGGATTAAGAAATCTTTTTATGGCCTTCAGTATGGACATTATTCCAGAAAGTCACTAAATGAGAACTGTAACAACGAAAGCAATCAACGCAGGATGAAAATTTGGCGCGCGTAAAGATGGTAACTTGAAGATTTCTTGAAGGGCCTAAAAACTAAGATTCTATTATAGAAAATAGATATTTTAACCACCTTTTAATTTTCGCTACCTCTTATTTTCGCCCCATCAAATATTTCCATAATTCGCCCCCTTTAATTCTCGCCCCCCTCCGGGGCGAAAATTAAAGGCAGGCGAAATTTGAAGGGACTAAGGTAGTTAACGCACACGCTTTTGCAAGTGAAAGACAACCGACCGATACATAAGTGGCTTAAGCCACCCTTCAATCAGCATTGGCCAATCAACAACACTGATACGACCCAGACGCTTCATGATTGGCCAATAGGCCGATAGTTGCCTGGCAGATGGCATAAGCCAATTAAGTGTCTTCCGATTGCCTTAAGCTTCCTTTTTATGGAGTGACCATTCTTATTATTCGTTATTATGGACTTTATCATTCTTTCATACAAAGTAATTTGACGTCAGCAAGTTAGTTGTAACAATACCGATTAGCGCAAGTTTGGAAAATAAGATGTATTATCTGGCCGTCATGAAGAGCTGTCGCTTTTGAAGTTGTTGTCTTTTTTAGTCCGTAAAAGAATCAGCGAGAACGGGATGGTTAAGTGTCCCACCTGTAGGTTCTAGAGCAAGCTATGATCTTTGCAAGATAAAATAAGAAACAACGAATTTTTTAAAAACTAATATAAAATATATGTTGTACATGGGCTAGAAAAGGAGGCTATTTTTCGATGTAAATATGATGGAATGCACAGTATAAACCCTAGGAGAGGTATTGGTGAAGAAGGCCTTTTTTGAAGAAGAAACAGATATCATCAAAAGTTTATCAGTACTCAGAACCACTTAATTACTTATAATAAATAATACGTTAAACCCTTTTACCTGTATAGAGATAGAATTATCCCTATGGTTATAAATATGTTACACCTTACAAATACTCTATCAATTCACCCCAGCTACTACCGGTCCTAACTTTTACAGGAAGACGTACTGCAAGTTTCAATGCTTGTTCCATTTCTGTTTTCATGACGCTTGTAAACAGTTTATGTTCCTGAACAGAACATTCATAAATCAATTCATCGTGAAGTTGTAGGATCAGCCTCGGCTTGCAAAGCCAGTTTGCGTTCATTTGACGAGAGTCGTTCGTACTTCCAAAGGCAACGATCGGAACATTTGCATCATAAGGGCAATTATACGTGTTTGTTTTCTCCGGAAACTCTGCACTAATTCGCTTATCAATTTGAATCATTGCTTTTTTAACTAAGTCCGCAGCAGAACCTTGTATGGCAGTATTCACAGCCTGCCTTTCTGCAAGACTTCGCGACTGGGCATTTCTAGAATTGATTGTCGAAAAATACCTTTTTCTTCCAGACATTGTGAGGACGTAACCTTTTGCCCTGACGAAATCAACCGTCCGTTTCGTAAACTCCCTGATACCTGAAAACCGACATTTGAATTGTTCCATGAAGGCACTTGCCATATCCTCGTTGACATGTAGCTTTTCAGCGAGGGCTTTTGGTCCGATTCCATATATTATACCGTAGCATATATGCTTTGCGCTTTGTCGCTGTTGGTCATTTACTTCATTTATATGGCACTGATTTATTTCAGCTGCAATCATACGGAAAACGTCACCTTCACTATTCAGTATTGACAATAAGCGTTGATCACGTGACAAATGCGCTATGATTCGCAATTCTAGTTGTGAATAGTCAGCTGAAACCAGTATTCCCCCCTCTGCAGGTACAAAAGTTGTCCTCATGCTAATGTCGTGCTTGGCACCCTCATTAGGCCGATCACCTTCACCAAACGAAAGACGGGTACATTCTCTAACAGGCCTACGCGTGGAGTATGTCTTTTGAAAAATATCCTCTACGGCAGTACCTTCGCCATCCTGAACAATGTCAAAATCTTTCGGAACGTTTTGTATACACGGTTCAATGGCAATCATACGACCAGTAACAGTATGCAGTTGATAGCAAGAATGGATTCGAAACATCTTGGAACTTTGACAATATTCTTTAAGATGCTGCATCGGGTAAACGACTGATGTCAGAGCTTTGTTTACTTTCCTCCACTCAAGGACTACTGATGGCAATGGGTGAAGGTCCTTTAATTTCTCAAGAACACCTAGAAAAAACAAGAAAAATACTTCACACTCTGATTATGCCCTGTATGCCGAGGCAAAACACAGTCCTTTCAAATTTCAGTCATTTTTGTGTTTCCATAAATCAAAATTGCGTTGTTTTCTCGTCGCATTGGATTTGTACTTCGTCAGTTGCGTTGCTCGTCTTTTGCAAGACTTGGTCAATCGAATGAAAGGCCAACCTTGGGCGTACCTTATTTTATAATCTTTGATAGTCCATGAAATAACGAGAAATGCAGAAGTGGACACGAGAAATTACTAACGATTAAGTACATAAGAGCAAGGAGAGTTAATTTTTTACTTTTAGATAAAATAAGTCTAGCTTCAATTGGCATTTGGCGGATATTTATTGATCGCCTAAAACCTTATCAACACGAGAAGGAAAGAACAACTTGCAAGAATGTAGGTATAAGAATCGAGAATTTGGTTCCTGGGAATTTTAGTAACCGCTACCATTGGTTTTCAGTTTAGCTCGGTCATAAATTCTATACCAGTGAAAAATGTGAAACAGATTTTAGGCAAGTTTCATTCATTGAGTAGGCGTCAAACTCAAAATGTGAAAACATGGCTATAAAACTTGAGTTCAATTGTAATGAAAAACAGACATATGAGTACCTTTAGCAGTGCTGAGATGCCTCGTTCTGGACCTTTTCCCGCCTAATCCTCGTTTCTGTGCAACCAACACCTCAGCATCTCCACCTGGAGGCAATCCCAGCTCAATGAAAAGAACCTGGGCAACCTCCTCAGGATTATTAATAGAAAACGGACGCCGCGCTAGAGTCTTTGCTTTAGCTTCCAAATCTTGCAGTCTTTTCAGTAGCTTGTGCTTTAGTGCGTCGCACTGCTCAGGGGAAAACCCAAAGCCATTCAACTCCATTTTGGCAACAGTGTGTGCAACCGGCATTTCAATCTTAAATAGACACAGTAACTTAACATAAATTTCTATAAAGTACTAAGATACCATTCTCTAAAACAATATAGTGACTATAGTTTGCCATCATTAGAAGGTGATTCGGCTTTGGTATGCCATAAAATAAAACGATATGCTTGTCACACTAGCGGTTAAGCTGAAGATAATTGGACTTTACAATGGCAAAGGGAAGTGGAACTTAGGTTCTCCATTCGGCTGTAAAGTGGTGATATTTTAGCATTGTTTTGAGAATAACGAGGAAATATTTGTACCGTCTGAAAGAATACTACTGAATTAGAGTCAAAGAAGCTCATGATCCTAAAAATGATGGAATCGTTTGTGTAGCTTCTGTCAGGGTTGTAGAATCCCAAATGTCTAAAATTCTGGAAGTCATGGGTGAAGATTTAAAAAAACACTGGATTCTACTCAAAATTTTTACTGAGACATCATTCACAGACAGGAAAAGGTAGCAGTTGACAGAAAGAAGTTCTTTAGGGTTGCTGGCGCTGAGAGTAAACAATGTTCAATGAATCTCTAAGCGGGGGCATCAAACAAAAGTGATGGGGCCATAGTACCACTGACACCTTTTGTTGGGAGCATGATAAAGATCTGACAAGCGTTGACCGGCAAAACAGGGAATTGTTTGGAAATAAGAGACAGTGTGCGATACAGGGCCTAAAATAAGCGTGGATCTGACTCACTTTGTGAAGTCGTAAATTAAAATTGTGGACCTTTAATTGTAGAAAGTGCGGACTTGTAAATAATGCATGTTCCTAAAAGTGCAGCATAAAATACCAATCGAAACGCCTAAGAAAGAGATGGGAACATTTTTTCAACTCGGAGTGAATGCCCGATCCCAGCCTTATGTATTGCACTCATTTTTTATAAGAAAATTACGATATGAAATAGGCAATGGATAATAAAGAAGAATTAAGAAACTTCAGAGCTCGAAGCTCCAGTACATGCGAAGAAAAATCAATTGCGCTTTATGATATTGTTGTGTGCTATTTTGAAGTAAGATGGAATCTGTATACAGCTTTAACTTCAAGACATCATCTCAGTTTAGTGTGCTTTTATGACTTGCTTCAAAAAAGACACTGAGCCTTAAGACCAAGACCGAGATTATGATTTCCTGCCCGTAATGTATTTTGGGGTTTTTATGTGATATTTTTCAGTAGATTTCAAAGAAAATTATAAACCATTTCAACTAAGGTTTTTAAATTGGAGAAGCATTGGAAAAATTCCCCTCAAGGCTACAGCAGCTGAACGATGATAAGCCTCTCGGTAGTAGCTAAGAGGAATATTCAATGGGGAATGTATAACAGGGACAATAGTCCTCCTCAACTTTTTTGCAATAATAGGTTAGAAAATGTTTTGAAAGTTTACGCTAACGAACGCATTAGTAGCAGTTCTTCTGGGAACACGTTTTTGTTCTTTTTGATGGTGCTTTATCTTGTGTGATCAAAGATTAATTTGTATTTTATCTAACTCGGTTTTGTATTTTTATGTTAATTGAAATCTTCATTAAATCGTTATGTTCATGAAAAAGGACAGAAAAAAGGAAATATTTTCTGAAAGGAGTGGTTTCCGGTGTTTCAAAAGGCGTGGCCGTAAAAAATTTAGGGGCAAGCCTGCTAGTCCCGTTGCAGCCACTCCCTTGTGGGCTGGTGCCAGTGTGACCTGATTTAGCGTAATACTAACAGTACATTGGCCAAAAATCGTCATTTAGCATAAAATCTAGCATAATTTGAAATCTAGCATAACTCTGGCATAATTCTGATATTATTTAGAAGAAACATTGTTTCCATTGATCCATTGTCTATCGTTACCAAATGCAAATACTTTACACAAGCATCTGTGGTTTCATTATGGGAGTAAATTGTGACTTTTCACCTTCGGGATATTGCCAGTTATTTTGATTGGTTGGCAGCCACATATTTTGTGGCTGCCAACCAACCAATTTTGATTGGTTGGCAGCCACATATTTTGTGGCTGCCATGGATCAAACCATGGATCTAAATTTCTCTTTTTATTTGTGAAGAATGAGTAAACTGGGTTGTCAAAATGGCCAAATTGCAACTCTGGCCACTTTTGATATTCTGAGCATGCATTAGCCTCTTTCTCGAGCAGGGTTGCCTTGATTTGACTTCTAGCATAATTTTCGCAAATCTAGCACAATCTTATGACAAATTTGGCGTAATTCCAAAATTGAGATCTGGTGCGTGATTTCTGCATTACAAATAAGATGGGGGTAAAGATCATGCTTTCAAACTGGGCGAAAAGAAAATAAGAAGAAACAAGCACAATTTGTACATCAGTGAGAGAAGAGTTTATTTGCCATCTGTAACGAGGTTTTCGTTTATAGTATCAAAACTTTTTGAAGAACAGATTTGATGGCAAAGAATTTGATGGGCTGAATGCAGTTAAGAACTTTCCATAAGTAAACAGAACTTAAGAAAGCTTCACCCAGCTTTTGTCCCGGATATCGCAGCAATCCCTAATTCTGTCGATGCAAAGAGGCTGATTCCCACCTATAACAAGATAGAAGCAGGTGGGGAAAGCAGCATAGCTCCAGAAAACTTATCAAATAGATCTCGCAAGTTTCGAGTTCAGAGAAAAGCTGCAAGGATATGGTTTCAGAAAACCAAAAAATACCAAAAAATACCACAAGTCTGGGAAGTGAGGCTGATTTAAGAGAGTTTTTGAAGGTGAAAGGAAAAAAAATAACTTTGACAGAGACCCGAACAAACCAAGGAAAAGAGTTTTCTTTCGATAACTTTCCGCTCACACATTAAGACATCGCTATATGAAGCTAATTTTCTTATTAACCCAATCCATGTATTGTGAAGAATCAGCTTTTGCTACTTATACTTCATTCATTTAGGTATTTGCCCAATGAGGACATGCTATTTGCACTATGATGGCAGTTTCTATATTTGCCACCCCCATGATACCAATCCCAGCAAAGTAACACGCCCAATTTTTATTAAAAATGTGGATCTGTAAAAATTTCTTATTTTAGGCCCTGGTGCATACTGCATTGTTTTTATAAATCAAGGCATCAAAGCTAGCATAGAAAATCACAATTCATTCTGCATGCTTCTGAAAGGAAATTTACATAAAATAGGTGTATATAGGAGTTGCGCCTTACGTCACCAAGGTATTGCAAGGTTGTTTTTTTCAAACCAAGTTTGCTACAATGCTAGTAGCAATTGCATACTAGTTGCGTCTGCATACCAGGGAACGAAGGTTTGAGGAAATTAGAACATAAAGGTTAGAATAATTGCGTAGTCCTGATGAAAATAAACGACTCACTTGTAGAAAACTTGAATAGAGACCTTCTGATAAAATCCTCATTTCCAATATTTCCATCAATCTGTAGATTGTGACCGCTTCAACGCTAGCACGTAAACGAGGCGACGCTGCAGTGTCACTTATGAGGCCGATACTTCCTGTGTCATATGTACTTCCAACCCCTAGAAGACAATGATTTTTAATATGTAATGCTTTGCAAATATACTAAGGAATTGCTACATTGAAGTAATGCACTAATGTGACTGCAGATAGTAAAATTTTCATGAAACTTAATTTAGAGTGGACTTACAGGCTCTTAATTATTGGGAAGTCATGCCACACGTGTTTGGAAGGTTCCAAACGTGAAGAGCAGTCCGGGACATTTATCTCAGTAGGACTGTGGCAGGAGCTGTAGGTTCCTTTGGTGAGTGACAGCAGAGTCTGCCTTAAACAACAGATCTAAAAGTTTGACGAGGGATCGTTGAATGGGATTCCCAATGCTCTTCCATTTTTTATTCTATTTATCTCAAAATTCATATTCTTTAATGGAAGGTCCATAGTAGGGGACAATAGTTACATTAAGACCCGACGAACCCATTAATTATTTCCTTAAACTGATCGATTAATTCTGCTACAGTTTAAGAAGTAAGACGTACTTTTGTACTTATTATATTTGTGTCTTAAGAAGTAAAAGAAATCTCTTCAAGGAAGAACATTCAGTCAAACGATTAGAATAATCCACCAAGTAAAGTGGCATGCACTCAAAAAAATCAAAGCCCTAGACTTTTTTATATAAAGCCATCCTAGCCTCTTTCTACAACAAATAAAGATTAGTAGACCCATTGGTTCAGTCCCATTGATGGCTGACTTCCCACCAGTGGACATAATAACTTAAAACTCTAAAATAGAATAACTTACTGTGAATTATGTCTTTGTAATCTTCTGGTAGATAGCTCAATGCAAGTTCGTGGAAGGTTGGTTCTTTTGAGCTAGGATCCAAAAGCCATGCGGCAACCTTAGGATCATAAATTTTTCCCTTCATCTCACATCCAAACGACTTTATAAATACTTTGAAATGCTCTTTGGCATCATATACAATCTTTTTAACTGAGTCGCTATCTCTTGTCAACTCAACGATTAGTTTCCCAGCTATATCTTCGTTTCCTTTCAAACTCCAACCAATACAGTCTTGCAGTTCCAGAAAATCAACGAAGAAAGACGTCTTTCCTCCAAAGCAAACAGATAGCCCTGCAATGTTATTTTCAAAAGCTTGCTCTTTATTTTTGTTTGTATCCAGGTTTGAACCCCGAGCTACAGAAAATGAAAAGATCTTTGTACTCATGCACCTCTCTATAAACAAATCAAACACATCTCTTTTGGCCACTACATCAACTATCCGAAAGGAGTCATCGTTACTTAACCTCCTTTTCGCGATACGTTCACTGCTACGCCGCTTGTTGCCATCTAAACGATTGCTAGCCTGGTTTAACTCTGCCTCGTCAGTGACTTCAACTGCTTCTTTACGGGGTCATTTAAATCGATTTCACAGAGCGCTTTTGTAAATGAATCGCTCCCCGACATAACGATCTCGGCATCACCATCGATCCCTTTGTCAAATCCACATTTTGCTTTGATCTCAACCTCATCGTTTTCATCATCAAGAAAGTCAACAGCACCTTGTTTATGGTCATTAACTATACCAGATCGATCAGTCTTCTGTTTACGCAAAATAGGGATATTGATTCTGTCTTCAGTTGTTTCTTGGAAAGCATCGCCTTCATCAGCAAAAGACTCTGATAGCTTCAGGCAAAACGATTGTTCGTTATGATCATTATCATTACCAGGTGACAAAAGGTTACAGGTGCCAAAACTGTCGAAAAGAATACTTGAAGTAGAGCCATCAAAAGAGATATTACTGTTTTTTCTCCTAATGGACAGGCAATTGTCCACAACAGTACACCCTTGTTCTTCGATCTTCTCGACATTGCTATTTCTAAATCCTTTATCTTGTCTGCATAAATTTCCTTTCTCGCTTAAAACAGCCGCAGCTCCATCAACATTCTCTGTTTGATTATCAAAAATATAATCAGATATCTTGGTAAATTTATTTATCGATCTGTATTCATTGAAACTTAGCGGTGTGTGAGTTTCAGCATCATCAAACTGTGGTTGTGAAAATAACTCCATTGATGTGTCCTTTTTAGATCCTTCACAATCAAACCCAACGTGTTCTTCCTCTCGTGAGTTAATCAAAATGAACGATCCATTTGCATCTTCTAGTGAATTTTCAGCAGTTCTGTCTGGTGACCTTTCAACTTGCAGGGGACTGATTTCCTGTTGTGCAAACGAACATTCCTCCTCTATATTTGCAGTCATACAATCGTTGTTCATTATCTTTTCGCTACTGTTGCCATCAGCTTCCTTCAAATCTGATATACAAGCATCAAAATCTTGTATATTCAAGGAATTAGTCATCTGAAAGTATTCTTGGTTCTTTGAATCATGAGAAATGTCATTGAAGCTTCTCTTTCTATTCGAAACTTCATTACATACCTCAGGAGATGACGGCTCATTGCGGACCTTCATGTCTTGCGGAGAAATGTTCTCCTTGTTGTTACTTGTATCTACACGTTTTATTGCGACTTGGGGCGGGGCAGTATCTTTTGGTGCTTCTGCTTTGCTAGTGTCTCTTGGTTCTAAGTCTTCATTCACTTGGTCAAGTGTCTTTCTCAAGTTGCTTCTTTCACCCGTAGCTAGAGTTTGTTCAGCAGCTACAATGTCACGAGCTATCCTATCTCCATTCTTTGCAGTATTTCCATCATTTACTACCAGGTGCCTTTTCTGGTTTTGTGAAGAAGACGAGCTCTTCTCTGAACAATTCACTGCAGGTACAGGGACTCGGTCACATTGCATACTGACAAAACCATTCGTTGAGGTCTGCAGCTCAGATATGTAATCGTTGTTGTGTTTCACCGCAGAACTAGATACCTTTCCATGATTTGAATGGTCTTCACTCTTCTTGTTGACATGCCTTGTGAACTGATTGGTTTGAAATTGAACGTCATTCATTTGCATTCCCATAGCAACGAGGTCTCCTTGCACAAGCTCCTTCGCCTCACATACGATCAACTCTGCAGCTTCTGCCTCTGTCATTGCACTCCGCCCTGTCACCCAAAAGTTTCTCAAACGCTTCTTTGAAGCAACTTCCCAGCCACTCTCGCCTTGTAGCTTTTTATCACTCTCGAAAGGAGCAAAATTTTCCAGTAACTTTCTTAAATCATTTGGTGAAGAGACAGCTAAAGCACCGACAGTATGATACCCAGCATTGTATAGTAATCGTGCTCTTGCACCGTTAAGACTTGAAATACGAACCAAGTCACAGAGTTCTTGAGTAACGCCAAACGATAGGCGATTTTGGAACTGATCAACAAGCATCTCGAGGTTTCTCCAACCTAACTTCTGACAAAACTTTGTGACCATCCCAGCAAACGTTGATGCTGAATTTTGAAGAGATTGCAGGAGGCCTTTGTTGACATTGTACCGTCTGCTCACAGTTCTCAATGGTATCTCATTTACTAATTCTAAGAGTACAAGTGCGGAGTAAAATCGTTGGTGTACCGCAAGCTTCTGTCTTTGGGCCTCTGATCTTGTTGGTACACGGCCACGTACTGCACTTGCGAGGAAAGCTTCTTCCACGCCAACAATTTCTCCAACTCTTTTGTACTGAGGAGGAAGCTTTTCGTAAATACTGAAGTAACGATACCAATCCAATTCTGGCCATTGTGATTGCATGTATATAGGCATCACCTGGAGAAATATAAGGATATTTGAATGGAACCTTGTTAGCAAGGTTTCAAGCTAGGCACAATAAAAGACATATAAACACATTATCTATGTACCATTTCATATAGAAGCACTATTTTGATATTTGTCAAGAGTATGTACTTAAAACACTTTAACATTAACAAATCATGTGATTTTCTTAAAATGCGGCAGTCGTTTTCTAGAATGCACCAAATCCGGCAGGCTTGTCCATAAGCATAATATCGAGTGTTTACTTATAAATGCAGAAAAATTACTTATAAATCACCGCACTTAATGAATCTAAGAGCGATAGCCGTGATACCCGTAAAATGAAGATAATCTTAAGTGTCAAAATTTTTGCCGTCCTTTTAATCGTCTTTTGACGCCTTTGAAAGCTAAACTCTTAAAAGGCATTGCTTTTTTAAAGATTGCATACTTATTCTCTCTTGAAGCTTCTCTTTCTCAATTTGGGTCAATAATTTTCGATCTAAAAATTGCTTTAATACATTAAATGTGTCATTTTTTGCATAACAGAGATAAATAAACTCAGTTCTTGAGGATATGGGAGAGTTTCTGGAATACCTGGTACACAATATGCAGTTCATTTTCCAAGACAAAACATCGCCTAGCTTTTTGGAGCTCTTTAAACACGACTAGAGCTTCGTCAGGTGATAATGAAGATGCCAATGTAGCTGAGCCTAATTGTGTTGGGGCGAATCTTTGCTCCGTTTCGTCTTCCTAAAACAGATAATCGTTGTAAAGACGCTGTAAAGAAAAATATAACGACGTCTGCACTGGAGATGGAGCATTTATTTATTTGTGCTTGGCTAGAAAGTGAAAAGAGGCCAAGAATTTGCAAAAAGTGATTTTTGCTACTCACACAAAGTACAACTAAAATTAGGACAAGTAAAACAAAGAAGGACAGGAAATATTTTGGCAGAAATACCACCAATTTTGTTCCAAGGAGACATTTTTTATAGTACTTTCTCCTAAGAATTATACGTTTTTCAAGGACAATTGGGACTTTAGATGAATTACAGCTATAGCTATGATTTTTCTAGAAAAAACATAAATATTCTTTATCAATTATAAATTATCTTCTGTGTATTAATAAGTACAATTGAGGTACTGGTGGTGGAGAATTTGTCAAGGCAGGTGCAGTCAAAAACTGCTGTAAAGTAGGCAAAAATGGTACAATGTAGATTTGAAACATCGCTTTTTCCAGTGAAAACGTAACATGCAAAGTCTACAGGTCAAATATTTGGAGAAGCCTTTAAATGAAAAAAGAGATATTAAAGAAAATGAATATCCATCTGCAGTGAGACAGTGTGGTTGATTGACAAGCCTAACATTTTTTGATCTGACAGTGCACCGGCAAAGCCAGAAAATAATGTGTTAGCAAAAATGTGTTGGGATTTCTAGACATTTCAAGAACTGAACACTTCTGAACATTTTTTTTTAATTTAATGAAAGAAATCGATGTAGCCACTTTGAAGATTAAATAACAAAATAAGTTATTGATAGAAATAGAGATTATAAATTGTTTATCCTTACGAACAATTGCTTAAAATACTGGTTTTAAAACATATGCCAGAATTACACTAAGATTCTTAAAACAGCCGTTGCCGTTTCTTAAATAACTTTTCTGAAGAAAAAACTTGCTTGTTTCTCTTTGAAAAACTTAACGATGAGAAAAAGAAGAGACGGGGTAGAATGAATGACTGTTCATACCAACTGGTTGTCCAAATTCGGTCCTTTATCGACCCTGATAAACTCATTCTCAATCAAAAATGAAATTGTGTTTTTGATTGCTTTGGCAGGGTCACAGCCTTTCAAGGAGGCAAGGCAGAAATTCAAATACGTGCTCTTCGCGTATGTTTCCGCGTCATTTCTTGTCGTTGCGACACCAGCAGCAATGATTTCAAGCAAAGCACGCTTCATACCAGGTACCTCACTCTCGTTATCTGTGCCTGCAATATGATAAAAATGTTTACCATCTGAGCAGGCACTTTACTAAATCTCTTGCTTAATTTGGTTGAAATATGCAATCAATCTTTTCGTGAGCAAAGTTGAAAACTGGCTTTGAAAAAAGCAAACATTTTGTGTCAAACTTACGCTTTTCATCTGACACTCTTCCGAGTATAAAACGGCAGTACATAGATCAAAACACTTTTTGCTTCAAAAGTTTTATTTTGTTCAATTTTTATGGATAAAATTCAATATGGTATAAGAATAAGATGAAAGTAAATTGACATATGTTCGAAGCATAGCATAATTAGGCAGTTTAAATGCATATAATCAAATTGGAAAACTTCTTGTTTATAAATATATTTTTCAATTACCTGCGACAAACATTTTGGGCTATGTTCATTACATGATAATTTAATATATCCATACTTTGAGAAAATACGATAATTTAGAACTTTTGTAATAACTGCAAAATTATAAGATAAAACGCTTTTATATCTTCCAGATCTTTCTGAACGAAAGAGATTTGTAAACAAAAAGGTAGTGATGAGAACCAACCAATTAGGCAGCTGTAAACTGGATCGAGATGAGATCTGAGAAGCTTGATTCCTTTTTGCTTTTCACTGGGTTTGCAAATGAGAATACTTTCGCCTGTTGTGTCAACGCCCTTTCGCCCAGCTCTGCCTGTCATTTGCTTATACACCAGAGAATTTATCACTTTACCGTGAAAAATTGGGGTTCGTAGAATCACACGCCTTGCTGGTAGATTTACACCTAAAAGTCGGGTTAAATAATTTACAAAATAACCTAAACTTAAATCAGGACATGATGGAGATAAATAGCCTCACACTACAGGTGGACATCCATTAACAGATACCAAAAGCGGATGCATTCATACAGCAAGGAAACAGTTTTCAATGTTTCTTTACTGCGCTAAAACCCTCCTAGATCAGAGATACTGGAAAAATAGAAATGAAAGGAATATTTAATTAGAAACAAAGGATCTTTATAATTTTTGAGGGGGCTCGAGCCCCAAAAACAATAGCCCAACCCTGACATGCAGCCTTCCAGCAACAGATGCCTCTCTACAACCGACAACAGCTTCGGCTCAAATGGGCCTACAATACGAAGGTGTCATGGTAAACAAGGTATTGAACATTTGATTTATAAAAATTTCAAATTATTAGAATACATGCTATAGAAAGTTATCTAAAAAAAGAAATTATAATAAAATTCTCAACATCTTTCTTATTTTACGTAATAATGATGTAAAAGCTTACACAGAAAAAAATGTATACATTAAGCATACGTGAAGCATTATTGCACTATGAACTTTACCTGATGACAGAGTTGATGTAGCAACAAGAACCCTTACTGCTCCTCTTTTAAATGCACCCTCGATTATGTCTCGTTCGTCGAATGTAAGTCCAGCATGGTGAAATGACACCCCAAAAGAGACAACATCAGCAACGACTTTATCGAGCCCCGCTGGGGAACGTTTAAGCTGCTCAATGACTTCTGCTATCGCCACAGTGTCTAATAGGGCCGTGCGGCTATCCTCTACGCTCTGGAGTTCTCCTTGCTTGGGGTCGGGCATTATTAAGTGCTTTAAATTATCAGCAATGTTCTTTGCAAGCCGTTCACACCACTGTTTTGTTGGACAAAATATCAGCACAGAATGACAGTTGCGTATGGTTTCCAGGCAGAGCGGTACGATATGGTCCTCGTCTCCACGGACAATGTCACTTTCGTTGATTTCAGAAATCGTCCGTTGGTCTTGGTCCATTATAACCTTACCAACTTTGATCGTTTCAACAAGAGGCACGGGGCGGTATTCAGTGAGGTATAAATCAGCGTTGAGCCAATCAGCTAGCATGTTCAAGTTTGGCAAAGTGGCGCTCATACCAACAATTTGTACACCGCAGTCTTCTGCTGTATCATCAGTTGCAGACGATTCTTAAAGGAAAGTGTGAAGGAGCGTTTGACTTTAATGTGAAGATCAAGCATTATTGAATATAGTGAACGGTTAAGGCCCTTCATGTAGCCACATTTAAGATACATGTAAAATTAAAATAAAGGCATTGTGTCGTGATTAAAGGAGAGGGTATACCCAAATATGGCGAGTCGTGATATTCGTGCTGCATTGTTATTGGCGGGTCTGACACTGATCACATGAACTCACCTCGTACTGATTAACAAAACAGCTTTCGTCAAAATCAATATCACATGAAACTACAGCGATCACACCGAAAGCAAATGGTCTCCTATAGAGAGGGCCTATTACCATGACTCGGTGCTTTAAGAAATTGTCTTAAATCTCTTTTGTTTCCTCTTTGCACTCATACTCTTTTCAGAACCCTAAAGGGTATACTTTTTGAATGATTGCCTACTTGGTTGGTTAGGTAATATCTACTTTGATGACTTGCTCGATCTTGCTAAACCCGTACAAACAGCGCTGCTCAACGCATTAAAAGCACTAGCCAAACCGTTCCACTCTCATTCTATTCAAAAGGGACAACATCAACTATTTTCAAGCTTACTTTGAAGAAATCGAATCTTTGACAACATGAGTTCTAGCAGGTATCCTCTGTGACCATCCCCAATCATATGCATTTCGTCAATGACAACCATGCCTAAACTGCTTATTTTCCGCTCCTCCATTAATCGATTAACCAATGAGTTTGCCTTTTCGATTGTGCAAATAGCAATATCTGTCCCTATAAAGCCTTTACTCGGTGCCTGAGCACCCATGTATCCATCAACGCGAATTCCAGCTGCTCTGAACAAATCCTGCAAAAGAACCAACCTTTGTCAATGCAATGGTAGTCTGTGAAAAAGTTTGAAGAAAACAACAGCCTCAAGCTGAATAGGAAGCGGGGGGAGGTAACCTCTGGCAATTATTCCACCATGTCCATCCTATATCACAAAAATTCCAGCTTCTGTATCATTTCAGTACTATAACTATCTAATAAGATAATAAACAGTCATGACCTTCCGATGCCCATTTCCCCCTGAAAATCTCAAAGTGAAACAAATACCTGTAGCAAACTTTGATGGTGGCAATGTTAAACCAGGAAAGGTCTTAAAGAGATAGATATATATGTGAATTTAGAATGCAGAAATAGATTTATATTAGATACCTGTAAATAGAACATCTTTTCTCTTGCAACACTGACAAATGGCAAAACATAGATGGCCTTCTTTTTGGTCTTTAAAACCTGTTTCAGCATGAGAATTTCAGCAACAAGTGTCTTTCCAGCACTAGTTGGAGCACTGTAGACCAGGTTGCCTAGGTAAAAAATAATCAAACCTATAGGACCATCAAGGTGACAAAAATACAGTTTAATCTTGATAGCACAAACCCCCAAGGAAGATGATGAAATGTTTTTAAAATGTGTGAGTTACTGATGTTTGTAATAAGGAAATGTTCAAGCCTTTATTAAATGTAGCATGGTTTTCTTCTGTGTCAAAATCTTGACATTGTGTTAACAGTACTATGGCTATTATCGTCTACTAGGTATGAGAAAAAGTTGGAAAAAATATTCTTGAAATTAGAATTCAAGGGAAAATAAGAATCAAAAACTCTAATGAGGAAGGCTCTAAACAAAAGTCTTAAGAAAAAGGGAAACCTGATATATAAAAGATCATATGTATTCTTAATATATGTTTACCTCCGTTCAATGCTTTGCCAGTAAGCAAGCATTCTCTTTGCCATTCAAAGATATTTACTATGCCATGAGCAACATATTGATTGACAACACACTCTGGAAGACCCCATGAGTCTATTTTTAATGAGTATTTACTTGGTTTGGAACCAGATTGTGAATTGCATCCCAGACCAGGGGCACTTCTTGAGCTAGCACCAAGTCTAAAATGTGAAGATCATTATACTCAATGAAAAGACAACATGTCAGTCCATTATTTCAGTAATAAGCTTTGATTGAAAATTATCAAATGACAAGGTCACCACTGTCTACAAGAGCAAAAAAATAACAAGCAGATTGAAAAATAAGGCCATTATGTAAAACATCAATTAAATTCATAACCATGCATGAATTTGCAAAAAAAATCCAAGCTGCAATTTAGCTTTTTTATTATTATTATTTCATCAAAAAATAGAGGCTTCAAACTTCAAACTCATGCAAAACTCTAGGTAAACAGCAAATTTTAAAAAATCACTTTGAAAGGCAATCATCTTGTTTGTTTGCAAGTTCTCTTTTGTTTCCCTTTTCATGTAAAAACAACGGACTTTCATCTTGTGTAGTTAAGGCTTTTGTCTTTGTGTTTACTGTACTAACAGGGGATATCATGCCATTGAAAATGTCTGCATGTGTATCTTTTGCCAGATCAGCAGGTGTTGAGACTTGTCTATTTTTTAAAAGATGTACACTATTTATGCTTGGGGATTTAAAACTTTCCAGCTTGCACTTTGAATCATGCTTTGTACTCGTAGCTGTTTCTTTGCTTGTTTTCAGTTGGCTGACAGTTGCAATTTCTTCAATTTGCCAATCAAAAGATGCACCCAAAGAGGGCTAAAAGAAAATATTCACAAGAATAAAAAAAGAGGTCTTGACAATACATAAGGCACTGTAATTCCTCTAAAAAGACTCCTTGCATACTAAACTTAAACTCCCCTGAGCCCCCCTAGCTCTACACCCCTGGTCCTAGTGACGTATTTAAACTCGAGATTATAATTTCCATTTCAGCTTGAAGTAGTGTATAACAGTAAGAGTAAAAATTAAGGATGTAAGAGTATAGAAAAAAATATATTTATTTATATATATAAAGGCGGTAAGCTGGTAAATTTCACTGGTTAGGGATATGTTTAAAAAATGTAGAACGAATTCTTATGTATAGTTTCAACCTTTTTTTAAAGCCATTTTTGTTGCGGAAATACTAAATAGTGATGACTGTGGTGATGATAGTGAGATGATATACCAAATTGAACCTTATATAATTTTCAGGTGGAATATTTAACAGATAGATCAGTTGTTTTTTTTCAATTGATCAAACAGTTAACATATGGATATGTATCTTTTGTATGAGCCTGAAAACACGTGTGAATATTTTATTTCCTACAAAGTATACGGGTGATGGGGCAAACTGGTCTTCTACGTCCGTCCACATGTTTTAATGTATCTTGAATTACCATAAGATCAAAGTCATTTTCTTCCTCTTCTTGTGTATCTTTTGTTCCGCTTTTTCTTCTGACATTATTTGACGAATGAGATGTATTTCGTGGTCTTTTCTGCCTCCATGTCTGACTAAGTTTTTTCATATCCGAGCAGAATCACAACTTTCTAAGGCAGAAATACCTCGTTTCAAATGTTCTTTTAAGCAGCGGAAACTCTGTCGTTTTTTAATACCCAAACTAATTTGAGCAAGATGGATCATTGTGTTGCAAACGGAAAGAGACGAGCGCAATCTTTCAACCAATCTTTGTAATGAATAGTTTACCCATTCAAAACAACCGCCATTTTGACTCTACGCATGCGTATGCTATATAAAGCTCCACCGTATAAACAAAACCCCGCAGTTCCAAAAATCACCATAACTAAAATTCGTTTATGCAAATTAACCCCGAACAAAAGGTCCCCACCGCCCGGCGATTAAGAGGGATTCCAGCCAAAACGGCTCGGCCGATTTTCAAAATTCCTTTTTCCCCTTCATCCTCGATCTTTGGTTCACCATACTACGGTCTCCTTTTTCTCCTTTTCGCTTCCGTTCCTGAGATATTTACGGTTTTCTCTCGGGTTCGTTCGAAATCCTCTCGATCACGATTAGTGCTCTCCGCGGTCTTTGTCCCGCCTTTCTAAAGGTTCTTTCTCTCTCTTTTCTCTTGCTCTCTACAAAAGGTTTCAAAACTCCTTCCAACAGCAACCCTTCAATTTGAACGGAGGCTTTTCAAATTCGTTTCGCTTTCCACAAAGAATCTACTGTGTGCCGCCGATAATTTAGGTGATTTGGAATTGGATGATAAATCTACGTGCACTGCTGGTTGGCATTCCTTTTCGAACTCGAAGCGGTCGTCGACGGTCGGTGTCTTGTGCTACAGCTACAGCTCCAGTAGTCAATCGTGCTGGGTGCTCTCGACAGACCTCAGGTGAGTCTTGCTAGCTTTTTTTATCAACTGATGATTTTTTATCGATCGACGATTGAACCCCCGTTTGTTCTTATTTTGTTTGCAAGAGCCATGTAATTTATGGTTTTGACGATCTTCCTTTTCTTCGTTTTAGTAGCTACGTACGGTACGCACACTGCTGCCCGTTTTTTGGTTTTGCGATTGCTGCTGGCTGTTCCCCTTCTTCACTGGCATCAGAATCGATGGCATGCGAATACAAGTAAGCGTTGTTGTTCTTACGTGTTTTCGATATTACTTTTTTCAAATGATTTTGTGCTCATTTCGATGAAATTACACTAAAAACCGGCTGCTAGACCCCCGCTGCGAACGAAAACTTTTTACCTCTTCTCGTGGTTTTGTGCTTAAAGGAAACTGGATTGGCTTTATTGCAATCAAAGTATAAAGAATTGTGGTAGATTTTTCCTGCTGTTTATTCTTGATGCAAGAAAATTTGATTTTCATAGGAAACCCGTTGTAATGCGAATTATGTAATCCCGCCAGCCCCCAGCTTTTTATGCCTATCGGGAATCCTTTGCAGCAACTTTTCCTAACCGCCTTCCTTTTTTGTAGATAAACGATCGGATTCGCTGACTTTTTGGTTCAACAAGTGAGTATTTTTCTATTAAATTTTCACTTTTTGTGAGATTTTCCCACTGAGAATGAGATGGGATTTGCCTGCCTCTTGAGTGACAATTATTCTAGAAACCATTTCAAATGACTTTATGCTTATTTGGGTGAAATTACACTAAAAACCGGTTGCTAAAAGGAGTCGCTAGACCCGCCACGAACGCCTTTCTCTTAATGTTTTACCTCTTCGTAGTTTTGTCCTTCAAGGAAGATGGATTTGCTGTATTGCTCGCTTCACAAGAACAAGTTCAAATGATTTTATGCTTAGTTTGATGAAATTTCACTAAAAACAGGTCGCATAAAGGGGTGGCTAAACCCTCGGGGCGAACCTTTTTTTCTGAAATTTTTACAAAGCATTATGACTATGGATTTCCTTAAAAAGTGCTTTCATTAACCATGGAATAACATCTTAATTATTTGTGATGTTCTTCATCTAGATCAAAGATCGTTTCAAGCAATAATTATGACCCAGACGTGATTCTTGACTGTGGAGAAAAGGACTAAAGTTATAAAGATTAGCTGTTGTCCGTAAATTGTATTTTGTTAATTTGTTGTTGGAGTAAGAATCATTTCTGATGCACGAAACTTTGGCTGTTTTCTATCTTTCCATTTCTTAAGTGCTTTGTTGCTGCAGTGTTTCAAAAGCTAATTGTGACGAAGATATGATATGTGGACCTCAAATGTATAGAACTGCGTAATAACTTTATAACTCTTTGGGGTTTAGAAGAGGTGTTTGATTCAGAATAAACAGGGAGCTTTGAGGGTGGCCCGCAATTATGTCTAAAAACAGCTTCACAAGTGAACAAAGATTGAACGAAGTGCTTTAAAATGAACATTACAGCTCTAAGAATGACTTTAGAAAATATTTAAAAACGCCCCATAAGTCGACGAGGGCTAAGAGTGTATGATTAGAAAACTTAAAAATTTGATTCTGACTAAATAGGAGAACCTCTAGGAGTAACCCATGAAAATGTGCCAACGAGCATAAGGAATTGGTGGGACTGGCAGAAGCATGTTGCTGTCAAGTTAAAAGTAGAATTCAGAATAATTAACAAAGCTTTTAGATAAGCCTGCAAGATATTTAAACGACCACCACGATACACCGAGAGATAAAAGAAGATGGAAACTTTGAAAATTGCAATTAGAATAAGCAGGAGAATTAAAGAGGGTAACCCGTGAAAGTATTTAAACGAGGACCCCAATTAGATCGTGGCTTACAAAATATATTGAAGAACTTTTCTGCCTTGCCTCGATATTGCAACCGTTTATGTATCAAATTGGTGTGTACATTTCAATAAACGGAAGAGTAGCTCCCAGTAAATCCCGCTCTGCGGGCACCCTATGGACCCCGGAATGGAATAGTAAGATTAGCCTCTGAAAGTCAAGAGTGCTATTAACCTCGATTTCAAAGGGGTTCAGATGGTGATGAAAGCTATGATATTGCTAATTGGTAATCATAATAATCAAGGAACTACTTATTGGATTGATTCTATTAGGAATTTCGCAAGTATGGGTATCTGGAGCCAGCAAGTAATTAAGTTTGGGTTTACTTTTCTAAAAGGATTTACTGAATTACAATCAAGGTAATAAAGCATTATCTTCCTACACGAAAATAGCTCTTATCTCAATAGGGTTGTTGCTGCAAGTAAATAATACTTTGTCCTCGAGCAATTATTTCCTGCTCTTGCCAATAGTATATGCTACTCACAGTAGGCGTGACTATGGATTAGATTAATTATGTTTGCCTTTTGTCACGTTTAAAGTATCCTTGCCTGCTTGCTGTATGATATTACACTTTTTGCTTGCATTCCTTATTAAATTGAAAGAATGTATGAGGACATTGTTTCTTTATTCTGATTTTCAAGATAGATTCAACTTTAATTTGATTTGTCAGAGGAGTAAACAGATAAGTAAGGTTGGGAAGTCTTAACATGAAATTTTATGGAAAATTAAAACAGGAGACTTAGGGGGTAACACATTAAAATATTTAAGCGAGGAACACGAATAGACCTGGGCTGCAAATGTTTTGAAGCAACTTTCAATTAACGGAAGACTAGCTCCCCTACGAAGCCCGCTACGCGGGCTTGCCAGTGACCCTACGGTAGAGTACATAGATTAGCCTCGGAAAAGACAAGAATTTTCTTAAAACCCCCTGTGAATGATAGTAAAATTAGCCTCGGTAAAGACAAGAATTCTTTCGAAGCCCCCAATGAGTATGCAGATTAGCCTCGGAAAAGACAAGAGGTGTATCAAACTCGATTTGAAAAAAATTGGCTCCGCACAGGTCACGTGATAAAAAAATTACTCGCACTCCTGTGACTATCGCTAGGAAGGGGGGAGCCTCTACCCCTTCTCTATTTCAGGCGACCCCCTGACTAGCGATAGTCACAGGAGTGCGAGTAATTTTTTTATCACGTGACCTGTGCGGAGCCAATTTTTTTCAAATCGAGTTTGATACACCTCTTGTCTTTTCCGAGGCTAATCTGCATACTCATTAGGGGCTTCGAAAGAATTCTTGTCTTTACCGAGGCTAATTTTACTATCATTCACAGGGGGTTTTAAGAAAATTCTTGTCTTTTCCGAGGCTAATCTATGTACTCTACCGTAGGGTCACTGGCAAGCCCGCGTAGCGGGCTTCGTAGGGGAGCTAGTGATATTTACTGTAGTTCAGTAGTGCCACTGAATTGTCAGATCTGACGACTCAAATTTCAAAAATGATGGCGTTGAAAGAATTTTCAAAACAGATTTTCAAAAGTGGCTTAGAGTCTGTGCTACCAAGGTCACTGATATTAAACAACCTGAAAATTGATAAAGGACAACTATTTGTAGCAGGTAAAAATTACAATTTGGACAATAATGTGTTTGTTATAGGCTTTGGTAAAGCAGTTCTTGGCATGGCTCAAGCTTTAGAGAGTTTGCTGGAAAATCATCTTCAGAAAGGTATTGTTAGTGTCCCTGTGGGCATTCATGAATCTCTGAGTAACAGCCCTTTCAAAGATGCAAGAAAAATGCTTCTATCTGAAGGAAGTAAAATTTTAGCCAAAGAAGGTGCAAGAAACAATCTTCCTGATTATGCTGCCATGCAGACTGCTGTAGATATTGAAAATTTTCTGAAAAATCTTCAAGCTGATGACATTCTTATTTCTTTGATCTCTGGTGGTGGGTCAGCATTGCTGCCAGCACCTGTCAAAGAAATATCCCTGAGTGACAAGCTTGAAACTATTAAGCGTCTTTCCAAAAATGGGGCCACCATACAAGAGCTTAATACTGTAAGAAAACATTTGTCAAGACTGAAAGGTGGCAAGTTGGCTTCAATGACAAAATGCAAATCTGTAATATCTTTAATCTTGTCTGATATAGTTGGAGATCCTATTGACTTGATAGCATCTGGACCAACATGCAAAGATACCTCACAATCATCTGACTGCATAGAAATTTTTAAACGTTACAGTATGTTGGACAATATACCTGAAAAAGTTAAAGAATATTTATCAAGAAAACAATCAGAACCAGCACATGTCATTCTGGACTTACCAAATGTCCAAAATGTTATCATCGGCAACAATAAAGTGGCGATTGCCAAATGTAAGGAAATGGCAGAAAGCAAAGGCTACCCTGTCATGGTTATGAGTGATAGTCTTACTGGTGATGTGCAACGTGTTGCAAGTACTTTTTCAAGCATGCTTCTATTGTTTATGCATGATAGAATGCCCCAGTCTAAGCTCTGTTTTGATCAACAACTTATCAAAGAAGCTTACCATATGTTCAAAACTAAAGGCAAAATATGTTTACTGAGTGCTGGAGAAACCACAGTCCATGTCAAAGGAACAGGGAAAGGTGGCAGAAATCAAGAATTGGTACTATGGACTGGATATACCTTTGAAAAGCTTGTTAAGTCATTGAAATTGCCTGCTGAGAAATCTGGGGTATCCTACTGCTTTTTGTCAGCTGGCACTGATGGGCAAGATGGACCAACACCTGCAGCTGGTGCTACATTTACAAAAAGTCTTTTTGTCCCAGAAAAGATCCAGGCACTGCAAATTGAAAAATATCTAAGAAACAATGGATCTTATGACTTTTTTTCTACCTTTGACGATGGATCTGATCTTTTTGTGACAGGGCTCACTGGTACTAATGTCATGGATATCCAAATTCTTTTAGTAGAGAAAGCATAGTTATCAAGACAAAGAACTGTTAGGTTTATAGCAAGATCAAATTTTTCACACATTTTTAAGCACAAAAATAAACACACTCAGGGAAAGATTTCTTTCAGAAAGATTTCTTACAGTGATTGTTCTGTAGAAATAAGAGAAAGAGAAAGATGCAATTGATTTTCGATGAATCAATTGAAAGTCCAGGCTGTTTCACTCAGTAAATGTTAATAGCTGGATCAAAAATTTGATGGACATGGAATAACATCCTGGCAAAACAAACAAGATCAATAATATAAAGTGACATTAACAGTATAAGCTATTAACAAGTTGAATGATTGATTTTATATGTTTGAAGCAATAATATATTTTTGTGTGAGTGAAAGCTATAATAGAGTAAAAGTGTGAGTGAGTGAAAGTGAAAGTATAAAGTGAGAGTGAAAGTATATAAATGTATAGCTAGAAAAATATCGAATTAAAATAAGGTTACAAACAAACAAAGCAACCATGATTAATTAGCCAGCAAGCAGAAATCCATTCACAATGAAATGATGTTAATAGGAATAGAATCATTAAGTATTGCATTGTAACACAACATAGACCATACATCTCTACTATTTTCAAAACTAATTTTTTCTTGATGCAATTTTTGCTTGTCAAAGGTATTTGAGTTTTCTAGATTTGGGCAAACATTTTTTAGATGTTTTGAGACTGATCTTTTGATAGTTCAGTGGAAGCCCTATATGATAGGGTGAAATATAAACTGAACAGTTTTTTATTTGGTTTTTTGTTCTCTCAGTGCATTGCGGCTGTCAATGTATCCTTTTTAATTGCCCCCCTCCCCCACTGCCTCCGCTAATCATTTTGTATTTAGAAAAAACATTGCCTCAATAAGGGGATAGATGGTTGACATCTGCCTAGGCAATAAATAATTGACGGTTCAAGGCAAATCAATACAGCAGATGTTTCCAAGCATGTTCAATTGATTCCCCTTTTTCCCTAACTTCCTAAACAAACTTCGTAGCAGCCCCTCCCACTTCTTTGCAAATCAAAAAAGCTTTCTGGGAAAAATATTAGCAGTGATTCTTTATGTTGCCTCCCCACCCCACCCCCTACTTTCAAACTTGCATTGGAGCCTACTTTTCGTAGCAGTCGGTTAATCTCTAGATCTTTGAAGATCTCTAGACTAAGATCTTCTTTTGCTTTAGATGCCGCATATAGATATATCACTGATTATCATATGCCTTTTCCAGGGGGGGGGGGGTAAAAATCGCTGTTTCAGACCTGCAGCCCTCACACTATCCTATCGACTTCTTGGGAATTCTCAGTCATGATCCATACCCTTTCCAAGCTCAATTTTGCATGAAATTGAAAATACTCTTCCTTTGAATTTGATAACAGCACCAACAAAAAATGTCTTTCTCGGTTAATAAACAATTTGATAACGGTAAACAGTAGAACAATTTTTCCAACAGCAGCTTTGCCAATATTTGAAACGCACGCGATAAAATTGGAATGCCCTAACTAGTTTGTTACAAACCTGACCTATGTGTACATTCTTAGCAGAGGAATTGGTGCTTGTGGCTGACAGAAAGCTGTTTAAACAAAACGAAACGTAAACCGTTAGGTTTGGACTGACCAAAGCCCCTCAGCAGAGGATCCTATTTCCAAGCGTTGCTCCCATTAACTACTTGCACAAAAAACTTACGGCTTTATCAAGGTCGGTCAATCTTTGTGAAAGTTGGATTGAACTTGTCCAGCTTGCTGTCAGTTTGAACACAGAATAGAGAATACAATGTATTATGTAAGATTAGAACCAGGACTGTAGCTTCTATATATAAAGGGGGGACTCGAGCACGAGCTTCTGCCACTATTGGGAGAACGAAATCAAGAGAATGTGGACAGTGGCGTAACGCACGGTGTGCACCTTTAAGCATAAAACTAAGGGCCCCCAAGCATTTGGGCCCTGAAGGGGCCTCCAAGAAGTTTATCGAAGAAAGGGGTTTTTAATGAAAGCGTATGATTCTTAATAGCATTGTCAGCATCGTTGGCGAAAGACTGGATACGGTTTGTGAATGTGAGCAACCAGTAAAATAATGATGCAAGATATAGCATGTCAATTAGGTTTTGCTCTAATGCACATCCATATCGGTATGAGATTTTGTATCTAATTTTACGAGAGTATAACATATATTTAAAATTTAATCGATATCCTCCACGAAGCAGTTTGAAAATATTAATCTTCCTGAACATGTTTTCAAATGCATGTTCAATCCCCATCGGTATATGCTGCATGGAAATCCAGGAAAGTTTAGATGAAGATCAAAGAAAATATCTCAGGCAGCAGAATTTCTCTTCGTATGTTCTTATATGTTATTTCTTTGGGTTTTACAGGAGCAATTACTTAGTATTTAAAACCTGACGCAGCTTTAGTTAAGTATATGGCCCTCAAAACACTACTTTCAATAAGGGCCCCACACTGCTCCGTTACGCCACTGAATGTGGAACATGACATTTTGAGACTGTACTTCCGAGTACTTGATCAGAGAAGGTTAAATTCAATTTTGTGGAAATGTACCGCAAATTCCGCTAGAGTATGGTATAGCCTCTCCTTATGATGCCATAATGAGCCCCAAACATTACCCTCACCCCAACTATGGGTTCATTAACTATCCCCTTTTTCTCTGAAGTACATTAGACCCCTGACAGCTGAAAAGGTTTTGATTTTTTGAAAACTCTCATTGCAAAAGCATTAAACAAGCTTGAAATATTTCTAAATATATCTCCCTTTTTATTTTATTCATTCTCATTAAGGTTTGAGAATACATATCAGGCTACAAAACGAGTGAAAAAGTGGAAAACCTGTGTATAAACGTGCATACACCTCAGCATCACTACAACCCATTAACTGTGAGATATTATCGAAAATAGAGAGAGGTACAGCTACTTAAACTGTAAATATGTAGGTGGCTAACAAAAAATAGGAGGGAAAAGATAACAATTTTGAAAAAAGGTGAATAAAACTGTTTCATACATGCAGGATGTGATTGAAATATGATCGAGGCTTCTGAAGCGAAATCAGACTTATGTATAAAGAAAAACTTGAAACTTAACATAAAGCATAAATATACTTGACGGGTAGTAAGAAAAAGTCGCTGAATCAATGTTTGATCAATTCCTTATCAATATTAATTTTGTTTGCAATCGAGTGTATAGCTGGTCTATTTAAAAGCAGTTTCTTCATGCTCTTCTTCAAACATACAACGGATTCTTGCTTGTGAAAGACAAGGATTACTAAAAACGATCTGCAGCACGGATGGTATTTCTAATACTGTTTCACCGAATACGGGAACCTGTTATTCGCTACATGTAAACGGAGAAGAGATGGGCGAGTGTTTGGCTAATGATCTAGCTGCAAGCAGTCCGCTAGTTTACCATGCCATAACTGTAAAATATTTAGATATTGTAGCAACCATATTGACAATAATTGGAAATGGTGTTTGTATTTTGACATTCATAAAGACAAGAAGTCTTCATTCACCTGCAAATTTTCTTGTTGGAGCTTTATGCATGAGTGATTTCATTGTTGGCTTAGTCGTGCAACCATTCTACTTGGCAATGTTGATTACCATGCAGACAAGCTCCGTCTCTTTTGAAGGTTATTGGCAAAGAACAGATTTTGTCATGGTATTATTTAATGGCTTCTCAGTGTTCTTGGCCTACCTCGTAACACTGGACCGTTACCTTGCTATTTGCTATCCTCTGAGATACTATACCATGGTTACAATAAAAAGATATGTATTAATGGTTTTCGTTGCGTCCTTAACCGCTTTGATAGGTGCATTGGCTGTCCTGTACGATCGTGCAGCGTATTACTACGGCTCGGCTATGATATATATAATTTTTGCACAATTTGTTGTGTTCTATGGCCTTATATACAACGCCATACGTCAACAGCGTAATAGAATTACAGTACTTGGAAGCATTGATGGAGAAAGCCGCAGTGTTGTACGTAAACAGAAGGCAGAGAAAGACAAAGCATACACAATTGGAATATTATTGGTGATATTTTTCTTATGCAATTTCCCAGGTACTGTTATCTTCATGATCGCTAAAGGAACCAACGAACTTTGTAACTGGACAGCAGTTGAAATAAAAATGCACATGTGGAGCTTTTGGTTGTTTCTTTTGAACAGCTCAATCAATCCTATTATATACTCCTTGCGAAGTAAAGAATTCAGACGTGCAACAAAACGTCTTGTGTGCCGGGGTTTCTTGGCAAGGCTCTCTGATTCTGATAGTGGTATTGCTTTGGAAGTTCCCGGAAGGAGACTTAACACAGAATCATTGTAAAAGAATATTCAGTTTTAAAGAATTCAGCAGTAACAACACGAAATATCAGTGCGTTAGAATGAAATTCATGTTAGTGGAGGGCTGCCTATTGTATTGCTTGTTATTCAGTACACTAGTGTAAGGAGATATAGTATAGTCTAATAGTTATTGGGGGATTGGGGGAGGGGGGGCTCCATCCCCTGCTTCTGACGGCCTTGCATACAAATACAGAAAAAGCAAACCAAAGAATGTTTTGCAAAGATGTTTTATGAGAAAGAGATTCACAAGAGAAACATTGAAGACAAAAGATTCAAAGTTATATGAATAAACGCTAAAGAATCAATGCTATCACTTTAAATATTTGTAAAACCATAGTTTGTCGAGTGCTATAACAATCTTGCTCATTATTATTTCATTTTAAAATATCAAAGAAGAAGGTAAAAGGCACTTTATGACAAGGCTTTTTGAAACTCTACCACGCATCAAAGGTTTTCCGCCATATAGATATATTATAACATCCCAAATTTCATCTAACCCATCACTTCTTATTTCTATAGAGTTTTCCATTTACTACATCCAATCGATTCTCTTCATCCGTCCTTACAAGAAGACTTTCCCTAATAGGCTGATAAAGTTATTGCAAATATATTAATTCTTACCTTATTATATTAATTCTTATTATAATATGTAAATATTAATTCTTATTACATCTGAAATGCTCTCAGTCGGTACACTTCCATAATTCCTAATTATATATCGTTATCAATAAAAAACGGGCTTAAGCTTGCTAGCTCGCAAACAAAAATCAAACTAAGGAAACGGGCCCTTTGAGAACCAGCGCTTGCCCTGGGGCTACGAAAAACACGGGCTCTTGTGCTGGATTTATGGCGTAGGGGCAAGAGGAGGCTTTAGCATCAGCAAAATTTTTCGCGGGCCCTTCTTGGAACCCGGGTCCTGGTAATCTATCCCTGGAATGTTTTCTAAGATGTACTTAGGTTCATTATTCTTTATTTTCAGGTGCATTGATGTTCTGTGTAAGATATTTGTTATGGCAACAGAAATCAATAAAACGGGATCGCACTTCTTCATTTTGCACTTTCATAATGTAAATACGGTTACAAGTTAATTTACTATAGATACACAGTCACTATTGATATATATATAAAATGTATAATCAATGCTCTTGAATACGGTTACAAATAAAGTTAACTTATTATTGATAAGTACAGAGACGGATTTAGGCGGCAAAGATTGGAGGGAGGGGTGTTAGAAAATGATTGGATTTTGGTGCTACACCATTAAGTTGATGGAGTAGAGTTAAGTTGATGACTAGAAATTGATGGAAACGCCCATTTTCAAAGTTCAGCTTTTAACTTCAAGAAAGTACGAATATCAGATACGAATATTAATGAAGCAAAATTTACAGAAGGACACACGTATTTTTTTGGGGAAGGGGTGTCACACCCTCTACACTCCCGGTAAATCCATCCCTTGATATATAGTTGCTATTGATGTACTTAAGATGTATAATCAGTGCCTGTTTGATTCCGAGGAAGGTTTTGTGCGGGGAGAACATGGACAAGTTTCTGCACTCTGAAATTTCCTCCACTGATTTAGATTCATTACCAAGGTTTTTTTTTAGATCAATGCATGTTTGCTACTTGCAGTTAAAGCAGAACGTTACCCCTTGTAAATATTCATATTGTTGATGTGTTAAACACGTTGGTAGTTTGATGGTGTAAACGTTAAAGTTATGCCGCAGAAAACCAAGTATATATTGTCACGATTTAAACGACAGAATCAGAAGATTTTGAGCAAGATTCATATTTAGTTGCAGCATAGAAAATACTTTAACTCTTTGTGTTGCTATTTAAAGTATTGTGTAGCGATCAGGAATAAGTCTGATATTCCTTTTCTTTGTTTTCTGCGCTACGATTTTTCGTCACCTAAAAAGCAAACTTTTTGAATCTGAAACTTCTTTTTTTATCTTTCTGAAGTTAATTCTTGGTGCATGCTTTCAAAGCGTTATGTTAACTTAGCTGGGAAGTCCAAATGAACAGTTTTGTAATCAAGAACGAGATTTAAATAATTTAATAGACAGGGAATTTGCATAACAATCTAGCAAACTGGGTAACCGAAGTTTTTAAAGTTGAAATCATAAGAGTAAAGACCATTGATCATTTTAAGCCCTGGGAACATTCTGGCAAATGAGCGGAAGTTACGTTTCCGGAAGCATGAAAAGTGCACGGTCAGCAAAATCTCAACTTTTGAATTTTTCAAATCTGATGATACTATCGGAAAAAACATGCAAAACTGAGCAAAAGATTTAAAAAGAGCAATGTGATCTCATCTATAAGCAAAAAATTATGGCTGTGGAAACTTTTCGTTTTGTCAAACAACTTGCTATCTCGAGTTTCCTGATAGTGCAGACGCATAGCAGTAGAATTGTGCATGTTGTCATAATAGTATGAAGTTTGATACAAGCACACAATCTGATATGCTGAATAAGATGAAGTTCATATAAAGCTTCAAAAAAGCCCCCAAATACTATTTTTGGACTGGTGTACTGGTATCCAGTCCTCTTTCTGGTATAGCACTACAACCTTCTTAACATTGCAAGTTATAAAGCTGAAACTTTTTTCTGGCGTTATTTGATGTGCTGGATACAATGGATAACCGGTCCTCCACTGCTTTCCGCATGCAGTGCTTTATTTAATGGGCAGCTTGGTATCGACTTTGATAAAGTTTACATAGAGAGTTTCAAAAAAGAAAGCGGTACAAAAAATTCGACGGATTCGCGTATTAAGGCGCGAAAACGCGAAAAGAGGCAGACGCGAAAGAGCTGCTTCAAGTTTACTGCGCAGGATCAGTTATAAACAGTAGTTTTTAGATGGAGTTAAAACAAAAATCAATCTTGACTTGGAAAAAATCAAGGATCCCTTGAAAAGAGTTTGATCTGCCTTGGTAAGAGGTATTAAAGGGCTCTGTTTATAGAATAGTATTTTTTTCCAGCAATACACATTGTTAATTGAAGGGTTTATTGTATAAATTACGCCGGCTCTAGCTAGGCCAACCAAAAAGGTCTAGCAAGTAGATTGCTGGAAAATTACTAAACGTTATTACTCAATCTTCCCTCCCGCGATAATAATTCATTGTTTTAATTGAGGTCCAAAGACTAAATTTTTTAATTAAAGTTGTGAACCTGTGTTGATATTTGCGACCCTCCTCAACCCCAATTGTAAGAGGCTTTACAACGTAAAGAGAGCAAGAGGCAAAGACAACGCGCTCTATACATTTTGTGTACTCTTCAATTGCACTAAAAACTAACTCTCTAAAAAATTACAAACACTGATATATACGGTAACACGTGTATGTCCTTGATTAATAGCTAACACGTGATATAACACGTCATTGTATATATACCATGATAGGGGGTCAATGTTGCTCCACCAAACATTGCCTTTTAAATGGGGTTAAAGGCATTGAGTCATGGTGAATAGGCCTTCTCTATAGGGGCTCATTTGGTTTCAGCGTGATTGCTGCTGTTTCATGTGATTCTTGCATCCATTGTTGACAACTTGCTATTGATGAAAATTGTTTTGTCAATCAGTACAAGGTGAGTTCATATGACCAGTTCCAGGTCAACCAACAGCATCGCTGTCATGAAAATCATGACTATATGACAGGGGATTTTGGCACTTAGGGTATACCAAATCAATTTTATCATGACTCAACGCCTTTAAGGTTAAGGGGTATATAGTTGATGGACTGCTCATGGAATCCATGCTATTGCTATCTAGCATGTTGGAAGGTGTCAGGGCTGGCAAAACCGGGGTGGGGTCAGGGCGCATGCCTTTTTTGCAGAGCATAAGCAATTTTTTGAGGCAAAAGTAGACATAAATCTACTAATATCATTCTCTAAGTAACTGTGCTTAGTCAGGCACGGGTCTAGTTAAAATTTTGACCGGTTTTGGGGTGCTGTACTCCGTGGCAGCCCTGTGTGTTATTGGTCCATAAAATATTGCTAAAAGTTGCTAATGAGGTTAGTAAAATGTGCATAATTTGGCCTTTTACCATTCAGCATGGCCTTCGATCCTCTTCTTGTAACTGTAATTCTAATTTTTATGAGTTTTACTGAGAAATAAAGTCTAGTCCCACAATACAAAACCTTTGATTCTTATTTGCATCCGTATTTCATTTTGTATCCTTTTTTTTAAGCGTCCACACTTTCAAGCAATGGATATCAATATCGCATATGCTTTTTAGCCACTGGTTTTTTTTGCATGAGGAAAACATATGGGCACCAGTTTTCACAGGTTTTCAGAAAACAATAGCCACCAGTTTCAATATTGGCACATAGAAAGCATATTCCAAACTGTCACTTTGAGTGGCAACTGATTTCATCGGTTTTATATTCCTCTGCTACTTTGCGAGTTCTATCAGAATCTTGTTGGGGTTCAATTTAGTATGTAAACGGAAGAACTGTAGCCAGTCAGGAAGAAATGCAGCAATTGTTCCAATTAAAATTTTAGATAAAAAATTCGAGATTTACAAAGAAACATAGCTCAATTTGACTGAGTTTTTGAAACCTGTGCAACCGGTCTAGATTCGCGCCTGTTAGTAATCCCTTAATACGCCCTTAGCTTTAGCTTGGTTGCTCTATTTTTACCATAGAAGACATATATAAATTGAATATTGGAATTAAATCGAAGAAATCGGTCATTGTCTAAGTTTTACAACGAGTAACAGCTTGGCTTAGCAAATAGAACAAGAAACCTGATCCAAAATTACTTGGTGCCAGCACAAATTGATGGAGTTTCGTTTTTTCTATGGCCTAATCAGAAACATTATAAAAAAGAGAGAAATCAGCTGTTGAAGGAAAGAAAAAGCTGCGAAGAAAGTTTTAGAGGATATGAGAAATAAAGAACAGGCAGATTTGTTCCAAAAAAAGTTTCATCAAGAAAACTTTAAAATTTGGTTGCTTAGATAATCCATTTCTGCTAAGGATTTAAAATCTAGAGTCTTTTTGTTAAAAACCCTTTATTCCAAAATTTTAAGATCAGATGTTACAAATTAATATCCCAATTGTACAAAAACTTTTATTTTTATTTTTAGCTGATAGTTCTTCTGTTGATATTTCAATGTTATTTTTTTTATCAAATCATTTTTTATTTATTTTTCTCCTCCATCTATTTCGGGTACCTTCAAAATCTAAAAAAGGTCACCCAGGACAATTTCTGCATAGATCTTTTTTTATAACCATAAATTTTTGCAAAAGAATGTCACACGTCATAACATGACTGGATGTTTTCAGGCGTGTGGTGGTTAGCATGCCTGCTATATTTTTCCCATGAAAGTCTGAACCATGGTAGCAGCCTTTCCTGATCACTTTCAAGTCTTTGATATTTTGGCTCCTCCACTTTCAAACTTAAAACTTAACTTTAATATTTTGCTCACAGCAAATTCTAATCCCTTTTGCAACTCATTCTTTGGAAGCTAACTCCATGCAGCTATGCAAAGTCATTTTTAATTGAATGCTGACACTTTGATTAGAACAGAAATTTCGGAAAGCAAAGAACACAAACAAAAGTCTGGAAATTTGGAACAGAAAGCCAAGTTTGGCATACATATAAAAGTTATAATTTTGTGAAAGAGACCTGCACTTTAGTATCTTGATGAATGTTTAAAAATTTATCAACTCCTCTTTGATTGTCTTATTTCATTGTGGTATGATGCACCTAATATGGAAACTCTCACAAATTACATGACATGCAAGCATTTTTTGTGTGTTTCTATAACATATGATGCAATTTTTCTTGAAAACGAATATTTTATTTTAGAGACAACTTTGAAAAGGTATCATCCTTCATTCAGCATGGAGTCAAAAGAGTCAACAGAGGGTAAGAACTAATGGTTTTTAAAGAACAGCAAACTTGAAAAATATTTGAAGGCTTAGACGTACCTAGGCAAATATACATTATTCTTTTTGCAAGCATAGATATGTATGCCTGTGACAGAGTGACTTAGTGCCACAGAGAGACATGATGCAAACTTACATATGTGTTAGAATTAATTCTAGAAACATTACATATGCGGTTGTTTTGTTTAAGATTTGCTTTGTTTATCCCCTGCTGACATTTGCTCTGTAATTGTAGTTCATGGTATGATTAGTATGCATAGAGTTTTCTAGAACGTTCGACTGTAATCACAATAGGTATTTTTAGAAAAATGATGTAATGATTAGCAGTAGTATAAATAGAGGTTGTGTGCCCGTAGAAGAGAGATCATACTGAACTGTTCGAGTAGCTGTTTGCATTCGAAACAATTTTGAGTTCACAACAATACCTTATTTTGTAGAATGTGCAGAGAATGATGGTGAGGCAACTTTACAAGAAATGAAACCATCAAAGTTAAAATGGCCTCCAGTCAACTGCAAAGAGAAAATTGTAAGTTGTTAAAAACATTTTCCAGCAGCCAAAGTAGATTTCATTGTCTTTTCACATTTTGCTTTGTCAGTATCATTTATGCAGACTATTTTGCTGTTCCAATTCAGGAGATTTTAAGATGTCCAGTTAAGATAGCAGTGACACAGAAAGTAGCTCAAAGTTGCTTTAAATCTATTTCTGTATATTTTGATGGGGAATTGAGCTATACATCCATTGTTTTTTATTATATTACAGAAATTCTATCCACACCTTGGCAACCTGTACTGTATTATTTGTGTTTTTCTAACAGGTTATTTTTGTAGACATATCATCAGATATGAATAGTGAATCACTTAACCAAGGGAGATCAAGGTATGGTGATACATTTGTCATAAAACAATAAAACATATTGTCTTTTATATTTAGATCATTTGTACTTCTGTTTAGACTATTTATAATAAATCTATTGTTGGTATTTGCTTGTTTGTTTTACTAGCCATAAAATTGGATTTTATCCGTTTTAACTTGAACCATTGAATTTGGTTGATACTATAATATAGTGTTCTAAATAGTTGTATGTGCTAGCTTCCCTTTTTGGTTTGGTTGTTGTTAAGAATTATTAGTCTTGATTATTATGATGAGCATCATTATATTGTTTATGAGTTGAGTTTTGCACATGGAGATGATCAATAAGTGATAAGCACGCTCCATGAATTCTAACCTTTTGTATTCAGCTCTATTGCTATTAGTTTGAGTTCTGTTTGATATGATAAATATAAGCTTCGAGAAAAGTGAATAACTTGTGATACTTCTGAAATTCTAACAGTTGCCACAAAATTCAAGGCCAATATGATCATATTGGTTCTCAAACAACTAAATATGATTTAGCAAAGATATTTCTAAAGTTATCATGCATTGTGCTAAAAACCTTTTAGCAGGTATCAGTAAGGTTTCAAGACTTTGAGACTGTCCTGTAAAAGTGGGTTTTTGTTACTTTTTAAAAAGATGATTTCTTTCAAAAATTGAATTGAAAGTATTGCCAATATTTTGGTCTTTTTGGCTTCAAACTATAGACTGATGGCTTCACAAAAGTGGTTTGAGTTTCATGGACTGTGGTGACCAGGAGGGAGGTTCGGAAAGGGCCTAGGCATCCCGTGCGGTAGTGTAGAGGAGGGAATAGGCAATTATAAAGCCTAGTTTTTTTAAGAAAATACATTATTCCCAGGTGATAGCTGGGTGATTTGTTTGCGCAAACTATCAGGTAACTAAAATCTTAAAATGTTTACTTGTTTAATTAACAAAAGCTTCATATAGAGTAAATTAGGGGCCAGGCATTTTTGGCGGTAGGGCCGAGGTGGAAAACAGGTAATGTTTCACTGCAGACATTTTACCAACCGTTAATGTTCCTGCTTAGGGCTCCTAGATTCGTACCAAAAAATTACTCTAGAATGTTAGTTTAAAAAATCTTCTTCGTAGAAAAACGTAAATTTTTTTCCCGGGCAAAAGTATGAGGGTAGGTTTTTCTCCACAGCAACTGTGTTTTGATTTGAAATATTGAAAAATCAAGCTCGAAATGCAAGCCGGTGATTGGCTAATGACATTTTGTAAACAAACCCGCTGATTGGTCTAGAACAAAATGTGCCCTTGTTAATGCAATGGGCATGAATTTTGATTGAACTTTGTATCAGCTTTTTACATTAATTTACAGATCACAGCCCTTTATCTGGTTTGTCAAAAAGACTCTGCAGATGTTCTTTGTTTCAAAAACAATCTTGAATCCTGAGCATGAATATGCTATGGTCCTTATGCAAGACAACACAACTGTCTGGGTATGAATGCAGTGTGTTTTGTTATTTTCTCTTGGTTGTTTTTTTATTAACAAACTAGTTATTTTGGTAACACTTGGTTGGCTGCCAGTGAAATAGCCAGAGATTGCCATCTACTGAATCTTTCTCATGATGAACTTTCATGATGAAAGAACGCCTAAATATATTGACATATCACTGAAAGAAAATACCAAAAATTCAAGTCCTTCTAGTTCTGTGCCTTTTTTTATGTCATCACATGCTTCTAACACATTCAGGAATGATGCAGCAGATCTATTCAATAAACTGCCAGCAGAAGTCAGGACAGCTAAGACTACAAGGGAATTTTCAAAGCAAATACAAGTATTTTATATTTAGATGAAAAGAAAAGACTTCTAGTACAACATTAGTTTGACATGAATTTTTTATTACTTGCTTAAATTAATTACCTATTATATTGTAAATAATTCTAAGAATTTTAAGTCTTAAAACAAATAAAGTAGTTTTTAGCGACCAGGTGAAGAGTCAGTCTGTGGAGAAACTGGTCTTGATTTCATTATTTTTATCATTATTGTTATTTGAGATTCCTTTTATAAGAACTGGCTGGCCAGGTCAAAAATGTGGAAAGCCCGGAAAACACGGAACACGCGGAACACACGGAAAAGTGAAATTTTGCTCTAAGCTTTTGGAATAGAAATACATAAACAAAGGAACAAAGCTCTTTCAAAAATTGAGATATAAGACCTTATTTTTAAAGGAATGAGAATTCAGCGTTTTCCGCGTTTTCAATTTCACCCTCGTTCTCTCCTTTAAAAATAAGGTCTTATATCTCAATTCTTGAAAGAGCTTTGTTTATGTATTTCCATTCCGGAAGCTTCAAGCAAAATTTCACTTTTCCGCGTGTTCCCCGTGTTCCGCGTTTTCCACGTTTTCGACCTGGCCGAACTGGCTTGCCTTTATGTTTCACTTAATGTTGCTTTTTCATCCCAAGAATCTTTCTCTCAATTTCACTCGAGGTTGATGTTGGTACAAACTATCCTTTCTAAATCTTTAAAATTCCACATTTTTCACCTTTCTACTTGTTTGCTAAACATCTCTTGTTTGATAATGTCTTTCAAATCTAATAAGCTCTGCCTATCATGTTTTCCTTAGCCATTTCACATATAATCTTCATCCTTTTTAGCAGTTTAATCATTTCAAAATTTAAGCTTTTAGTTAACATTTAAATTTTTTACCTTGTGTGATAGTAGTTTGTACTAGAAGTTTCAGCTCATCGACTGAAATAAAGTTAAACCTGATAACCTGGAAAAATCTAGGTAGAGTAAAGCTGAAAAAGAAGTTTGTTGAATCATATTTGAAAGAAATGCAAGCACCTAACCCTCTTAAATTCTTCTTTAGTTCCAAGAGTTCAGCAACAATTCTAAAAGACTGTGTGAATCAGTGGCAGATCTAGAAGCTGGAGAAGAGCCTGTTGATTCTGAGAACACCTATGGTATCCTTTCCAGATAAAAACTGCTGAAATATCTTCTTCTTTCTTTGTGTACATTTTCATACATGTTGTTGAATTGTTATATCTGTCATTTTTCAGAGAAATTGTCTTTAAGGTTTGGAAGTAAACAAATACTACCTGGCAACAAAATCTAGGAAGGATTAACCCGACAACTTAGCATTGTCTTTTAACACCAAATTATGAATTGGCTCTTTTTCAATGTTGCTAAAAAATTTGACCATATTTATAGTTGTGTGAACTACTTTAGAAAATTTTGAGAAGCAATTTTTCTGAATCCTTCTTAACTCTCCTCCAGATTTTGGTGCAGTTGTAACACTCTTGTAAGGTTTTGAATTATTTTAGAATGCAGTGTATTTTTTTACATGAATTACTCAGTTTGATAAAATCAACGTATCCATTTATAGAAACAAAAATAGGACTATGTTTCCTGTCTTTCTTAAATTTTCTTCTTTACTTGAAGCTTTTGCCCTGAATTTTCAGAGATCTGATATCACCTTAAGCTCTTTATTGATTTGCATTGTTGTATGTATTTGTGTTATGTTTTTCTGTGCTGCAACAATTGTTTGCTTTTTGAGAACAGAAAATTTTAGAAAATGAAATAACCAGAACAGGACTTAAACCTGTGCTTTTTTGCTCCACCACTTAGCTTACCAGTAGCATTTTAAAAAAATCTAAGCATAAATTGTTTCACACCCAGTTTCTAAACCCGAAGTCAGGTTCTTTTAGCTTTTGTTAGAGAATACTAGAATCTATTCATAGGAGCTTTTTGGAACTTTGTTGATTGAGTTATATATTGTTCTGGCATAATGGGTTCCTTCTAGATTATTATTGCTTTTGTAGTTATAGTAGATAATTTCATATCATTGCTTTTTAGGAAAGAACACTGTGAGCTTCCAGAGGTAGAAGACATAGCTTTGCCACCACCATACATCATCCGTGTGATTTTCATTTATGGAAGATCTCAGTGTTGCTTGAATTTGTCAGAAGAGAAACAGAAGGTGAAGAATCTCCCTGTTTTCTGATATAGTTTTCCTTTGTTTTCATAAATATATGTAGAAAGGAAAATGAATGTCTATAGATGGAATTTTTTAACTTTTTATGAATAAAATTTCCATTTAATAAGATTTTTTAAATGTCACATTTTTTTGTATAGGAGCTAGAAGAGCTGAAAAAATCTCCATATTTCTTTCTTGATGTTCTTTACCTGCACGAAATTCCCTCTGCTGATAACAAAGCTCAGGTATGCATATTATACAGTTTGTTTGTTCTATTATGTGGATGAATTTCATGTCCGTTTCATCTTAATTGCTAGTCATTTCTTTATCAAGGTTGACAAAATGAGATTTACAAACCTAGAAGTAAAGTTAATGCACTTAATCAATATAAGAACAGTTTATTTAAATCCTAAGCATGCGACTGATACACATGAGAAATTCAGCTGATCTTGGCAGTTTGAAGAAGATTTTTCGATCGATCCTTAGAAAGTGATGAATAAGAGTACGGCGTATTTTCAGTTTTTTTTGTTTAATATTTTTTAAGGGGTTTTGAACCACTCAACCTCTTTGTGACCCAGAAAAGTGTTCTGGGACACTGATTAGTGGCATCAGTAACACTAGTTAATGGTGATGGTACTAAGTGTTCTAGGTCCAATTCAGTCAATTTGAATTCGGTGGATTTGTTGGAGATTGACAGGAATATGCTTGTGGTTGCTAGCTAGAAGCACATCCGTGTCTAAGCGGTTGAAAGCAGTTGGGAGAAATTCTTTTCTTAGAACCCGAAATACAGAGATCTATGACCATACCTACAACGGGGCAAATTAGTTACGAAGGAAATTTCAAATCACGGTTTTTCCAAACTCTGTGGGTCCTAAGCTTTTACTTCCTAGCTTTTTGATTGCTTTGCACAACGGCTGAACAATCACACCAGCAATGAATCAATTTGAGAAAACACGCCTACAAGGAAGATTTTATTGAAACGAAGACATTTTTATAAGCCAAATTTGCAATCATGGTAGCAATTACTTTTCTTTATACGTTATTACACAGTTTTGACACTGTAAACACGAATTATTTCTGGAAGTTGCTTTTTGTTATTTTTCCCTCCTACAAAAAGATGAAATCGCCAGTTTCGAGTAATCGCAATCTTCGATGTGTAATTACCAAACGCCTAACAAAATTCTTCTGGGTAAATACTGACAAAATCGAATTTATCCTTCTTGGTTACTTTATCCAAAGGCAAAGAGTTTTCGGCTGTCTTAGTAATTTGTGTATCTCTTGCCAGGCAGAAATTTGAAGAGGAAAAATCAACTATTTCAAATGAGCACAGAAGCTATGTTAAAAACTTCGTTTTGAAAATAATCCGTATATTGTTCGGGAGACGAAACAAAACCGTCTGGTTCCTTTGCTTCAAAACAATACCGCCTTAACCAATCAGCGTCGCAGGGTGATAAGAAGCGTGAATTCAATAATTAACTTCAGAAGTTCCATAACTGTTTTAATATGAGACACAGAATAGGATAAGAGTGATTATCTGGATGTTCTTACACTCGATGCTATTTTATCTGCCATAGCCCCATTTTCTCTCTTGAACTTCCCACCAAGGCTTCAAGTGATAATGCGCATGTGCCATGACCCCCTAACGGGGGCTAGTGCCTGTTCTGAAAGGCGGGCATGATTCGTCTCCCGAACAATACAGTTTTTCCTTTTTGATTAGGCCCTGCCAGGAAGAAAACAGTAGAAAGACTTTTTAATAAATAAGACTACCCCCGCACACGCCGTCCACAAAGTTCATTTGTATTGAACTTCGTCATTGATACACAAGCTCTCTAACCCAAATACTATGACTTAATTATTAGATGATTTGTGCGTTTACCCAGCAACCCCTATTTTGTTTTTCACAGCATTTTTGTATTCTCTCAAGTATTGTAAAACTTGCTAAAGCTAATGCTCTTTCCATTTCCAGGAGATTTACGACTTCTTCTGCAATCTAGACAAAGAGGAAAAAGGATACATTTTAGAAGTCTCAAATAGTGCAAAGATTCTTTATGAAACTTTTGCAAAACTAATATGTCATCCGTTACAAAGATCTCCTCAAAATGAAGCTTTCTATGATTTGATACCAGCTCCAGTTGAAGAGGTTGCCGATAAACCGTGAAAAGTGTAGCAGAACAAATTAATAAACCACCTATCGCTGAAATTACAGACAAGAGTCTTAAAAGAACATCAACTGAAGCCAACGATTAGAAGATAACACAAAATTCTGTTTAAAGGAGACTGCTGTAAGCTTTTTTAGTGCAGAATTTTTTGTCAAAATTTTCCTTTTACAGAGAAAATCCGTAAGGTCGGAATCTACTGTCCATTGAAGACTATTCAAACATTTCTAACGTAGATTGGTCTTCGTTTGATCAGCTTTGTTTATATTTCTTACGATGTTATGAAATAAATGTAACGTTATATTTGATTGCATTTATGGCAGATTATGAAAAAGTTGCATAGTTCGTTTAATAATATCCCCAGGAAATTTCTTGAAAAGAAGAGCTAACGTATAAACACATTTATTCCCAAACTTGAATTCAAGCAACTTGTATTAAAGCATTCTCAATCCTTAAAAAAGCAAATTTTTTGACTCGGATATCGGTATGTCGTCATCATAACCTTTTTGGGCGCATGGAGTGCGTTTCCTCGTCGCATCTTTTAAAAGGTAGTATCCAGAAATCCATGAAAGACATTTCAGTAATTATTGTTGCTTATTGTAGCTCAATTTCACAAATAAATGATGAACAGAAGAATCAGAAAAAATCTGTTGTCAATGTCTTTTTCGTAATTTATAACCCTTCCTTTTTAAAATTCACTACCATTTTATTACACAACAAAGATAATTTTCTCAGATATTTTGCCCTCTACAGCAGTGGCGACCTGGTCTTTTTCGCCTGGGGGGCCCACATCCAAATGGCGCCCTCCATAACTAACACTATTGTCTTTTTCCTGAGAATATTGGCAGTACAGGGGCGGTGCCAAGAAATTCAAAGTGTGGGGGCTCGAGTAAATAGCTTTATTTGACTAAAAAACCAACATTGGGAAGGGTCGGCGAGTGGTTGTCAGAGGCCCTTGGTATAACTCTGAATTAAAGAGGCTTTCTTGCGAGCGGAGCGAGCAGAAAATTTTTGCGACCACGCCCTTTAGATTGACTTAAAAAACATTTCAAAATATTTCTTGCAGTCATTTTCTTGAAATCGTTTGAAAATGTTGCTATTTTTAAGGCATCCTTTTAGCACGTTTGATTAATTCCAGTCTTAAAATGGATTTCATTACTTTGTAATAAAGAAAAGTATCCATCCTACCTTTGTATCGTCGAGACAAATCGGTCCTTTCATGAGAAATGAAGCAATGAGACAAAATCTACTGACCCCCACATGAGCAGGTCTCTGAAGGCCAGCAGAGCCAAAGAGACTCATCGAAAATCAAAACTTTCCCTGGAAGGGGGCATGAGTCCGGACACCCTAAACATAGACTGTCCCCCGACACCCTAAACACAGTCTGTGTGTACTATGAGTGTTGTGTTCTCTACACGAAAGAATTTAACTACGTAAGTTTCCTAAAAATCATCTAAAAAATTGATTAATTTTTTCGCCCCGGTGAACAGTACAAATGTTTTGTCTGGATAATACAGTACGGAAGGGGCAAAAAGACGTGCCCTTGAAGTGAGAATGTTTTAAAGGGGTATGGGGGCATGCGCCCCAATAAAGTTTTATGGCGTCTTTTTTGTCTTTGCTGGCCTCCAAGAGACCTAATAACCAGACAAGTCGGTCGTATCAAACTTTTTTGAGTTTTCGGCGCCCTTTACAAGCTTTGTCGCCCCTATAAAAATGTCAGCTGGGGGGGCCTGGCCCCCGGCCCCCTTGCCAGGCCGCCACTGCTCTACAGTTTGATAAAGTTATGAATCAAAGAAAACAAACACCTATTTTTGATCTTCCACATATCTGCGCAAAAAAGCTATAATTGACATACCAACAACACAGTTTTAAGTTAAAAAAAGAATACAACTCAACTCTATCATAACTCGTAAACTGCTCTATCCCAATTTTGAACACATCTTCACAACAGAAAATCAGAAAAGATAGTCACGCTCATTGTGCACCCCGAACATGCGGTTTAGTGTCCTTCTATTACCTCTTCTTTAGGGGCCAAACTTGTGATTGCTTTTTACAGCGTATTCAGTTTCTTAATATCACAATTCAGTATAGTTTGTTTCATGGACAAAGCCTGCTATGAATATACTATAGAGATTTGAAGAGCATTTAAAGATCGCCAAAATTTGCTACAAACTTGTATTGTATCAGTAAAGCACAATTGCCCCATTATTCTTTTGAATTTTTATGTGCATTATTGACAAGAAATTTGTTGAAAACAACTTTATGAGTAAAACTTATGTATGCCAAGCGCCTGTTATGTATTGGCGAACGGAATCATAACTTCAAGACACAGTTAAGTGTCAGAATTGTTCAAGAAAGGATGCTATGAAAAACCAAAATTAAGCGTCATTGTGAGTTCAATGGATTTATTCAAATTATATTAAAATGCTCAAAATGCATTTTGTAAAATCGTTGGTAAAAAATTGACTTTTGAAGGTCACGAGATTAATAAGACGAAAAATAGATCGGGCTCAATCTTGTCTTAGTGCCGTAGTATCAAACTTGCGATCGATTATTCTTTTCGTTAAATTCTTGACGATCAAATTTTTCCCAAGTATGTAAAGGCCTGAAATTGGAACATTCTCAATATAAAATTTTGCAGGCAAAATTTTGCGCCTCTTTTGTCTTTTCATCTTTAAATCAAACGAACACATATACCCATATGAACATGGTGCGTTTACACGTATTGTTCAATTTACACGAAAGGAAATTATTTTTCGAAGGGTTGGTTTCAACCCAGGTTGATCCTAGGTGAAAATTTACATGTCCTCTTCCTTCGTAACAACTATAATCTTTCGTCCTTAAAGTTGAAAAGCAACAGATTTGATCATATAGATAAACCCTCACTCAGAACTTCTCATCTTCCTTTCATTTGCTAGAATTGTGACAAGGACCCACCCGGACCTTCCATTTACATCACCAGCTAAAAATAGTCCTGTGAAGAAATTTCGTGAAACATATTAGGCAATTTTCCTACTGCTATTATTGCTTTCTCTGATCAGTGCGTAATGGGTTCATATTGCATCATTTTTTGGAACTGGTTACTAAAAATAAATGTACAAATTATACACACAATGACGTGTTCGGTTCACAGGAACTGAGGTGTAAGCCTCTCTTTCGCAATCGATTCTGATAGAGGTTCCTGACGTCATCGTTTTATAAACGCACGCGTAATCCTGACATCGCTTCTCATTTTTTCTAGCAAAGTCTGAATGCCTGAAGTATAAGGCCGCTCTTCCCGCTGGTCATTGTACTTTTAAAGCTTAAGCCAGACGGGTGTGAATAACAAAAAAGGAGAAACATGGCTTCCCAACAGTAAGTACTTCATATTCTTGTTCGAAACTCAATAGTAGTGGTGTAAATTGAAGTTAAGTAGGCCCTCACCCTTTCAATAGCCCAGGTGCGGCGTCTGCCGTCCATTGACAAAAAGACAATTCTGATCTGAAACAAAATCGTACTTTATGTTTTGAGAAGCTAGCAATTTCGTTACAAAACTGAGAATCTATTAATTAAAAATCGGTCGCAATCTTGAATTTGATTTTACGCTAAAGTGTTAAATGATTATAGTTTCTTTTAGTTGAGTTGTCTGTAGGAAGTTTAGAACGCTCAATTGTTTCTTATTACATAATGCCAATAAAACGAAAAGAAATACCAAAAGTTGTGCCACTAAAACTGTATGCAAGGTATCAAAAAACTCCCTGAGATTTCATGGTTTTAATCTAGTTTTCAGTTTCCTCATTTGATAGTTAATATAGGCCTACCATAGCCCTACCAAGATAGGAATTACGCACAAACAACCCGAAAGTAAGAGCAACAATTTTTTTAAAATGCGTTTTAGCAGCGTTACCCTAAGAAAACTCTCGAGCATTTATTAAGATGGTAATAGTCCAGAAGTATCAGACATCAAGCTGACCGTGTGGGTTTTCTATTCAATGCCAGTACACTTTCAACAGCTGTCAGTGCAGATCAATGCAAAAAACACTAGCATATAAAGGAAATTATAAAACGCCATTAAATGTATATTTTTGCAGTGCCATCGGAACGAAATTCATATTGGGGGGGGGGCTGCCCATTGTATTCCTTCTCATTTAGTACACTGTTATAAAGGAAATATACTACAGTCTGACAATTATTGGGGGCTCCAGCCCCCCCGGTTCCGACGGGCCTGTTTTGGCTAAATTAATTTCAATGCCTGCACATTTCTTTAAAATAATGACTTCTAAAAGGCTTTCAACATAAAGTTACCAGTATATATATTGTTAATTAATAAAGTGAAACAGGTATTGGTTGATGGAGATTTCAGGACAGTTTTTAATAATCATTATCCTTTTTTTAAGGGATGAGTTGGCAACTGCCATTCTCAAACAAAAAGCAAAGCCAAACAGATTGATGGTGGAAGAAGCTGTCAATGATGATAATTCTGTTGTTACTATGTCTCAGGTTTGTCTATAGTCCTTCATTGTAAACTTTAATATCAGATAAAAAAGATAGAACTGTAACAAATGCAACCTGCTTAAAGTAAACTGTCTCAGGTTTGTTCTGCAAATCATAAAGGAAGTACATGTTTATCCGAACGTCATGAGCTTAAATGTGCGGCGAACTGTTCGAATAAGCTGATTTACGGATAATCTAGGATGCATTGTTTATTCTATGCTAAAATCGAAGGAAAATATGCTGCTGTTAGCCAAATGGTCGAAATAGATACAAGGAAAAAGATAAATGGACATGCACTGTTTAATGAACATAGGTGTCACATGAAAAGAGAACAACATGATGCCCCTTGCAATGAAATTCTGCTGCACATGATCAAACACAATTTTCATGTAAACAAAGAAGTTTTGCTGATTTGCTGACTTTATTACAACATATGCACCTTAATAAATGAGAGGTTCTCCTGAAGAAGGACCTAAAATGCCATTAAGTTTTTGATTATATTATTCCTTATCATGCTTTTTATGGAGAATTATATTTGCAAAATTATTGAGGATAAAAATTGATTTTTTCTGCCCTTTTTTTAAGGCAAAAATGGATGAACTGCAACTCTTTAGGGGTGATACAGTCCTTCTAAAAGGCAAAAGAAGAAAAGAAACAGTAAGTTTATTCGTAACTTATAAAATGTTGATAAAGTCTAGTTAATAATTCAAAGGTGCACAGAAAATTTAAATTGTTTTGGTATGGAATCTCCCAAAATATTCCCCTTCTGTTAATATTTAAACTTTCATAAACCCTATTTAAAAGAAATTTCTATTATGTTTTCCAATACAATACTTTATTCCTACATTTCCTATAAAAACTTGGCTATGATTTGCAAGTCAGTTTCCTACAGAAAATCTGTTTTTTTTTTAATATTTTGTGCTCTGTTTCTTTAACAGATTTTGGCTCTGATTCTACAGTCTAGAAATATTTTTTAAATGTTAAATTTTAGGAGGTTAAAAATGTCTTTGTATTTAAATTGATTATGTATATTTATAGATAATTATTTGTTATTTTTTGTATGTTAAGTATATATTGTCTGGGCTAGCCATCTAGATTGATCTGTGTTCTGCCAACTGGAAAAATTTTCTGTCTTTATAACTTTGTGAATGTCAGTATGTTGAAATGTCCAAAAGACAGGCCTCTTAACCCTAACCCTTACATTTTAACCGATTAGATAACACTGCCCTATTTTCTAATGCTTTACTTTACCACATGTGGATATTTTCCAGGGTTTCTTCTCAAGAGCTGTTTGTTTTAACATTCAAAAGTTTGAACTATATTTGTTTTTATCTGCGAAGCCTGTAATCATTTGAAAAACAGTTTTTCTGATATATACATCTACATATGCTAAACCTCTTTGCTAAAAAAGCTTTAATTTCTACAGGTTTGCATTGCTCTATCAGATGAATCATGCTCCAGTGAAAAAATTAGAATAAACAGGGTTGTAAGGCAAAATCTGCGAGTGAGACTTGGGGACATTGTGAGGTAAGTTGAATGAAATACCTTTGGTAAATATCAGTAATCACTCTACCCTTACAAAGTATTGTTTCTGATACAATACAAAGAGATGTATCTTCACACTTAAGTTCTGCTTTTGATGTTTTCCCTGTTTTAACCTTTTTCAATAGCTTTGATTGTTTGAAAGCTTCAATATTTGTCTCTTGTTATGCTTCTTAACATACAATTTTTCATTTTATATTTCTTTTATATCCCTTTAGTGTACAAGCCTGCCCAGATGTGAAGTATGGCAAGAGAATTTATGTTCTACCAATTGATGACACCGTAGAAGGATTAACAGGGTACTTAGTTGCTATTTAACACCACTGATTATTTTATTTGATTATAACAACGTATATAATTATAATATTGATCTATCTCAAAGTATCAAATGTAAATAACATGGATGGGGAGGACTTTTTATCTAATGCTTTGCACTTAGATCTTTCTATGCTTTTAATTTCTAGTGAGTTATGTAATATTGTAATGTTATGTTCATTGTATTTGATTACAAGCTACCTGATATTTATTTATTTTATTGCTTTTTCTATTTTTAGGAGCTTGTTTGATGTTTATTTGAAACCATATTTCTTGGAAGCATACAGACCTGTGTGTAAAGGTATACATTTGCTGAATTTCCAAGAAATCCTACTAATTTCTCAGAAATTGAATAGGGGTTTTTTTATAATGAAACTGGAGAATCACTGAAATGTGTAATGAAATATGATCATTCAAGGGCAGTTTTGGCCATGAAATCATTTTTGTCAGTAACTAGGTTATTCATTTTACCTACTCACTATTATTTCCTCCTCCCTCCTTCTGACAATATGGATGCTAGGCCCTTAGTATAAGGCTGTGGTCCATACTGAAGTGTGATGCCTGATTGTTCAGAATTTTTTGTAAAGCCCTATTTGTGTCGTCAAAATTGACATTTGTGAAATTAATAATATATAATTCATTTTAGGGGATATATTTTTGGTCAGAGGTGGCATGAGGGCTGTAGAATTTAAAGTTGTGGAAACAGACCCAGCACCATATTGTATAGTGGCACCTGATACTGTGATACATTGTGAAGGAGAACCTATTAAAAGAGAGGTATACACAACATTCTTTTGTTATAAGATCTATCTAAATGTTATGTTTGTACTTTTATTTTTGATAACAGACAATATCTTTCAGTGTTGTACTAAAAAGGGAAATCTTGAGACTGAGTCAACTAACTAGAAGATGACAAAACAAATATATAAAGAAATTTTTGTTAGAATTATTGTAGCCATATAAACTCATTTGTAATGCAATGAAACATGGAATTATAAAGCTTTAAGTTTGTACTTGGTTACCACTGCCAGACTTAAGATCATTTCAAGTTATACCTTTGATTATACATATTATACATTTGATTATAACATTATTACCCGTTATCGATTTAGGATGAAGAAGAAGCTTTAAATGAAGTTGGTTATGATGATGTTGGTGGGTGTAGAAAACAGCTTGCTCAGATCAAGGAGGTATAAAGACAGTTTCAAATTGTATTGTATGTAAAACTGTTCTTGTTGAACATTTCATCCAGATGTTAACAAGTTAAATAGATTGATTGTCTTTTATTATCCTTTGATTTTTTAAGGCTGTCCACTTCTTTTACTACCTGGGCTATATTTGGTAGTTTGAAAAGGTCTACTGATGTAATGATTTGAAGGTCTACCATTAAGTATTTGATGTGTTTTCCTAGTTGTAAACCTTTAATAACTCTTTTCAGATGGTAGAGCTTCCATTGAGGCATCCACAGTTGTTCAAAGCTCTAGGAATAAAGGTCTGTATTTGACAGTTTTTTATTATATATATATTGTTTGCTGAATTGGTTATATTTATGCTACATCTATAGATGAATTATTTGTAATCAGTGTTGTCGCTGACTCTTTCAGCCTCCAAGGGGAATCCTGCTCTATGGGCCTCCAGGAACTGGAAAGACTTTGATAGCAAGGTAAGTGTGGAGGTCCTTTTATTTAAAACAGGGAAATAAAAAGTATGTGAATAAAGAAAAGTCACAGTAGCAGTCTGCTCGACGGACTCCAAGGAGTTCTTGGGGCGAAAAATTAATGAAAAAGTGCTACAAATAAAAAGTGTTTCTTAATTTCTTTGGCTCAACAAGACATTAAATTGACAATTATCAACAATCTTTATTAACAAGCAAAGTTTATAGAGTAGGTAAGTGTGGCAGCTTCCACAAAATCATTTTTTCAGCAAAGACTATTTTCCTATGATTGGCAATATATGAAGTAATTTGGTTTGTTCAAAATTTCGTTTCCTTTTTAGGGCTGTTGCAAATGAAACTGGTGCTTTCTTTTTTCTTATAAATGGTAAGTTCTGTGTGTATATGAAATTGCAAAGTTGAGAACTATTTTTTATTATTTTTTCAAATAGGATCTTTGGTAATAATTACTGCTCTACCCATTAGCTTTTTTGTCAGTCCTTGGTATCATATGTAATTTGTAATGCTATACTCGTAACAAAGCTTTTAAAGTTATGTTTAAATTTGTTAAGTATTTCAATTTTTCTATTGCTGCTTTTTAATGATTTTTTGATGATTCTTATTGTTTTTAGAACACTGTGGAATTCATTTTGCATGTTGATAATCTGTATACACTGTTTCATAAGGAGGTTTTGAATAAATTTCAATGTTAAATAAAGTATTGTTATTTCATTCTCTCAGGTCCTGAAATAATGAGCAAGTTGGCTGGAGAATCTGAAAGCAATCTTCGAAAAGGTTGGCTTTGAAATATTGATTGTTTTATTAAATATTTGGTTTATTATTGTAGTGACATGCAGTTGAATAGTGTTATGGCTTTGTTACACTTTGACCAATTAGCTTTTCTCTTTCTTTTTAGCATTTGAAGAGGCTGAGAAAAATTCACCTGCAATTATATTTATTGATGAAATTGATGCCATTGCACCAAAGAGAGAAAAGGTACTAATTGATTAACCAATTAACCACTGACTTTTATGTTAAAATATTGATTGTCAATAGGTACTTCTTTTCCAAATTAAAACTTTGATGCTGCTGAGTGATTATATGTATATGTACAAAATAAAAAGACATTAAAAGTGACATTATTTGCATATTGGATATCAATGAAATGTTCCTAGCAGTTTATTAACAATGATAAAATATGATTGTTTGCTATTTTATACAGAAAAAGATATTCACTACCTAGCTTAGCATTCTCCTTCATAAACACATTGAAATTTAGCTATTTTTAAATCATAATTCTAGTCAGCATCCCAAAGCAGTTGAGCCTTACTCATAATTAAGGTGCAATGATCACAGGGTGCTAGAATAATATGGTGTAGTTCCACTAGCAGTTTATTCAACCCTTAGGACATAAACTGCTAGTGAACTGTGCTTACCAGATATTTAGCCTCTAAGCTTCTTCTTTATTCTGGTGAAATTCTTAAGTATTAATCTCATGAAAATCTTCAAAGATACCCCCCTAGCAACCAATTGCCTATTGCCACTAACTAGCAAAATTTAGGAATTCCTCTTGTTCATATCTCTTGGCATTGCAGCCTGTTAAAATTCCAACAAGCAGCATAATGAATTCCTTTGAATACAGGAGGACTTTTTGCTTGATAAATTACTGATTTATTTTTGCAGACACATGGTGAAGTGGAGAGAAGAATTGTTTCACAGCTTCTTACTCTCATGGATGGTTTGAAACAGAGATCACATGTTATTGTCATGGCTGCCACCAATAGACCCAACAGTATAGATTCAGCACTAAGGAGATTTGGTTTGTATTCATTGGTTGTTTTTAAAATACATTTCCATTACATTTATCAGATTTTCCATGACTGGAGTATATTGGAGTCTTGAAACTATGAATTTACTTGAAACTTAGGTCGTTTTGATCGTGAAGTTGACATCGGAATACCGGATGCAACTGGTCGCTTGGAGATTCTGCAAATCCATACAAAAAATATGAGGCTTGATGATGAAGTAGACTTAGAGCAAGTAAGTTTTGATTAAGTTCAATTTGTTTCTTATATTGGCCTTTGAAGTATGTTTTTTGAGATTTTATTACTGATGAAGTAGAAATGTTGAGCACTATGAAAAGCCTAGCTACATTTCTGTTGTTTACAATATATGTCAGGTCTTATGTGCTCATTTAGAAAATTCTTTTGGCATACCTCAGGTTGTGTGGAGAGTTTTGAAGTACGTAGATAAAAAATATCATAGTTTTTTCTGATTTAAAACCATACAATATGAAGACACAGATGATATGTAGTAGAAGATAGTTAATTTTATTGTATTCAATCACTGAAATATTGTTAGTTCATAATTTTGTTGTTTACTGGAAAATTGATTTTTGAAGTTATTTTAATATTTTTTTCAATTGTTTTATTGTTATAGCTAAAAATGATGCTGTCAGTGATTTTAGTTATATTGTCATTTGATTACAAGATATATATATTATTCAATTAATAATTAATTGTGAATTGTTTCTAGCAGTTATTAACAATGATAAAATATGTTGATAGAATATGATGATGTTTCTTCAAAACTGAACTGAAATTTGGCTATTTTTAAATCATAATTCTAGTCAGCATCCCAAAGCAGTTGGGCCTTATTCATAATTAAGGTTCAATGATCACAGGGTGCTAGAGTAATATGGTGTAGTTCCACTAGCAGTTTACTCAACCCTTAGGACTGCTAGTGAACTGTGCTAACCGGATATTTAGCCTCTAAGCTTCTTCTTTATTCTGGTGAAATTCTTCAGTCTCAATCTCATGAAAATCTTCCAAGATACATCCGTAACAATCAATTACCTATTTACACTATAAAGACATTTCCCTTGAAATCATCTCCTCTAAGTAATCTCCATGGCTATCCCTTCAAGTTAATCTTTATTTATTTCTGGTTTTTAACTTTCTATCATTTTTTATTCTCTGTCATTGACATGCAAATCATGTCATTTTTCATGTCTTATTATTTTGTAACCTTTAAGTGGCATTTTCTGGTATGTTTTTCCTCTTCATTTCAACCCAATACCAATGTGATCTCAAACTTACCCCCTGTACCAATGTTACAACCCCTGTAATTCACCTGAATGAGTCTGGGCAGCCATCATCCTCATCATTCCTATCTGGTCACACATTTCCTTTTATACTCATTTCTCCATACAGAATCCCAAAGTTTTTATGCCTTGCCTTTTTCCCTATGTAGGTAGCTGCAGAAACCCATGGTTATGTTGGTTCAGACATGGCATCTTTGTGCTCAGAAGCGGCTCTTCAACAGATTAGAGAGAAAATGGATCTCATTGACTTAGAAGATGACACCATCGATGCTGAAGTTTTGAACTCGCTAGCAGTTACAATGGACAACTTTAGGGTAATATTATCTTTTTGTGAGATCTTTATATTCTACAATAATTGCTAAATTCTACCTTTGCACAATATTCACAAAATGTATTTGCAGGATTGACCATGTTCTCAAGAATCATATCTTGGCATTTGTATGAACCAGATAAGTTCCAGCATGGTAACTACATCTACCCTAATGAATGTGTTTTTAACAGATGTTCAGCCCTGGCCGTTTGAGATGGGTGATTGCCTCGCTCGCCTCCCTCCACGCTCGCCTCCCTCCACGCTCGCCTCCCTCCACGCTCGCCTCCCTCCACGCTCGCCTCCCTCCACGCTCGCCTCCCTCCACGCTCGCCTCCCTCCACGCTCGCCTCCGCCTCCCTCCACGCTCGCCTCCCTCCACGCTCGCCTCCCTCCACGCTCGCTTCAGGTAACATGGCAAGCTATTCATCGCTCATCCAATGTCAGTTCGCAACCTGATTCCCAATGTTTTGACTTAGAAAAAAAGATTTTAATCTCTAAGGAAGTCATCTACTCCTGTAAACTCGTTAACTACTTAACAAGTCACACGAAAAACAAACGAAGCATTTTTAAAAGGAATAGGGAAGGAAATCCTTTGAATGGTTTCATTTCAACCAGAATGCTATTTCGAAGGCCAATTGAGTTTTTCTAACACATGAAACCCGAATCATTTCAACATGACTGTTGAGCTAAGAACTTTCGAAAAATACGACGAGGCTGTTCTTGGAAAAATATTAACGAGATAGATGGAAAGTAGATGGTGATGTTCGTTTGGTGCAAACTTTGCGCTATAGATAAAGCTTTGTCGAGAAATTACCATGCAGCATCACTGACTTCAGTATCACCGTTAACGTAGTGGATATCATAGAAGATATTCTTAAAAGAATATCTTTACACTATTTGATCTGTGTTCCTTTCACAACAATATGGAATTCAGCGAACAATCAAATGAGAAGGCATGGGTAGAAAAATGACACAAAGGTCGAAATAAACATACTTTCTTTGAACCCAAAAACAAGTTTTTGCAGCTATTAATCTTAAAAATAGTTCTATAACAGTTTAAAATAATTGAAAAGCAGTATAGTCATCATCTCTTCTTTCTCAGGGCTTTCTTTAGTTTCCCCCTCTTTCTCTAGCTTAGGTTTCTTTGATATACCGATACCATTATCTTGCTTTCACTTTCTGCTCTTCAAAAGATAGAGCACTGTTGCCTTTTTCAAGATATTTTATCTCTCTATGTCAGTCCATATATTATCATTGATTGCAATGCAAAGTCACATCCCCAGAACACTGTATGGTATTTGTAGTCTCATGATAATTCAGTTCTTTCTCCAACCAATGAATGTCGCCAGCTCCACTTGATTTCCTTTTCCCATGGTCACCAAAGAACGGAATAATCAACTGAACAGTGAAGACAACTTCTGGCTTGAAACTTAGTTTTGAATATTAATAAAGCACCAGGTGTTGATTGCAGATTACTCCCCTTTGACACCCCCTTGGTTAAATAACCGTGACGCTGTTGTTGAATAATAACTGCGGCCTGTATGGGCATAATTTAACAACACTTTGAAAGTGACAGAACTGCCTTTGAATTTGGCGACTTTGATTTACTGCTGCTTTAGATATCTTTGGAATATAAGCACTCTTTTATGGCAAACTCTTTGTTTTGCACATGTGATGGTTTGCACACCTTGGATAATCTGGGTGTGTGTGGAGGCACCTGTGTGCGATCGCATGCCTCATATTACAAAGACTGGTCTTCATATGTAATCATTTGATTTTTAATTTTTTTATAGTTTGCAATGGGCTCAACCAACCCATCTGCTCTCCGAGAGACAGTTGTAGAAGTTCCAACAGTATCTTGGGATGATGTAGGAGGTCTTGAAAATGTTAAAAGGGAGTTACAGGAGCTGGTGCAGTACCCAGTTGAGCATCCAGAGAAATTCCTTAAGTTTGGAATGACACCTTCAAAAGGTGTCTTGTTCTACGGCCCACCAGGTTGTGGCAAAACTCTTTTAGCTAAAGCAATTGCTAATGAGTGTCAAGCCAATTTCATTTCAATCAAAGGCCCAGAATTACTCACTATGTGGTTTGGAGAATCAGAAGCTAATGTTAGGGATGTTTTTGACAAGGTAAGATCAATAGATTTTATTCATTATAAGTATGGTGGTAGTAGATATTTGCATCTAAAAACAATCGCAGGCTGCCAATTAAATCAGTCTGTGATGGGTATAGATGCAAGATCATTTTGTGCTATGATAGCTGGCTTTTGAAGGGCTTGGCTCTACTGAATAGTCAGAGAAATGCAACAATACATTTGTAGTAAAAATCTAATTAGAGCTTTGTCAGACAGAAGCTCTGTAGTACTTTCAACAAGAATTTGCTTGTTACAGGCACGTATGGCTGCACCATGTGTGTTGTTCTTTGATGAACTGGATTCAATTGCAAAGTCAAGAGGTGGAAGTGCCGGAGATGGAGGTGGTGCCTCTGACCGTGTAATTAACCAGATTCTCACTGAAATGGATGGCATGGGACCAAAGAAGAATGTCTTCATCATTGGAGCTACCAACAGGTGAGCAATCTTTTCAACTGCAGAATGTTTTTAGCATCTTCATACAATCACTGATCCAATTTAATGGCTCTTTGATAATCAAGAGATGCAATATTATTTACCTGTGCAGTCTACAACATTTCCATATACTTTTTACTGGATGCAAAAGACTGTATAGTTACAAAAATTAATGACAGTAATCTATTAAAATTTGTTTGCAAAAATTGGCAAGGAAAAAATATGTACTTACATTTATTAAATGCAAAATGATAACCTATATCTAGTGGTAGTAAATATCTGCTTAACTTTGAATTTTCATTATTAAAAATATGCTATGATTAGAAACATTTGTACCAATAACATGCTAGATGATGCCGTCACTGTCAATGGCTTTTCTTTTATGCCACGATGAAGGTAAAAGAAAATAGCCCATCGTCTACCGTGCCTTGTTCTTGCTATATTTTGTTTCCTTATTTAATCAGCTTTCCTTTTTCATGCTGTCCAAAGTCAGCTTGGTTTTGATAATTTGATTTCAGGTGGATAATTTTTTATCATTTAGGAAAGTATCCTGTTTTCATTTTGGACCACTCTCTTGTAATCATAATTGTTTTTAATTATGTCTTCTAATGGAAGAAGTCTAGATTCAAATTTAGCGATAAGTAAGGTTTCAATTTAAATTATTCTGCCAAAACTTTTGTTCATGTCAAACTTTTGTTTCTCATCAGGCCAGATATCATTGACCCTGCCATATTGAGACCTGGACGTCTTGACCAGCTCATTTACATTCCACTGCCAGATGAGCCTGTAAGTACTCATGTCACTGCCTTGTTTCATATCCATATTTTGTTTCCTGTCACATTGGATGAATCTGCCATTTGTCAATGATATAATTGTCTGTTTAATTTTTCATTAATTAAGCTGATTAGATGTTTTTACTGGTGGATAATAGACTCACTTCAGAAAAAAACTATACAGTTGCCTAATAGCTAGAAATAAGCGTTAGGAAAGGCTTGGCAATGTCTTGTTCACCTGGCATTCTTTTGTGTAATCATATCAGAATTGTAGCAGTACCAAAGCAAAAGTCTACTAAATGATATCAAATTTTTGATCATCACCTACTTTACAGAATTTCGTGGTATCAAGTATTTTTTGTGAATTTTGAAATGAAATTCTATATTTTTCTTTGTTTCAATTTCAGTCAAGGCTGTCTATTCTGAATGCATCACTGAGAAAATCTCCTATTGCTAAGGTAAACTACCTTCCCTTAACCTTGAAAATGGGTGCTTCATTTATTGAACTAACTTCAAAAGAGAAGGAATAAAGAAAGGAACTTGTATATAAATATTGCCGTTCTGTTTACTATATATCAAATAATTAAAATATTTCTTCACCCTAAGTGAAGAAATTCACCCTTTTCACCCTAGGCGAACTGAAACTATAATTTATGTAAAATTAGTATGCATGTACAATAAAAGCTTTAATGTTGGTGGGATCTAGCAGAGAATGGCTCACATGATAGCTTAGAACTTATTTTGTAAGTAAAATATTCTTATTTGAAGCCTAGATATCACTCAGCATCCCAAAGCAGTTGTGCCTTACTCATCATTAAGGTTCAATGATCACAGGGTGCTAGAAAGAAATCGACATTGTTTCTGCAGCAGGACAAACCATCTTGAACTGTCTAGGAACTCTGTTTTCGGATATTTTTCTCATATATACACAGCTCTAAATGTAATTTATTGCTCTACCTTTTTGAAGTTGTAATTTCTTTAGAGAATAATTCTCCGCATTAATTAATTAAGTTTAACTACTGTTGTATTGATTAGCCTTTTAAAATATGATGTTTTGAAACAGATGTAATTTATATTGATGACTATCCTATTAAAGTTATGCAATAGTTTTTTACTGTTTTCTAGGATGTAGACCTGGGATATCTGTCAAAGGTTACTCATGGATTTAGTGGAGCAGATCTGACAGAAATTTGCCAAAGGGTAAATAGAATATTCCATTCCATAACCACAACTACTTAAGGGTTGGAAGTTTTGGGCCAATGGTGCCAAAACTGTGATAGTTGTAGTAAGTTATCTACAACTCAGTTTTAAAACTGATTGACCTAATTAATTCAGATTAAACAACCTCTTAGCATACTTTCATTATAACTGTATGATAGCTTGGAGTACCCTTCATATGGTCATTTTGAAAAGATGATACTAAACAGCATCCTTAAGCAGTTGTGCCTTACTAATGGTTAGGGTGCAATGATCACCGGGTGCTAGAAAAAATCGACATAGTTTCAATAGCAGTTCAACACACCTTGAATTGTCCAGAAACTCTGTTTTCGAATATGTAGTATCTTTAGTACAACCACAAGTACATTGCTTTGGAAGATTCCTTTTCCTGGGAATTTTTCATTCCTTGCACCTTTTTATTTCATTTGTTCGCGTCATTCTCTGTTGATGGTGTTTTTACACTTTTACTGTTTACTGTGGATTAATATATTTTAGATTTAGAAAATGAATGTATAGATATGGTTTTAATATTATTATTATTATTTTTGAGAGCAGCTCTTTAAATTTTTCTATTCCCAATTTTTAATTTCTCCGTTTTCAAGTCTGAGAATTTTGCCAGATTTGAAGTCTGTATTGCATAACTCTTTTGAGAGAGAGAGGGAGCATTTAGATATTGCTGTCAAGTACTTCAAACATGGATATGGTTTTTGTATTTTGTGTATATTGTCTCATACATAGGCATGCAAACTTGCAATCAGAGAGAGCATAGAGGCAGACATTCGAAAGGAACGTGAAAGAGAAGGAAACCCAGAGGCCAACATGGTAATCTTTGCAAAGTTTTATATAGTATATATATTGCATTTCTAATTAATTGATACAGTTAGATTTCACTGGTGATTTGTTATCACTGGTGGTCTCCAATTACAAAATATATGTGGAATGTCTCAAAATTTTTATTGAGTTTGTTTTGATAAAATATTTAATTTTGAGGATTTTTCGTAATTTTTATTTGATAAATTTGTTTTGATTTGAAGCAGGTTGAAATTACATGTATTATTCTAATGATTTTATAAACTTTGAAGCAATTCATTTACTTTCCTTTTCTCACTTGACAAAGGTGTTCCATGTACCATGTTTGTTGCAACAATTCTATTTAAGACCTGCTTCTTGTGTCTTAGTCCTATATATCTTACAAAAAATAAGCAACCAGTTGTTTGTACCAAAAAGCTAACCAAATCACTTCTAGTTGAAGTAACGTGGGGTCATTCACAATCAATTTATTATTAATTGTTTTAATAAAAGGATTTTGAGGATGACGAAGATGCAGTGCCAGAAATTCGAAGAGATCACTTTGAGGAAGCAATGAGATTTGCCAGAAGATCAGTTAGTGACAATGATATAAGAAGATACGAGATGTTTGCACAAACACTTCAACAAAGCAGGGGACTTGGCGGGGGCTTCAGGTGAGCTTTATTTGTAATAGCATAGTAACTACCTTGGATAAGGACAAACAGAGAAGTGGCTGCACTTTTATGTTAAGCATTGTTAGGATGCCGCTTTTGTTTAAGGGTTTGTGTAAGGTAAATATAAAATATGAAAATGCAGTGGAGGAATCCAAGAGATTTCGGAGTAGTATGCATTTGAAATGGTTGATATCTGAATGATAATGTTAGGCAGATCCTGTTCAGATAATGTTACCCCTTCCAGCTCAATGTTGATATTTTTCCTATTAAAGTACATATGAGAGGCTTATTTCAAGAAAGACATGTTGTTGGGATATGTCATAAAGTGTTGTAATTTGTTTGGGCTGGGGTTTCCTTGGAGTATCACCAACCAGACCAGGGATGCTTGAAGATAAAGCCTGTTTCAATCTCCATTTCTGCCAGAGAAACTTAAGGTGGAACTGGAAGAAATGGTGAAGACCTCAGAAGTTGGATATAGTTAGAGAATAGAACATTATATAAGCAAACACTGAGTTGTAGCATTTACCTTAAATGTATTTTTACACAGAATGATTGGTGGAACTCTAAAGACCGGGGCAAATTTTGCTTGGAAAGGGAGGGCTTGCTTGAGAGAGAAACTTACTCGGGAATATGAACATAAATGGATTGTAATTTTAATTTGTAGATTCCCTGGACAGCAGCAGGGTGGATCTGGGGGCCAATCGGGATCAAGTGGCAACCAGGGAGGAAGTGCAGACGGAAATGGCTTGTATAATGTCGATGAAGATGACTTATATGGCTAAGAAGCCAGGAATTAACTTAAAAAAACTGTTGTTCTAGTCATAAGATATTAGTCATGTCATTAAAGTTCTACATGTTTGTCCTTTTCAGCTACTATTTATAGATGTTTAAAATTGTATAAATGGTATTATACCTGCCCATTTGTTCATTACGTCAAATAACTTGTCATACATTAAATAATGATGAATTCAAATAAAAATTTCTGTCTATCAACATTTTTGGAATTGTGTTATTTACCATCTATTTTTCTGTGTAATGAATTTCACTATTATCATTGTTATCACGACCAATTCTACCATTTGACTTTATCCAATCATATCTTAAAATGGTAAAAGGAAGACAATAGCTTTAAAAAATCATTCACAGAAGGACCCTGTAGACTGCTCCAGATTGGCATTTGTTTATCAGTAATTCCTTTAAGTCAGCAGTCTTTTTTCTCCTTCACTATATAAGAATTATCACAAAAGCAAATTCCTAGCTTTATAATATATTCAGGAAATTTCGGAATTACAAAAACTGGAATCTTCAATCCTTTTTTCTTTTCATTTCTTAAATAAAAAAAGTTTTAGTACAACATGTTAGCAGAGAAAATTATTTAGATACTACAGTTTCACAAACCAAGAGCCCACTTTTTGAATTTTGTAGACGACTTTGTGCTAAATCATATCATTGTTTTGATCAGAATTTCCATTTTTAAAATTTGCACACTTTAGGTGTTTTTAACACTTAGATATGGTAAGTCTGTATTTCAAAATTTGGTTGAAGAAAGTGCATGGCAAAACATTGTGCAATTGCTTTTATTCAATAAGAAACGTAAAAGTCTGATTCTTGAAAGATTTCTGTCTTCATCTTCTGGAACCCGGTTAATACCATCTTCCTCCAATAAACTCTGGTTTCAAGTAGTTCTATGCTACACACAGATTTACAGGCCTTTCCACCTACTTCTGTTGTAAAAGGTTTGTCCCTGCACTAGTATTTAAAAATACTTCTAAAAATATACAAATTATTAATGAGGCTTTGGTACATGACCGTCAACATAAAAGTTTCTTGTTATTCTTGGCAAGGTCAATTCCATCCCTTCCATTTCTTTTGTCAGTACTATTTGACAACCTAAAACATAATTAATTAATATTTTAATTTTGGAAGAAGACCTGCAAATATGTATGATTATCATTCATTGTTTTTAATTACATATAAACATCATTATAAATTAATGTGCATACTGTTTATTTATACAAATTAATGTGCTGATTCCATTCAACAACAAAAAGTGATAAAAATACAATGGAATCTCATCAAGTTGTGCCCTGAATGAATAGGACTTAAACTGAGTTGGAATATTTAATTCTTATTGAACATTACTACTTTATACAAAAGCTGTACCCTAGTTAGGTCATACATTTGTTAATTTGCACCCATCCTTACCATCCCCTATGCCTTTAGGGTCAAATTTAGGATTACATTGCTAAGTATAACTAACAAAGAAAATAAGTTTAATTTACCAAGCCTTGAGTTATCCTGCAGAAGAGGAGCCATGTCAAGCATATCTTCTTCCCTGAAAAAGTAATTGTCATTTTAAGATTATCTTCGTCATTTCCTTGATTAAAGAAGCCTAAAACCTATGTTCAAGTAAATAAACCACAGTTGAATGTTGGATCGAATTTATAGAATTATATCCCAAAATTTTCAAATGATTGATGCTGAAATAACCAAATATATATTAAGTAAATTTCAACAATCAAGAAAGGCCTCAAGAATTTATTTTATCACAACAAATAATGTGTATTCTCTACAAATATAAATAAAAAAATTTCAGCAGGAATTGTGCGCTCAAATACATTCTCTCAGAGTGAAGATAGGGGCCAGCTCTCTGTAATTCCAGGCATAGGAATCACAAGTAGCAGTCATCATGTGGCCTAAATTTTCCTTAGAAGCAAGATAGTTGCAATTACAAAAACATTTTAAGAATAATTGGAGTCCGTCTTCAGATGAAAATCAGTGAAGTTACACACCCTTCAAGCGGTTCTGGTAATATGTCTAAGATGTTATCGTCCACATAAACATGACAGGTTGAGCAGGCAAGAGATGCTTCACAGGCACCTTCAAGATCCACATTATGTCTATGAGCCAGGTATAGCACATTATCACCAATTTTGCCACGAACTGGTTGCCTTTGATTTTTGCGATCAATAAAGACAATATTAACTCTACAATAGATATCAAATTTTTAGTACCCCATAGTGCAATTGTTAAAAATGGGACTGTAAAGTACTATTTTTGATTATTTGAATGTTTATACTTTAAAATAATTTCCAAGAGGAGAAAAACATGAAAATAACGATTTGAAACATGGACTTGGGGTTAACTGCCATGAAGAATGGCAAATATGTTGTTCCTTGTTATATATTAAAAAAGACCTTGATACGAATAGGACTTTTGTCATGAAATAAATATCCTCAACACTATTCACAAGAAAAAGTCAACAATTTTCCCTTTCAAATCAAAAGAATTATTTATTTGTAAAATACCTTTTAAAATTAAACAATTCAAAGTAAACTGAAGGCTAATATATAACAATGAGCACAATAAAATAAGCTTTATCCGGTGTGAAAGTGACAATTTTTGCTTTGTTTAAACTATGAGTGTAGTCATTCATCGTATCTGGATTGTAAATTAGGGGCAGATTTGTGTTATGCTAGGCTTGCATAACACGTGTTATGCTAGGGGCAAGTTCGAATTTGAAAACCAGTGGATTACAGGTAAAATATTGAGACAGTAATTACACTTCATCCTCGGATTTCGGATCCTGCCATTCATACTCGCCGTGAAACTGTATACCTGTCAAAACGAAATATATGTTGCATAAGTATGGAGATCCGAAATCAAACTGAAACTTGAACTCGAAATCTTTCTCACAGCATCAACAAGTTAATTACAACAGACTGAGATAAAACAAAGAAATTTGGAATTGCGATTTATACGATTAAAGTATCAAATCCGGAAACAGTTTTGTTTGTATCGTTTCTTCTCTGTTTAAGAACCGACCGCATACAAAATGCATAAAAAAGAGGACTGATGTGATGACAGAAATTAAATATTACCTTTTAATGTTCCGAAGCTTCTACTTGCTGGCAGGAAAGATCTCGTTATAATCGTATACACTTGGAGAAAACTAGGTGAAATTTTAAAATTATTCAGATTCTTCCAGAGCATCGGAAACAAACAAGACATACTGCCCAATTGCAACTTCTATACTTCCAAAGTTCACAACATAGGTTTCCATTTAGATACAGCCTCGTTTCCAAAAAGAAAATGAAGTTGGAAGTACATTTTGTCGAATTTTTTTATGAATCAATAACCTTGATTCCTTGATTTATGAATCCTTGAGTCATTATCTATAACGTAAAGGCTTGATTTGGCAATTTCTTTATCTTTCTTCCTTATCTTTTAATTTCATTCTCTTTCTTTATTCCTGAATTCCAAAATGAAAAACCACGTGCCAATCTTGTGAACCCTTCTCTTGCGCATGTGCAGACACATCCTTCTAACAACACTCTGGCCTAGTGAATTCCAGTTTGGTGTGTGGTGTTATGCTCCTCTATAGATGTTAATTTGAAGAAGATTATAATGGAGGATCCAATTGTCATGCCACCGCCTGAGCCCATGCAAGACATGGATGAAAACCTAGAGACGGCTCCTATGGAGTTATCCAATGACAATGAGGAAAAAGAAGGTGTAATTAAAGTGTCAAACATTTCACCGCAAGCCAATCTTGAGCAGATGAAGAAACTGTTTGGCTTTCTAGGAAATGTTCAGGAGTTGGTTCTTTACCCAAAAGGGTCCGTATTTTTGTTAGTTTAATTACTCGTTCACAGTAAATACAAAAGCTACAAAGTTTTATATGTACCGGTACATATGTACCGGTATACCGTCCACTCCCCTTATTATATAGGCCCCCTCCGCTCAAAGTCACCCTGTCTTTTACAGTCGCATTTCATTTAGAGACCCACTTATTGTTCAGAACCACTTATTGTATATGCTTTTTCTCACAATATAACATAATATTTTGACTTAACATTTTATTTTTCAGGGTTTTTTGCCTCATACAATCTTTTAATATAAATTTGAAACTTTGTTTTCAAAAGAAAGCATTACGTTTTCAAAAGAAAGCATTACGTTATGTAAAATCTGTTGCAATCAGAACAACGTTTTGTATTTTATGCTAACCGCTCTTTATGATGAAGCATTTGTTGAATTTAAAGCTTAATTTTTTACCAGGGAAGAAATAGAAGTGAGTTCAAAGATATGTTATGTCAAGTATGAAGACAAAGCAAGTTGTGATGTTGCTCAGCATCTGACCAATGCTGTTTTCATTGACAGACCTCTGGTTGTTGTACCACTGACAGAAGGTATGATAAAATAATATGTTCTTCTGATAATCAACTTATCATTTTGTTCTAAAGTTTTGTCATTATGAAAAGATCATTGTTTGAAAAAATTCTTGTTTGAATACAGTGAAACTTCCTACCTACTTGGGGACTTCTGGCAAAGCTCACTCAAACATTTCTGGCTCTAAAGTTTCAAAAAATCATATTAGTCACTTTATTGTAGGAAAAAGACAATCTTGTCAAATAATGCTATCCAATGTCATTTCCAGACTACTAAAGATCACTTTGTATAGATGATCAATTTTCACAAAGTCACAGTTTCATAGATATTGCAAGACTGCCTCTGAAAAGCAAGATATCTTTGTATGTTTAAATTTTAGGCCCATAACATATTATAATTTTGTGACCAAAGTTTTTGGTCAATTATGCCACCAATTGGTTTCAAACTCAGCTAGACTTGAATAGGTCACAAATGTTGACAAAAACGTATCATTTCTTATACAATGAGCTGACATACCTTCAGAAAATGTGACAGACAGACAGCAACAAATATAAGAAAAATGGAAACCAAGAAGCCCTTAGTTTTCTGTCATGACCTTTGACTTTATGGGCATAAATCATACACTTTGAAGTATAAGGCTTATATTTTTCTTTTGCCAGGTGAAATTCGTAGGCAGGAACTGTGTATAGATAAAACACTGTAGGTTCTAATTTTTGATTCTTCAGATTTTCTAATTGTCTTGCTATTTTCTTTGTGAGCTTTTCTATTGATCAAGTATAAATTTGCCATTCTAGCAAAGATTCCAGATGAAGGAACTGCCCTTAACAATGAGACACAAGGAAATGGGTTCTTTGATAATGGGTTACTGGATCCTTTTTCATCTGATCCTTTTCAGCAGGTATGTTGACATTGTATTGCTTTGTAAGAAGACTGTTCTTTTTAAAGTCTGAATAGTGTAAAAAATATATTCATGCTCATTGTTGCAGTTTTATTGCATTATCACAGATCTGGTGTTCTTTTTGGAGTTCCTGGTATGGTATTTTGTGTAAAGTTCATGTTATAGCAGATTCACAATCGGAACACAACAAATTGGATTTATTGACTCTCTTCACTTAAAAGTATTTGCTTTATGTTATTTTGTGTATTTTAAGGATTTTGTTTTGATTTTTGTTATTGATTGCAATTGTTATTGTCATGCACTAAAGCATTAAAAATGTCATCTTATAGGTCATGATAGGGTTGGGTCCTGGGACCAACTTGCCCCCACCACCTGTTCTTGGAAACCTTGATCCTGTCAAGTTAGAAGAGATAAGAAGGACAATTTTTGTTGGGAATTTAGAAGAATCTGTAAGTTGTAGTATTTATAAGAATTTTTATGATATTTTGTTATTATTTTGTAGCGGATCTTATGAGGCTTCAGTTCAGTTCATTTATTTTAAGGCTTAAAACTGTGCTGACTGGAACAAGAAAAATGGCTTGCTTGTAGCAATTATATTTAGAGCTACATATATATTGATATCATGCTATAGTTAGGGCTAGTTACATTGTCCTTAATGAGATGTACAATCTTTGTTAAATGTTACTTTGTTACTTTATTTAAGCTAGTGCATGTTCTTGTAAGGTGCCATTAATGATTTCAATATATACTTCAAGGTCTTTCAAGTTAGTGTACCACTGTTATTAGTATTGAGTGCACCATATTAGTGTACCATTGTACTTTGACATTTGATAATTTTACAGATTTTAGTAGTTTTATTTTTGAGTTATTCATTTTAAATTTTAATGAGGGTTGAATTATAGGAAAACTAAAGTATATGTAGGAATTTGCTAGCATTCCACCTGAATACACCATAGGAATTTGCTCATGATATTGCTGACGATATTGATTTTATGACAACAAAAAGATAAACATTTTGTAAGGAATTTGACCGTGATTGGTGACTAGGGGGGTAAAGTTTCACCAAGAATGATTTTTTCGATTAAATCCCTTACAAGTTTCAAATTTCAATTGTCCGTAAAACCTAAAATACAAGCACAAACAATATGAAAAAATGTATCCAGCCTAAAAGTATGGTGATAAAACCAAATCTGAGCTTAAAAAAGTCATATAATTCAAATTGGTGTATTGAGCTGTCAATGTTTTTGTACTTTGGTTGTTGTATCAAATTTTAAAATGATGAATTCATTGAAGGTCTCCCCAGAAATGCTTGTGGCATTCTTCTCTGGTGTTGGTGAAATAAAATATGTTAGACAGTCTGTTCATGAAACAACTCAAGAAAGGTGATTTAACTTTATTTTAAGAAATGTTAGATGAATTTGAAACATTACTTAATTTGCTTATGTTTGCATGCATCCTTGGACCGATTGCATGTACGCCGTGAAACACAAATTATTCAAACTGAATAGGCTGTCACCCAAAGCTTTTAATTTTTTTCAGTTGACTTAATGCCTTACCTTTATTACCTTATCTAATTATTCTGTAATTCATTTACTCAGACAGGTGCTAAACTTTTCCAACTACTTTAACAAGGGTATCTGTTAAGCTTTTGATCAGTTAAATGTTTTGATTGAATGTCTCTATTACCAACAGATATGCTCTGATTGAATTCACCGATTTGACTGCAGTGCTAACAGCTCTTCAGTATAATGGAGTCATTTTGTGTGGCCAGCCTCTGAAGTAAGAATTCACTCGTCTGCTTTTTGCCCTTGGGCCTTCTCATTGCCAGAATCCCACATTTTATTTTGCGCCATATCTTAATGAACTGTTATGCTGACAAACTGATAAACAGTTGTAGGTTTTTTTTCTGGGAGTTGGTAAATCTCTTATTTAATTGTGTATCATAGACATAGTGTTGCCAGTTGCAGCTAATAAAATCTTGATTGATTGAGGATACCTTATCTGTCCCAATTGCTTATTCGCGCTAAAGTGGAAGTATATAGATTGCAAGTTGTATATCTTGTGGTTTTCAAAATATGATATTGTTTCAGATATTGGCAAACCACTGCAAGACTTGAGGTCATTTTGATAGAAACATCCAAATAAGAACAGTTGACCCTTGCTTGGATGAAATCATTGTTTCAGATGGCCCAATGCCTTGAACGGCCTATTTATTAATGGCCTACATTTTCTGTTATTAGATAGCAGCTTTTAACTTTTGTAATATTAAATTCCTAGACATATATTTAGCGCTTTTTTAATACCATGTCCTTAGAGTGAACTACTCCAGATGTTCAATTGCAAAACCTGACTTAGAAAAGCTGGAAGCAGAGAGGAAACTGGCTGATAGAAACTCAAGATATACGTGTAAGCTAATTATGCTTGTTGTTTAAAAGTAAATTGAACAACTGGTTATAAAAGGAGATTCTAGATTTTGCAAAGAGGTCAGTTTTTGAATCTGAAACGGTATCTTGGTGTGACAAATTATCCAAAACCATATTACGATGAGAAATGACATGTTACTTTCGTGCTTCCTTAGCCACGAGTATTCTTAAAACAACATGTCACCATTAATAGCTACAGTTTACCAATCTGTCTTGCCTTGTTAAATACCAACCTTTATTGCATAATCCAATCACACAATAATTTTGTCTGCTGTTCAAATTACATATATGTATCTTCTAAACAATATAAAAAATATAAAAAGCTGCACGCAGTGTAAAAATACAACACATAGTCTGACTATTCTTGCACAAAATTAGAGGAAGAAAGGCCTATTTGAGTGGATCCTTGTTTTGAGAAGTGTTGTGCGAAAGTTTGTTTGTTTTAACTCATTTGACTCATTTTATTTATTTTGCTATTGAAACTCTTCATGGTAAAAATTGATGAAGTTTCTAAATTTTCTTCCTTTAGCAAGAAGAAGATCCAGCTCATTGTAAGTGCTTTTTTCGTTTCTAAATTTTTCTTTTTTTGTAGTTAGTTAAGGTTTTGCTTTACCTACCATTTTAGTTATGATTTTAATGTACGATTATTTTTTAAATAATTCAATATGAATGCAGGGTTTTGATTGTAAGTTAATTTGTAAAAATTGGGATTTTTATAACGCCAATATAATGGTTGTCAGTTACTTGTTTACAATACAGTCTTTGTTTTCTTAATTTGTCTATTCGCTAGCAAAGCCTTACTTTTTATTGTCAACAGTACGATTTTAAAACTGTCTTTTTTATTACTTTTGTGGCACAGTTTTAAAACCCCAGTGCTTTTGAAACTGTTTGTTTATTGATCCCCAATGGCTTTTAAGTTACCAGTTTTTATTTCCCAATCGTTTTGAAATTGCCGATTTAAATTGCCACTTTTATTGAAATTGCTTGACATATATTCCATAGGCAAAGATCAAAGTCGCGTACAAGAAGCCGCTCTAGAGACAGAAAACGGCGAAGCAGATCAGGATCTAGGAGATACTCATCACGTTCGCGGAGGTCAAGGTCGAGGTCATCTCGTCGCCGAAGGTCAAGGACAAGGTCACCACGCCGAAGAAGGTCACGCTCAAGGTCATACTCCAAGTCATCAAGGCGAAGATCTAGATCAAGGTCCGGTTCACGCAGAGTAAGGAGGTCTAGGTCCAGGTATAGTCTCCTTCAATTCTAAATTTAGTTCATTAATCAGGAATTCCGCAGCTGATTAAAGATTCTTTAAATCCTCCCAGTCACACGTGATATTTGGTAGATATCTTCGTTAAATAGATTTTCATTAAATACTAAAGAATTTCATTAAAGATATATTTTCTATAGTTGTAAAAATGTATAATTTACTATTTCTGTAATAAACCCAGCCCATGAAAAATGTGAATTGGTTGAGCTGTTTGAGTAATCATTGCTTGAGTAATACTTTTTAAACTAGAAAAGATATAATAAAGAAGGCAATACTATATTTCTTTCTTTGATTTTTTAAGCTTATGATTGATAGTACGCCAATATTTTGATAGCAACAGTGTCTATTATTCCAAAATTGAACTCAAGATGATATTTTACAATATTATGTCAATCCAAATACTTATTCTATTTTATTTTCTGGATTTTATTTTTTTGGATGGGTTTCAATTTAATGTTTAGGTATATTTGTTTGTTATTGATTTTTCAAGATTTTTGGTTTATCATCTCTTGTTTATCGTCTTCGCTAGTTTATCATCTCTTGTTTATTTAACTTTCATGATTATATAACTATTAAACTTTGGACTGCTTTTAACAGTGTATATAAAAACTAGTCACGTGTGACTAGCCATCAAAAAAATTGAATGTGTTTTCATTGTAATGTTTAGTCCGGTCATTTGTAGGGACCGCCGTCGTAAAAAGTCAGCGTCTAAATCACGTTCCAGGTCACGTTCCGGTGGAAGAGATAAAGCCACACGCCGTGGCTCAACAAGCCGGTTAGTTTTTTAATTAAATAGAAGCTGTATGTGTTATTCTGTAGTAGGCTGCTGGGTTTGGGGTTATAGACGATAGATAGAACAACAGATTTCAGCGCGTTGTAGCCTAATGCCTTGGTTGAATTCTGCAAACTGATTACTGCCCTTCGATTTGACATCTTATTAGGTAATAAACACAAGTGTTTCTAGAGACTAAATAAGCATTGATGAAAGATTTGGGTTGCTACCAGGAATCTGCATCTATTATCCCGGATAGACGGTGTCAAGATTTTGCGCCCCCCCCCCCTCTTTGTTGAATGTTTAAAGCTCTGCTTTTAAAGCACATACACACTAACTGAAATTGGAGGAGGGGGTAGATGATTGATTACACACTCATGCTCCCGGGCACATGTCTAAGGGTTTTTCTCAACAGCACTCTCCAATATTGTTGTTGCTGATAACTCTGCAGTAAGCTTAGCCAAAATGAATTTGTCCAGAGCAGTGTGAGTTTAAACCTCGAGACTAACTAGAAACGTCATTGGTTCAACTTGAAATACATGTTAATGGATTCATTAGATTCAGCATGAAATTAGTTACAAAGTTTGTTGCAAATGAACAACTCTTAGGATGGATGTGTTAACCTTGTTCTTGGAAAATTTAAGATTTACAGATCTGAGATTTTGCAAAGACCCTTTGGTGTATAAAACAGGACGCAAAGACCAATCTAATTTGCAACTCTGAGTTTCATGTTGAACGCGATCATTAGGCAACTGGGTTTCGAATTCAAGTTGGTAGTAAGCTATATAATAAAAGTTTTTTTGACCTTGAAAGATGAGTCTGGTACATTGAAAATTATGTTTCTTTCCAGTCGTCGTTCGAAAAGCAGATCTAAATCACGAGACAAGAAGAGATCGAAGTCAAAATCTGCATCACCGGGAAAAGGCAAAGACAAAGAGAAGGCAAAAGAGAAGGAAAAGGAGAAAGAGGGTGATGGGAAGGTAATAGAGGAAGTTAAAGAAGAAGTTGCTGCGGAGGAAAAAGCACCGAAAGAAGAAGAGAAGGAAGCAGAAGATAAGGGTCGATCAAGGTCCCCCTCGCCAAGTAAATCAAGCTCAAGGTATGGCTCATAGTGTCATTGTTGTTAGTCTTTGAAAATAGGCATGATGTTGTCATTATTAGATTATTTGAGGGGGAGAGGGACCTTGGTTACTTTAAGCTGTTTTCGGGGGAAGGAGTGTTGAGGCTTGTCGAATCTTTTCCGCAGAGTGTAAGATTTTCTCTAGGGTGGTGCTTGAATTTTAGGAAGTAAGTCGAAAGTCAATGAAGAGAGTAACTGGTGCCAGGAGGGGTTGGAAAGGTTTGTGGGCACTGGATTGTAACCCAGGGGGATTGGAAAGGTTTGTGGTCATTGGATTGTAACCCAGGAGGGGTTGGAAAGGTTTGTGGATTATAACAAAGTAATCCTATTTATGAAAGATTTCTCTAAAGGGGGTACTAGAACCGCGCAGGTAGGATATTTTTGTATTTTCACAGAGAGGCAAAGAAACACAAGGAAAAATTCTCGAAATTTTGGAAGAGTTTGATATGATGATTTTTTAATGCACGATCATTTAAACTTAAGTAGTTTGGTGTACTGATTTGTGCTTGCGCTTGGTAAATTATTGCTGTGGACTTTTCCATCAGGATTTGTGTATTTTCTTCGCTTATGAACCTTTTCAAGTATTAGTCGTGTTTAAATTCTACACTTCCCTAAATTCTTCTGATATTGACGTTGTTGAGGCGATCTTTCTGAGTCATGGCGCCAAACATTCATTTTACAGTAGAATTGGTGCTTGCAAGGGAAGTTTAATTTGTGGATTTGTAATTTGTGCCCACCAGAAACATCTATTTTAGCCAAATTTGTGTTGTTTTTTCTGCTAGAAGACGCAGCAAGAAAGACCGTTATAGCAGATCACGAAGTCGGTCCGAAAGCCAAAGTCGTGATCGTAAAACACGCGAGAAATCTCGTGATAGAGACCGGGATCGTGACAGAGGCCGAGACAAAGATAGAGGTAAGGATCGTGGTCGTGATAAAGATCGTGACCGCGAGAGAGATCGAGAACGTGACCGTGAAAAAGATCGAGAACGTGAAAGAGATCGTGAACGGGAAAAAGATCGTGAACGGGAAAAGGAACGTGAACGGGAAAAAGAACGTGAACGGGAAAAAGAACGTGAGCGGGAAAAAGAACGTGAACGGGAAAAAGAACGTGAACGGGAAAAAGAACGTGAACGGGAAAAAGAGCGTGACAGAGACCGTGATCGTGACAGGGACCGGGACCGTGATCGCGATCGAGAACGTGAAAAAGATCGGGATCGTGCAAAAGATCGTGACCGCCATCGGGAAAAGGATCGTGATCAAGATAGGAAACCAGACAAAGAAGAAGAAGTTGTAAAGAGTAAGTTGCGAGTTATTGGGTTTTTCTGCAGTTTAAGTTCATTCCGTCATTGAGCTTGCTATGTTTATCGATTGTTAGTGATTTAAAGCATAATATTCATTCCATGAATGCGGGCTGGTGAGAGAGAGACCAAAATCTGGACAACATGACCATTAACTGAAATCATTACTCACTCAATACCATTTCAATTCAACGCTTGTCAAGAACACCTTTTTTAGATACATTTTGGATTTTGAGTTTTCGTACAATTTTGTTTTGTATCCAAAAATTAATCAAGTGGAGCATTATGTATTGGCACTGTTTGTTCCAGTTTGGTAGAAAAGATCATCATTTAATCTTAGGGCTTTTTTATTTATGACCTATTGCCGTCTCGAAGGTTGCAAAAGCTTGCTTCTCGGCCAGTTTTAATAGGATTTCTTGAATTTAAGAAAAAGTACTAAGGTAGTTAAGACTGCCTTGTCCTGGCCAATATTCAGACCAAAACTGTGAAGGATATGTCATCTTCCTCCTAGTAAACGAACTTTTTTACGTTTAGTCACAGATGACGTCATTGGTGAAGAAAGTGACATGAGTCTGGATGAAGAATACACTACGTCGACGAAGAAGAAAGCTAAACGATACAGCTACGACTCTGATGAAGAGCGCCATCGCAAGTCAAAAAAGAAGTCGTCGCGGTCTTCACGAAGAAGTGACTCAGAATAGACTTACTTTAAAACAACTTTTTTCACTGTAGAAACTACTTATTCCTGCTATTACTTTACTCCAGAAAGTCATTGAAAGGTTTTTAAAGTGCAAGGAGTTTTTATCCTGTATTTCCTCTATCTTGATGTCGTGAAAACTAACTTTTTTATTTTCATATGCCTGTTTATGCTAAGAGGCTCCTCAAGATCTTGGTCTTGATCCCCTTCTTTTGATAATTAGTTATAGATTATCAAATTTGGACGCACAAATCTTTAGTCTTAAAATGCAAATGCTTCTTCCCTGTTGTGAAAGTTTTGTTCTGTTTGGTATAAGGTAGGACTAAAAGCGATGCAAACAGGGTTATGCCATGCCTCAATACCTTAATGTTCTTTTCCTCTCCAAGTCGGTTACTTTTAGGACATTACAATAAAACCTTGAGTGCGGACCTTGTCTTAAGAGAAAAATATTAGCAAATATTGTAATGAAAAATTAGAGTGGAACGGATGGAGTAGAACAGAAAAATCTTTGAAGGGGCAATCCACTCATGCAAGAATGGTATCAGACTTCCACTAAAAGAAAAGGATTTCTAGAGGTTAGCGAAAAGAACAATTAAAGTGTATGCTTTTTTATTAAGGTGTACAGTATTTCCATGGAGTCATCTGTCCTTCGATTTTTTTTGTTTTATATATTATGTATAACGCTTATCATACGTTGATCCTATTGAAATCATGGGCTAACGGAGCTACGCGGTAGGTCAATCATTTTTGTTGTTTGGCAAAGAATTTACCGCAATACTGTCTAAAAACTAGACATTAAAGTGAACAATTTTTTTGCGGTACAGAATTTGAAAATGGCTTTGAAAAAAGCAAACATTTTACGACATACTAAAAGCTTTTTCGTCTGACAGTCCTCAGAGCATAAAATATAAGGTTCCGAAAGAACACGATGGAAAATATATACCCAGTTGTGGATCGAAATAGGCCAATCAGAAAAACGCAAGCACAAGACCGGTATAGTTGACCAATCAGTGCCGCGAGCCTAAAGAAAAATTACCAATGGAGTCCAAGAGAGAAAACGAACTCCTTTTGTCTACACAATGGCAGTAAAGTGTATTTCAGCCGAGTTAACAAGTGGGGATTGCAAAAATTTCATTTGCCTTCACAAACCTTTTGCCGCAAGAACGCGAAGTTTCACTGTTACGAAGCGATTCTAAACCAAGCTTTCTCAGTAAAGTGATCTTTAAATAAATATTTGAAATGACAATGATTGCTGTACAATTGTATCAAACTTGTGTCCACAATACATGTCAAAACTTAAATGATCATTTTGGGATTTGTTTCTATGGTGTTTATGTAGTAAATTCGTAATCGATAATAGCCATCATAACTGCTCATTGTCACTATAAATCTTAAACAGCCACCAGACTAAGTGCCCACCCAAAATATCTATAGCCCACTGAAACTTGATTACTGATATTAAATGTTCAAAATATAAATTTAATATGCTACATTGATCACAGAGGCTTCTTACTTTTCATTGATCAATGTTGCAAATGACATTTTATTTTCAATCGATTAATTGTAATAATTGATCTTAGTTACGTTCAGATGCTAGTAGATGCTTAGGAATCTATCCCTGAGGACAACTGAACTGGCTGTTTGGCATGTTCGGAAAAGTTCGTTAGCATGGTCACTGCAGTATAAAAATACATTTTGGTCTTCTTCTGGTCTCTTTGGGCGCCAGAAATGGATTGTTACATTCAAACTTTTGTGCGATACACTCATTTATTATAAGAAACAAAGGTCGATGATGAGTACTCCAGTTTCTTAATGTTCTGGAAATATCATGAATGATGTTCTGAAATGTTCGTGACCTTTTTTATCACGTCAAGAAATTCGATTCCGTTATGATGCTGTATTTAGATGTGGGAAGTATATCTTTATCCCTTGTGTCTCGAGTTCTAGGCTAACAGGGCAATCATGTTCTTGGATTTTACAAAATTTCGTTGTTCTCAGTTTTCAGCACGATTTAATAGTTTCTTCATTTTTTTGCTTCGAGTACTGAAGTTTCTTGATTTTTTCGGACTGTCCAGTACTCGTTTCTTATAAAAAGAATGAGTGTAGTCAGACTCGTTTGGTTGTAGACAATTAGAAAAGTGGCAAAGAGAATAGGAATAACTTCCAGAAAAAGTAAAAGATGTCAGGCCCCTTTTTTGCAAAACAATAGAGCCTTTTTCAAAATCTTTTGTTATGATTGTGAAATTTTTCCTTGACCCTCCCACTTTCTTACCTGCGTCGGAGCCCATGATATAGTGACCAACTGCCTTTGAAGGTAATGCTATGCCCTAAAAACTACAAATTAACACAAGAATCCCAAATATTAGATCTAGGCAAGATTAGAACTTATTTAAGAGCTACGGTTTGCCCAGTTTCAAATACAACAAGATATTGAATGCCAAAAACAAAGTAGTGTTTTCAGGATTGATTACGACTACCTAGTATTGATTTGTACAAATTTGAGTATGGTTTTGAAACATTGTTTCTTGACAGCAAGATTTAAAAATGAGAGGAAGAAAGACCGCAGAACGAAGGATGGTGACAAGAGCAAAGTATCTTGTTTATCTCCCAGTTCCCCAGCATCAGGAAAACCCTGATAAACCCATTCATAAAGTCCAGTATTGGTATGGAACTTATGAACTACCAAGCAACCACGTTGTTTTGAATTCAGAACATATCGAAGCCGGAAAGTCCTTCGATCGCCTTCAACCATTGCACTTTATTCCTTTGCACTTCTTTCCACGTGGCTCTGATTAGATTATGAATACACCAAAAAGATATTGATTTTGAGGCCAACAACTAATTTCTAGGACAGTAATACTCTTCGTGTATCTTTTGCTGTGATCAAAATGATTAGAATAAACCCGCTAATTAATAATAGAGCACAAAAAGATAAAATAGGCATGTTTGTAGTAACCAAAGGCAACAGGAGCGTGACTGTCAATTTCCTGTTTACTCATTCATTCTTGATCACATAGTGCTGATCTTGCATCAATGTTTACTCGCTTCTATATTTCTGTTTGATCTTGCTATGTTCAGTGCAACCGAACGGACTCGGAACATTATATTTGTTTTTAACAACATTGACATTAATACAGGTACTGCTTTAAGCCTCTGGTGAAATTGCATCAAGCAGATGACTTAAATAAGCCTGTATCATTGAAAGGATAATGCAAGAATGACATAAACTTTGAGGTACGTGTGTGTCATTTATTTGCCTTTGTCTTTAGATAGAAATGCTAAATCTTAGTTTGAATTGAATCGACCTTTCTATAATTTTATGACAAATCTTAAAACTCTACTAGCTACTCCAAGTTACTCTTTAAAAACTCCTTCCTTTCTTGACAATAACCATTTCCAGCAAGATGTTGCATACCGAGCAAGGATGAGAAAGGTTTTAATTAATGATGCCGAATCTTGAGGAAAATAAATCTTTGTGATATTCACGGTGTAGGAAGAGGAAACAGTTAGTCCAGTGGTAATGTTTTAAAGTACTGAAAAGCCTGTTATTTACGTTGGATTCGCAGGTAATTTTGAAGCGCAGAACTATGCAAACGAGGCTTGGTCCCAAAAATAGCAATCTTAACTATCTGGACATTGCCTGATCTAGAGACTTTCTAGCAAGCTGAAGAAGTTGACGTCATATCCACTAACATAAATGCATATCAAAACGTTGTATCATAGCAATGTTAAACAAAGTGCATCATTTTGCCTACTTTTCCGGGCACACAAAACACGCTCTTTATCATATCTATGACTAGAAATAATGAATAATCGCAGCAATAGCGCGCGATGCAGGTGTTTGTGATATCATGTGACACGTCATAGGCCCGTTCACACCGCTCCGTTTTCATAAAAAAACGAAGTAAAAACTATCAATTTTTGCCATGCTTTCACACTACTCTGCTATGAAACGGAGTCACTTGAAAGCGCAAATGAATATGGAAACTTTTGAGTACTAGATACGATCTGTTTTCAGTGTGAACACCAAATCGGATACATTTAAATACGCTAACAACAGCAACAACTTACGTGCTTTCTAGCCAGCCAATTTCAGACATTTCAATTGTGAAATTCACAATGGACGGTTGCTTTAAAAAATGACCTCTGATTAAAAACGAGGCCAACGACGTCCTTTTCACTGGGGCAGTGTGAACACTTTACGAATTCATAGTGTATTCATTTGAAAACTGACATCTTTGAACGGACATCGTATTCACCAACGAAAACGGAGAGAAAGAATACGGAGCAGCGTAAACGTAGCATTAATCGCTTAAATGACTGCGTGTTGCGCAAGCGTGATTGCTTGCTCCTTCGCCATGCGCAACAAAACAACCGTTAAGTTCCACTGTAAGAGAACTTTGATTCAACTCTTGCTTTGAAATATTATGCTTTGGAAAAGCCAACGCATATCGCCCACCTAAAAGCAATTCTATTTTTTGTACAATTGAATACATTAAATCACCTTGGTGCTAATGTGTTGATGACTGAATGGTTAGACTGAATTAATTGCGGTCTCTTGGTATTAAGGGATTTTCGGCAAACGTGTTGAAACGTCACTCATACTGAGCACGGTTAAGCCATCTCTTCTACACTACGAAACGTTGTTCTTTTCAGTAGTGTTCAACTGGCCTATCTTAGTATAGGAGAACTGTTCAACGGGGAGATTTTCAGGATGGGTTCCGGGCCAAGCAGCGCTAAAAGAAGCCATCTTGTCACTAAAGTTCAAGCTGTCGTTGCATTGACGCCAAGACGAAGGGTACCTTGTCAAAGTGGAGATGAAGCCACATCCAAGGGCAATGAATCTGCGAACGCAAGTGACTTTGTTACAAGGTATTTGCTTATGCAAAGTTGCAATTTAATGGTCTAATCTGCTGTATTTGCAATTTATTTGAAATGTTTAAAGCTCTTTTAAAGTAAGTTAAAAACAGTTGCATTGAAGATTATCAAATTGTTATTTGAAAACATCCATTTACACCGTTCTCGCTCATGGCCGGCTTCGTATGAAAAAGATAACTTGATATAAATAAGATTCCCGCGTCGTTTATTCTTGCCAAAATTTCTTACTAGGGCTGACAGATTACTTCACTGGTTAGGTGGAGTGGCAAAACGAATAAAGGGGCCAGAAAGTTACTATAAATGCACTGTTTCAAATAAAAATGAAGACGAAAATTGCAACCGAAAAATTTGGGAGTTCTTGTCCCTTCCTTAGTTTGGCTGTTTCCGTTGTTGGTTTAAAGTAGCTAAATGTTGCATTGAGAAGATCATGTGCAGCATACCAATCGTGCCTATAATTTTTTTCAAGTACTTGAATAGCATCATCAGTTTAAACTGAAATTATAAGAGTATTTCTAGAAATAGCTTCTGAGACAAGCATTATCCTAAAAAACCCTTGATGCGGAGAAGTTTGTTGCTCAAATATGAAGTTTCATACATGCGGCCTTTATTTGGAATTACTTAAAGCCGCGGAATGAAAAGGAGGCTTTGCTGTTTTCAGAAGGATGATCGATACGTCTAATTTTTTATTTCATTTCATGAGAAGTTTTTTATCAATAAGTAACAGTAGCATAGATATACGGTTCACCTAATGATCCAAAGCTTTGCGAAAATCCGTCATGGGCTATTCCAAATGCCGTCGTCGGCAAACTTTTGATAAGGACTCTCTCTGTGCTCACAACGTTTTAACCCCGCTTAAGGTTCCCACGTTCCATAGGTGCATTGGCTTTTTTACGAATAACGAACTTTTCACTAGCAATAAAGTTAAATGTAGAGTGTTCAACATTTTCAGATCTTCAATTCGACGCAACGAACATAGGATGTCTTACAATGATACATCGAGGGCATGGAAAGCTTTAAACAAAATCGTAAGCGATCATGACGATCCTTTTGAAGAGGACCCGTCAATCCAGCCAACGCGATATCAGAAACAAATATCTACAACAGAGAATGGTCATGACTGCAATCAGAATCAAGAAGAAAATCCAATGCTCCTTTATTGCGCGAAAAGAGAGGTATCTTATACCTTACATGTTGTTTCTTTTTGAATGGCTTGAAATAACAACAAATTACATAGCCAGTTATTACACATCTATAGACCCCGTCTTTACGAATGCGTCTTAATGTGTAGAATTAATAGTGTTATAACCTATCAATGCGCCCGTTCACTCTTTTATATTGAATTGCTTGGCAATCGCAATAAATAACAAGGCAAATTAACTATCTGTAGGTCCAATCTCCACGAGTGCGTTTTCAATGGCAAAAGCAACCTATTCTTCATAGTTTTGCCTCCCATTTACACGGCAACAACAAATCTGAGGATGAAAAGGCAAATATTTGACAATGCCGTCCAGAGTTTTGCATCTTTGGCAAACGAATCGTTTCAATGTAGAAAAAATTTGCAAACCTTTGACCGTGTAAATAGTGCTTTAGATTGCAAGTGTAGGGTTTTTAGTAACGAGACGTGTTGCTGAAGTCTTTGTTTAACTATGGGTATCTCAAATGTAAGGTATATGGGTATCAATGTACCTGTTGGCACTAAGACTTCCAAGTGATTCAGAAGTCATTTCCTAAGGAATCTTTTTACAGTAAACATTGATCGTGTTGTCTGCCAGTGTTGTATCTTATTGTTACTTAAAATAAAGTTGATTGTTATCTTTTTAATCCCAAGTTAAAAAGGGACGAAGATTGTCATTACTGTGGAACAAATGTCAGTCTGAAAGGAGCATTGCATGGTTGCAGAATATGTGACAAGATATTCCATCGATCCTGCTTAGAACGAAAATGTTTTCTAAATGATGAACTGTCGATTGAAGCACTTGGTGAATCAGAAAACGAAGTTGGCTGGAGCTGCCCTACCTGCGTGAGTAACGCACATTGCTCTACACAGACTCTCATTAGCTGCCAAATATATAACAGCCTCAACTGTTTCAGTATAAAAAGCAGCATTCGTAACATCACTTCTTCTTTTAATAATAAGCATAAGCCCGTAGCAAGATCCTTGGGGGACTCCTCTTTCCTTACAAAACCTGAAAAATCGCGGTGACGTAAGATACGATGCCGTCTATGTTGTATTAAACATGATCAATCTGAAAACCAGCAGTCATATTTTATCGACCAGATTTGCAAGCACCCCTAGTTGAATTGAAAGTAACATGTATCCGATACTCTTTTTTGGTGGCATCATTTACAAGCATCACTTTGGCCCTTTAGTTTACAACATAACTAGCGTGGATTGACTTCCATGTAACTTGTCGTTATCCTGTCATTCCTAACTTCTCTAATTATTGTGGAAAATATATGAAATTCTGATAATGCCGAAATGTATGAGAAATAATGAAAGAGTTATGTTCCTCTGAAAAATCAAAGAAGATAGGATTGCCATTGGCTGCAGTAACAATGCCTGTCTTTCCATTTGCTCCGAATTTGATAATGTTGCTAACATGAATGGGTACAAAAACCTAATTTAATGTCAATGAAAGTTACACTTTCTCATCCGTAGGAGGACATTTTCAGTTTATTGGACGAAAACGAGAAGAATCACGTGATCGAGGCCTTTGATGAGATGGTTGGAAATGGTAGGAGTTTTGACTAAATGTCGAGACTATGTCGTTTGTTCCTTGATTTGCTAGCTTGAGTCTTTTTCTTTGCTAGAGTGAATACCTTCTCGTCAGCTTTTGTCCCTTATTTTGCCAGTTTTTGTCCCTTGTTTTCTAGATTCAATACTTTTCTGCCAGCTTTTGCCCCTTTTTTGCCTGTTTTTGGTACTTGATTTGCTAGCTTCTGTGTTTTGCTTAACTTTGTGCATTGATTTGGTTTTTCCAGAAACTTCTGTGGATGTGAAGAGATACCTAGAGCACAGAAGGGAATCGTATCGCAACCTCGTCGGAATAGACATGTCTGCGCAACGAGAAGGGCAAGAGATTAGGATATTTGAAGAAATAGACAGTGATCACTCGGGTACAATTGAATGGTGGGAATACGCACGATCAACGTGTATGAGGCTACTCAGCAGGCGCAAGCAGGTATTATTATAACTACACTATACAATTTATTATTTTCAGGGAGGAGGCTGAAGAAAGCTGCCTCCTCCCTGAAAATAATTTTCAGGGTCAAATTTTTGCTTTGCTTTGAGAGTAGAGTCGAGAATACGAACGTTGGTTTTGGAGGAAAGCAAATTAAAACCCTCTTGTGGATTTAGAGTTGCGTATCACAGAAGAGATTTATGTTATAAGCATGCCAGGTAGCATTTTCGCCATATTTTGTCATTTAACTTAGATGCATTCTATATGCTATTTTGATCGTGTCATTCCATTAGGAACTAAAGCTATATTTTGTTGGTGTTGAGGAATAAGGCAGGGGAATTATTCAATTGACCCCTACAGAAAATCTTCATCTATTGTTATAATACCACATGTACTGGATTATATTTTGTACATAAAACATTTCTTAAGAATTTTTGCTGCATTTTTACGGAATTCGTTTCATCCATCTGTATGTTTATCTACAGGAGGATCTTTTGGAGCTAATAACACCACGTGAAGTAGCAAGACTTGAATCATTCTTCAAGAAATACGATAAAAAGGAAACAGGGGTAGTAACTCTTTCTATAGCCAGAGTCATTTATGGAAAGTGGATGCTTTCGCTCGTCAAGGGTGGAGATTCTATGAATGTTCCTAATGAATGGCTAGGTGAACTGCCTGCTGAGTGGCTTGGCATTCCAAAACGAGGGTCGATTAGAAGAAAAGAGACAGAAGTAACATGGCAGGAATTCTTGCACATGAACGCGTTTCACATTATTTGTGCTCGGCTAAACACTGTAGAGGGTAAGCCCCAATTACCAACGATAAATGAGGCAATTCGTGCTGTTGCTGAACAAGATGAAGATAAAGGTAGAGAGAAAGTTTCAAATTTGCAAACTGAAGTTCTAAAAGAAAGCCAAGAAAATGAGGAGGAAGATGAAATGGACCCATTGGAGAAAATAAAGATGCGATTGAAAAACAAAGTCTCGTGATCCTTGAATCCGTTTTTGTTTTTTATCGATGCCAAGATAGCCCTTGGCCACATAGCTCCAGGATAATACTTAATACCTGAATTACGCCTATTTGCATATTAATAATTACGTAAGTGAATGGTATGGTTAGAAAGGTTTCCAGCCCGTTTGTTTATGTGTTGACTACTGTTGTTTACCACAAGTGTATCATAGGGTCGATTTCGTATTTTCGTCAAAGGTTGATGTATATCTCATTCCATTCCGCTGAGGGAGGTACTCGATATACGAAATTTTCCAAGGTTCTACTCAAAGCCAGCAAGTGTATTCCAAGGCCGTGTAAGTCTTTATTTCTAATACCCTTGCAGGTTTGACATCATATTTTCGCAAGCCAATTCCCTGTACAAAAATTGGTTAACAACCACCCCCCCCCCCCCGGTATTCCGGGTATTTGTCCTTGTTACAGTCACAAACGTAAAATTTGGACTCTTTTCTCAATGCACAAGGGTATTTTGAGCAATCGAGGCTCCTGATGCCTGCCTTACCAATTGCGACACTTTTTTGTAAAAATCTCAGCTTTCTTACTGTCTATCTTTGTACATATTTTTATCATCCTGTAAAAAATCTCAGCGTAGTTTATGCATCGATATATTTTGCGCGATGTTTTTCATCTATTAGCTTATTGCAATTGCAAGGTTTAAAAACATTGTACAGCCTTTGATAGCTATGGTTGCTAAATAAAACATTGCTTTTTCGTATTTTTTAGCTCCAGATTGGTATCACATCGTATTTACTCATTAGATATGATTAAATGCATACATGGGCCTAAGCAACTTTGTTAAAAGCTAATGAAATGCTTGGTACGAGCTTCATACTTTTTAACACTTTTTCTAACTCAAGCTAAGTACGTGTAAAGTACAGCTTTAATATAATACCTGAAAACTCCTGCTAATAAAAATCAAGGTAATTTGACTACGGTTGACGACAGGTGCTTTGATTGAATGAGAGGACCGTTCGAGCGCGTAACCAAGACCACAAGCAGTCGCAACCACAGTCGTAAACAATTTACGAACCGAAGGCGCGGCACTAGGCTACTTCAAAGTTAAAATGCTTTCTTCTTAACACTTTCCCGTGGATTTTCGGCATTTAGAAGAATACCAGTAGCTTTTCTGTGTCTATTTTACGAAGCATTGGCGCATTTGTTTGGCCAACCTGCTTGCTAACTTCAATGAATAAAGCTTATCCAGATGGAGATGCTAAGCGCGCAACGTATAACGAGTTTGTCAATGACTCATAAATCCTGGATGCAAATTGCATACGCGCACCCGTAAAAAAAGCGACGCTCGAAAACCAGATTCGTTGATTGTAAACATGAAGGGTTTGTTGTGCAAAGCTTAGCCGCATAATATCAAACTTACTGTAAATCAGAAATAGAAAGTGCCAAATCATTCCGCTTTTGACGAAATCGTGTTGTATCATGATAGAGGTTTGAAGGCAAAATGGGCGAGTTTTTGGGCCTTATTTTAACCATTATTTGCTGTACAGTTTCATTGGAAGCTAAAAAATCGTGGCATAATGAACGGAGATCACACGTGCTTCGACATTCGCCAAAGGGATCAGGGACAACTGCAAACGAACAAAAGGCTACAAACCCACAGTTAGGGACTGCAAAGGAATTCCCAGGCAGTTACACGTCGTATGCAACACCGCAAAATCCCCATGCTTATCAAAAGTATCCTCCCTTCCAAGCGCAAGTTTCGCAGCAAAGTTCGTCTGCCGTAAAGGGAGATCTGCCTCGGGAGAAGTCCAAAGGTGCTGCAAAGAAGATTGCAAAAACTATGAACTTAACGATGCTAGAAGAAAGATTAAGAGAAGTTGATGGGGGCAAAATCGTACATCATAATTACGAGCAGCTGACTTGGTTTTTGAAATATTTCGCGGAGCAGTACACAGAGATAACGAGATTGTATTCAATAGGATCCACAGTGCAAAACAGACAGTTATGGGTTATGGAAATAACTGACAACCCAGGCGTTCATGAGCCTGGTGAACCAGAGGTAAAGTACATTGGAAACATTCACGGTAATGAGGTTATTGGTCGCGAGATACTATTGCAGTTCGTCAAGTATCTTTGCGAGGGGTACCGAAAATCAGATAAGATCACTGCATTGGTGAATTCGACAAGAATACACATCTTGCCTAGTATGAATCCAGATGGGTACGAAATGGCTTCAGTAAGGTCACATGATCTTGGAAGGCTCAATTCCAATGGTGTTGACTTGAACAGGAATTTCCCTGATCAGTTTTTTAATTCATTCAGCTCCAATGCTGACCCAGAATTAGAAACGAAAGCTGTTATAAACTGGCTAAAAAAATACCCCTTTGTGTTGTCAGCAAGCTTCCATAGTGGGGCACTCGTTGTGTCCTACCCTTACGACGATTCACCATCGGGGCAAAGTATTTACAGCTCGACCCCAGACGACGATGTATTCAGGCAACTTGCGAAGGCGTATTCTGAGAACCATCCCACAATGCATTTAGCCAATTCAAAAGAAAACTGCAGTCACCCTATGAAGCGTTTCATTGACGGAATCACTAACGGGGCAGCATGGGCCAGTATTTCTGGTGGTATGCAGGATTACAATTATGTTGTACATAATTGCATGGAAGTAACTGTTGAGCTTGGCTGTCATAAATTTCCAAGTATATCTTGGCTGGCGCATTCATGGGAACAGAACAGGAAAGCTCTTGTTTCCTACATCTCTATGGTACGATGGTTTTTTATCTTCTTATAGTTTAGTTTAGAGCTGCAATCTCTGTTAAATGTCATCGGAAGCCCTGCATTAAGTGAAATATTTTGGACAATAAAAATTTTCAACATTAAGACAAAGAACAATTTCCTTTTCCCAAAAAAACAATTTGGTTGAAAAGCCTTTTTCTTAGGCTATCCTAGCGAACTAAATCTAATGAATTTCCAATTCTGAAACTCTTGCTATTCGACCTTGGGAGGAGTGCCAATGACGATAAGCAAACATTTTGCGAAGTGTGCGAAGACTTTTTGCAGGCATTGTACGTGCTGCAGTTTCTTTGCATAGTAAAATACCAAATTGTTCTTTGCTCAGTCAAAAGGCTTTGATACAAAAAAACAAATCGTACGTCAATTTAGCTTCTTCAAATAACGGTCGCTGAAAAGTTTTCGAGTAGTTTTTATGTCTCGATCAGCTAGAACATTGAAAATTCCAAACTGATGCTTTGATGTTGTGTAACAATCATGAATTACGGTGAAGCGGATGCAAAACAGAGTGGTTATAAATGGAACAGGCTGTAAACAAGTTATCTTAATTATAATTTAATTTGAAGTAAACATTGACAATACATTTATCACAGCTAAAAAGCCAAGAAGAAGATTTTTTGGAATCTGCTTTTATTAAGGAAACAGACAGGATAACAAAGCATATTTTTCCTGGATGAGAGTGAATGATATTGTTGTTGCTTTTAAAACATATAAAATTTAAACCAGGGACCAGATTTCGGGGTTTTTACAACCAGTCAGTGTGCCAAAAATCCTTGTATTACAAATATTTGTATTCTACAGGCACACCGAGGAATAAAAGGATTTGTGAAGGATCAAGATGGAAAGCCTATCAAAGGTGCGACCATAAGTATAGGGGATCGAAGGCATGACGTTATCAGTGCTAAAGATGGCGACTTTTGGAGACTGCTTGTACCAGGCACATATGACGTCACAGTACGAGCAAAGGGCATGAAGCCATCTACCAAGTCAGTTGAGGTTGCACCAGGGATTGTCACCACTGCTAATTTTACACTCCAACCGAAGCAAATTGATGGACTGGAGGAGACTCTTGGACATGTTAACCGAGTAAGTTTGCAAACGTTGATTTTCATTATCAGAGCCTTTCGCGTTGAAGACATATCATCGTTAAGAGGCTGAAAGGTGAGAGCTAACGCTATTCAAGATAAAGCCATTCAAAAACATTTGAGCCACAGTATTATAAAGAATGGTTTTATACGCAAGTTTTTGGAATAACTTTGGCTACTGAGATCCTGTCAAGAATGCTTTTTTCTACAAAAACTTGAGAGAGAGAAACTAAACAAATTCCATTAGAATGAATTATCAGTCAATTCTTTCTACTAGAAATATAATTTTGTAGACCTCTGGATATTTTTCTGGAGAAGTTCTGCATCCTTTTTCAATCTTGTCTCTTTCCATTATTCAGGCCACTTTATTCACACACGATCTGATATATCGCTATGATGGACGAGACTCCGGCGATACTGGACCAAAAGACCAAATCCAAAAGGTTGAACAGAATCAGAAAGGGTGAGTAGTTATTCAGAAAATTTTCTGTTCAATTTTTTCTGCAATGATGCCACAAACGAAACTTCCTTACTCGCTTAATCACCCTGATTGGCTAATTTTCTTTTGCTATGAAATCTGTCACCTTGTTGATGATGTGTTGCTTTAAAAAATGAAAAGGGACCAACCGTTCAAGGCGAAAGAAACGGAAAGAGAAGAACTGCTTTCAGCCTCCTCACAAAAACGTGGCCATACAAGTTCAATTCAGAGGGCATTTTACTTATTTACAAAAGGCTCATCTTTTCTCAAAAAGAAATGAAAGACTATTTTCATTTTCCAATATCTTAAAAAGTTATTTTAAGAAGCTATATGGAGTTTTTCAAAGCTTAAACCCTTACTTTTCAAGGCAGTGCAAGTAAGAATGAATTGTAAATAAGACGAAAGCATTGCGTTTTCCTTTGTGCGCATCAGTACTCAAATTTGCTCTTACTTCTGCAGTTCTATAATTCGCTTTTTGAGTTCTCAAAACACCAGATAAAGATTATTATTTTCATTTGGATGAGCAGTATTTATAATTAAATATTGCAGTACAACTTCTAAAATGAAATTTGTAAGAATGAGATTATCAAAATATCAGTCTGGTGGTTTCATGACCGTTGCTACATATGTTGTCATAATTTTGTTAATTTAGTTTTCATCGATCTTCGTGTAATGCTTCTCTTCTTTTAACTAAAATTCATCACCTTGATATCACAAACAGTATAGATAATTACAAGAAAGAAAGCTAGGATTTATGGGGAGAAGCAGGAAGTAGGCACAGCGGAGCGTTGAGAAAAATGGAGGGTCTAAGAAAGTGGGGGGGGGGGCTAAAACCGAATAAAAAGAGGCTTTACTGCAGGTTCGTTTCATAGAATTTTTCGCTAAAAGTGGAGGGCTAGAACCCCCCAGCCCCGCTGCTCCGCGGTGTCTGGGAACAGTGAAGCTTAGGCCATATAAAAGCGAGTTTCTGTTTAGCAAAATGGTAATTTTTTGTTTTTGACATTGCTTTACAGGCGTGAAGGAATAACCGAGGAGCAGGATACTCTTGCTCAGCGAGAAAACGAAAATTTCGAGCCGGAGATATCAGGAAGTGGTTTGGAGGAGAGTGCTCAGGCGCAAAAATTAGCTGAGAACCTTGCAATAAACAACATCCCGTTGATCCGTGCACCCTCAGAAGGGACTGTTGTAAAGAGGAAGGTTTTTGGGCGACAAGAGGACCGCCATTATTTTGGAAATGGGGAGGCGTTCAAACGTAGCAAAATAAACAAGCCTACGTCCACTTCCGCAACAAACAAAGGTTCCACAATAAGTGGCATAGACAGCAAGAAATCATCTGGAACGGGCTTAGAGAGTGCGACGAAGCCAACAACAAAAGCCACTGAAAATCCATCAAATGGCACGGATAGCTCCGCAGTGAAAGGCTCAAATTTGGACAGCGAAGCATTGAAACAGGTAGAGGAAAAACTCCACGTCAAGCCGAATATAGGGATGCATTTGAAATGCTCTGTCCCGGGCAAATCTGATCCCATCCGTGGGGTGCTTAAATGGTTTGGTCACATCACAAATCTTCCTCGAAGAAGCAGCGTTGTTGTTGCTGGTGTGGAACTCGAAAAGGAAGAAGATCTTGGCACTAACGGAACTTTCCTTGGGAAAAGGTACTTCGAGGCTGCTCCAAAACGAGGATACTTTGTACCGATCAAAAACTGTCATCCAGTTTAAAACAAGAACAGCTTTTTTAGAGAAATCGACAGAATTCTTTGTATAATAGCAAAATAACTTTTATTTTTTGATTTTCAAAATATGCACTTAAACGACGATGAATCGAGGTTTATTAGAGACTGTAGAATAGGAAAGGAAAAGAAACTTTAGTTAGCTTTGTAATGCCCAGCCTGGGCAATAGCTGGTTGGATATTGTGGATTACAATGTTAGACAAAAAGTTTTATGTCTCAATGTTTTTAATTTCGATGCTATTCAAGACGATATAGATTTATGAATACTTCAATTGTTGTTTCTCTTACATTGAATTCTACCCCAGATTTGTGCATTGGGAGTTCGCACGCTTTAGCTTAAATAAACTGACTTCATTCTTGTACTATGTCTCACGGGAAACAATAACATACGAAGTACTAGTCCAGTCCGTGCATACTTTGATCTGGAGTACATATTTGTGAAAAGAAATCCCATTGGAGGCTTGCTAAATTGAGCAAGTGTAGACAACAACTACAACATGATTTCTTTAAGCTAGCACGAGTTGGTTTCAACCTGGACGTTTCTAGGACAACATTATGGCTGCGTTATCATAATATACTGGACAAAACTATTAAGAAAAAGTTATTCAACTTTGTTGTATCAATGCCAATTGATGCTCTTTAAGACTCCAGTTGAGGTAACATTGAAGGTAAGCTCAATATTTTAGTAAACTGAATGATCTCCTGACTCTAAAATGCGAAAGTACCACGTTTGATAATTCTTGTTCGGGACTGCATTTTCTTTCCAACAGTGCATGATTCAATATTAATTGATGTTTGTGTCCGCGGATGAAGTATCGAATGAAGGTACATGTCTACTGAAGTCTTAAAATAATCTTAACATAAAATCTTGAGATGAAATTTGATATCAACAATGACGGGAAATAAATTTTGAGAACACAACCATTACTGCTCTCCTGCCCTTTGGACCAAGTCAGAGGTACAAATGATCTTTCCCTGTCGCGAAAAGCCAGATTCTACAACAACCGACCCTTTATCGTAACATGCAAACACTTTTCATGGCGGAAACAGATGGGGCACCACGGGAATGTCTGTGACATTCTCCCCTATTTTGAAAAGAGCCGATTTTTCATAACGTCAAAAAAATCAAAGGGGAAAATGCCGCAAGAAAAATACGCTTTTGGTGTATAGAACAGGATTCAAAAGCTCTTGATCTACACACTTTTTTTTTGAAGAACATTTTTATACGAACATGAGCCCCAATAATTGTAAAAAAATTAAGAACAAGACAGGGTGAGCTACTGTAAAATTTAATTTTGAACAACGTTTTATTTAAAAATGGGTAGTTTTTCTGCAATTTTTGGTGAATTTTCAAACCTGTCGGCAAATAAGAGGCCTGAACATACCCCCTAAAGCATGACAGTAATCACACGCCTTGCACCCTAATAATTTAAGAACAAATTAAGAACAATCCAGCCTCGGACTTTCGAAAAAATTAAAAAAAGCCGTCATGAAATTAAATTTACTGATTTTTATAAAAAATTTAGCATTACCCGGCGAATGACGGGTAAACAGTAATTTTCATACGCTCTATTTTGTAATTAGCGACACTGTTAAACAAAACTGGTGCAGTTTTCAAAAAAAGTTTCATTGTATTGAAAAGGGTTTTCCTTGTTACTCCTGGGCGGAAAGATATTTGGCCGAAAGGGAGATTAAAACTGTCTTCAGTATATCATCAGTTTTTTTCGCAAGTCTTGCGACAACGAACAGTTCCAGGCTCGTGTTTACAAAAAAGAGGTTAAAACGTAAATATAAACAATGCAAGGAATGATGTTTCTTCTCAAAACTGAACACAGTAAAATCGATTTTGATCGAAATTTGTACAACTTGATGTTTAAGGACAAGTAAAACGTAACACAAACTACTTTATTATTTCTGCAACAATATTTGTCAGAAGTGAAATAATTTCAAATAATTCTAAATTTCTCATCACAATTATTCTACAAGCGATTAAAATCATACTTTTCATGCAGGGTAAACAATTAGTCTTGCGATTTGAACGTCTAGGCCTATTGTATGGATGTTATTCATCTTAAAAGTGATGGTAACTTATGAAAAAATCTACTTATGTTCCACAAATACAATATCAACACTGGGTAAAACAACATAAAAAATAACAACAGAAAGGCTTTATATTCATACATTAAACAGAGAGGGTGAGACAAGGTATGACATATTCCCATGTTCGAGGAAGAGTCTTTCTTGGATCAGCAACTTTTTCTGCTTCTCTCGATTAAACACTAATAAATAACAGCCTTTCTGAAAATGAATGGATGAACTAACGGACAAAAATTTACAAGAAAACAATAAAATCTATGCAATCCTATTAAATATATGTTTGTTTTCAGCGATGGTTACAGCATTCTTCCTTTAAAGAAAGGGCAGCTCAAATACATCAGTAATTGGAAATTTACTCTCTGTGCCGGTTCGGAGCACCAAACTCTAAATAGTCGAGCTAAAACGCTAAGATCATATATTAGAGTGATAATATCGAGCATCGTCAAAAGATTTTGTGCAGGTGTACAGGTCTTTCGTCAAAAAGGTGCAAATGCTAGTGCTCTTGTGCTTTCTGTAGGCCTTTTTTTGCTTTTGGTCATTGCCGTCATAGTAAAATTCTGTTTTAGCTCTCTGACGATCGCATTTTTATGGACACTTGCTCTTTCTATTTTAGGGACAATTGCTCAAAATTAAGATACTAAGCCCATACGTTGGCAAAGTGGAATGTTGACACTATGGGGAATAAAGAGACAATTTCAAGTTTCCTAAGTAAAAAGCAGCCTAAGTTTTACCCTTTTCAAGAAGAGGTGCTTCGGCAGATATCAGTCTAGAGACACTTATGAAAGAAAAACTGATGGGGAGGGGGGGTGGGGGGGGGTTGGCAATATCTGTAAATTGCCTGAAATAGCGTTCTGGGAACTGTATTCTTGCTCTGGGTTTAATGTGAAATTAATGTTAGCCACAATCTTACGTCATTAAGACACTAGGCCTAGAATTTGTCATCAAAGAACTGATGAAACTGTTATATGTGTGCACAGTAGACTGTCCGCAGGTACGTATATCAAATATATCTATTAGCCGTGAACAGCTACATTTCCTGTACTGTAATACCTAAAACTTTTATCCGAGTTTAAGGCATCTTTCAAAAATATCGCTACTATCTAATAAACAATTCAACACTACTTATTTTACTTATTCATTTCAAACGTAAGCGCTTCTAATAAATCCATTTTGATTACCAACGGATCCATTCCTGGACTTAGTCCTTTTCCTGCTTCTTTCCATCAAATCTCGCTCCGATGTGCTTCCCTCCTCCTCAGAAGCCGAGTAACCTTCATCATCTGCCAGCTCCATCGATCTCTGGGGAATACACAAATCTTCACTTTTCGACGCTTGATTTTCATCATAGTCCCGCGTAGTGACTTCGTTGGTAAATGAAGTATCAATTTCACTGCTTGGTGTTTCTCGTTGTGTTTCTATCCTAGTGGAGGAGCCGCGCAGCGGTCCAACAATTAATCTTCCTACAAAAAAATGAGACATTGGTTTTAACTCGATATGGGACAATGTTCAGATTTTTCCCAAACTACAAAAGCTGATGACCTCAACAGCTCTCCTCCCCTCCCAGGTTAGGAACGACTGCCATTCCTTCAGTAAACCATTATTTAAAGCAAAAGTTAAAATGGAAATTACATTCCCATTGCTTAACAACTAAGTTTTGCAAAGAAAAACCCTTTGATTTACCTAAAAGCGAGTTCCTCGCTGTTTGTTTATTATTATCGGCTGTAGAACCAGTCGCACTTGATAAACTTGATCTACAGCTTGGCAGACTGTGACTTTGCAAATCGTTTAGACTCGAGCACATTGATGAACGGTATTCATCACTTGTGTCACTTGCAGCATCTTCCTCGCCATTAACCTGAAGCCATTTCACAACATCCTCGTGAAGAATACCAGCTGAAAGAGCTTCCTCATGCAGATTCTGATTGCGAAGACCAGTGTCATTTTCCTGGAAATCTTTCCCCATGGCTCCTTTGAGTGTACTGTTGTCTGAAACCATTGATTCTTTGTTGCTTTCGAGAGTGTTGCAAGCGGAGTTATCGTAAAGTCTTGCTGTGCGGTTGCTTGATTCTAAAGTATTGATTGGAGTTTCTTCGTCTGCCATTTTGTACGTGGAGCCATGTGGTGTTGCCTCCAGACAATTTGCTGAACCACAAATCTCAGCAGATTTTGAACAGTCACTTGCGCTTGATACCATGTTAACTGTTTGTAAAGGTTCAGCGCCCACCGCCTTCTTACGAGTTGCTGCCGCTTGCGTGAGAACCCGTGGCTGCCTTGCTCTCATTGTTGCAAACTCGGTCAACTCAATGCTTCCCCGATCATTGTTTACATTTTCGCACGATCGTACTGCCCTCATTTTGTCTTTTGCTTGCAGCATTGGCGACGAGCCACCGATAAACAGCGACTTGCGAATTAGCATTTCGTTTGACTTCGACGAAGATTTTCGTTTGTCGACGAGAGACAGCAGGTCATTAAGCTCTTTGATTTCACTAAGTGCTCTGTACGATCGGTACGGCTGAAGAGCAACTTGAGAACCAGCTCTGGTTCCGTCTTCCTCTGCACTGCTAACAGAAATGTGCGGCTCCGTGCTTGCGTTTGCTCTCTCTGGATCGCTGACGTAAATATTCGATGTCAGATTATCGATAAACCGATCTTCTATGTCCACTTCTCGGATGGTCTGCATTTTAGCTTGTTCATCTACCAAGGCCTGGACCTCAAGTAGTCTGTTCTTTGCTGAATCATGTCGCATCATCTAAAAGGTATATGAACAATTAACAGCGTATGAATGATGTCCCAGTTTGATTACTATTTACACTGATTACTATTACTATTACTATTACTATTTACCGTTAGAAACTGTAATGCCAAACGTGAAGGGACGAAAGTTCATTCATTCATTCATTCATTCATTCATTCATTCATTCATTCATTCATTCATTCATTCATTCATTCATTCATTCATTCATTCATTCATATGGCATTCCTTTTGACCATGAAAAAACTTCAAGAGAACACCTAAACAAATTGACCGAAAAAAGGAAAAACATCCTTTCAGGAAAATGCAAATGGTATTAATTTCTTCAATAGCAGCCAAAATATTCTAATAAATATAAAATCAGGGGGTAAATTTAGTCAAAGCAGAAAGAATTTCATTTAAATTGCTTCAATCGCAGATTGAGCATAATCAAAGGTATCCGTTTCATAGAGGTTCATCTAAGAGCGTTTGGACCATTTGGGACAAAAATACCTGTCCATTGCTGAGAGGTGTTCGATAATGGAGGTTTTACTGTAGTAAATGTTAGGTAGCTATGATGACGTCTGTTCTTACCACTGTGGAGGAATTCGTTCTCGTTCTTGGTATAATCGAGCTCTTCTGGCTGACTGAAGATGACAACCTTCTTCTTTCATAGTAAGAATCAGTCCGCATTTTTAAGTCACTTCTCGTGTCACATCTGAAGAATGCTAGCCATGCGTCTCTGACGTTCTTTTGAGACAGACAATAAAAGACGAAGATAGCAAATCCCTGCAGTGAATTACAGATAGCAAATGTGTATTGAAATACCAGGCGGAAGTCTTCCACAGCTATAGCGCCAAATATCCATGTAAGGCCCATAAGGATCATAATACCAAAAGCCCTCTTCAATCTTTGCATTGCTTCGCTTGTCTCTTTCGGGTCCATGCTCCGCGTTGGCCGAGTACTCAGCTTGTACATGATGATGCCGAAGATAACGAGGTTGGACATGAGAATGAGGCAGATGGGTCCAAGAAAGCCAATGTAGAACGGAAGACCATTGACACGACAGCTAGAAAATTTTGCAATTGAATATTGAATAAAAAGGATTGGAAAGATCTGCATTTTTGTGCACAATGCTAGGCGAAATATAGCAACTAAATCAAGGGTATGTGAACAAGAGAATGTTCTTCTATATTTGATCTCAACCCAGTGGCTTTTATAGCTAGCAAAATACTGTTAATTATTGGTTAATTGTGTTATAAAAGTACATTTATCTTCTTCTCGAAAGAAATATCTTTTCACATGAGACACAACAGTATAGAAAAGTGTGTCTCATTCATGTAGATGTGACAGTCTAAGTTATGATGTTACAGAGTTTTAAAGGAAAAAGAAGCTTAATCCAAGGGTATTCTTACTAGTGCTTTCCTTGATAATGGCTAAGATCCGTGGCAGCCGTCGCTGCGACAACAATGCCGGGTAAACCTATAAAAAATCGATACAGATTAGATAAATGTCATTTTGTTAAGCATTCATAAAAGGTCTTAGGATCACTTGCCTTGCATGAGGCCATATAACTCTAGATATCCCAACTGGAATCAATAGCGCAGAAACTAAGACGCCACAAGAAAATAAGTACAGTTGGGAAAATTTCATGAAACATAAAAACACATAATATAGCAAGAGCATAATATAAAATAATATAGTAAATTACCCCATGCAATGAAAGTGCATTTTAGAACATCGTTGTCTTCTCTTGGTGGCCAAACAACAACAAAAGCGTGATACATGAAAGCCGCTTCCATGAACATCCACATAAATGCCACAAGGGTAAAGTAATGCAAGGCAATTCCGATAGCAAGGCACGTGTTGGGCTCTTTTGTTCTTTCGAGGCCAGTCAGAAAGAGAACGACAACAACAAACAGAGCAAAGCAAAGTTGTAACATGATGCGCGCTGCTATTTCACGACGCAGTCTCCTAAAAAGGACAAAATCTGAGACTTGTGACGCAATCATAGAGATAATCTGTATGAATGAATAGGTAGGTGCCAATGCTTAAAGCTGAAAAAGAGCTCGAAACTGAAAAAAGTCGTTGATTAAGTTGTTTTGAGAAATACGAGAACAAAAAACGCTTGTTTAGTGACTATGTAACATTTACTCAAATTTTTTAAAAGAAACAAAGCATCGGATTAGCACCCAGTTCCTCATTTTTGTTGTTTATTTCAGTGATTAAAGTTTCTTTAAGCTTTCCTAAATACAAAATGCTTACTGAATTACCTGAATATGATATAGGTCACCATTGTTAGAAACAATCCTATGAGCGATAAGAAGCAGCCAACAACGCTGATGAACGATAATGCTCGACCATGTGAACCACAAGCTTTGCTCGTATGAGCGTAGACGTCCTGGTGTGCAAAACAAATCATTAGTTAAGTCTCTGCACTTTCATGATAGGATAATGTTACTGGAATGCGTTTTACAAAGAGAAGTACCTGAGACGAACGATTAGCGTAATAACCAAAAGGGTTCCGCAACTTAAATACTGTCACTTAAAAGTACTTGGCTCAGGCCTACTCCGAACCAAAGAATGTCTGTTTTTATGGTTATAAGAATCGTATCAATTGTCATTACATACCATCATTGCAGCAAAGTTGGTCATATGATCACACTGGCACACAATTGTTTGATTTACTACTTCATGTAGCCTGCATCCTTTGGTCGACCAATCACCAAGACCGCCTGTATAAGAAGGGGAGACAATTTGGTTAAGATCTCGTTTTGTGAGAAACAATTCTAACTGATTTATCGACGGGGCGTTTGAAACCAAGTGTCAGAAAACGGTTAACAAATCGGTCATCATCATGCTGTTTGAATTTTGGCTTAAAAAGTAGAAAAGCATTATTTCTTCTTCCTTTCTATATTCTATTAGTATTAAAGACGCAAACTCAAAACGATGACCATAATCACTATGTCCGTATTGACTGGTCTACTCGTTTGCCACATTACAAAGCACGGAGTAGCCAAGAAGTAGCCAGGAAGAAGCAAGCCTTTAACCCTAATACCTCTGTATGATTAAAATAAAGAGTGTTCTTTTTCCCGTCCTCGCCATCTTTTATCAATGCATATTAATTTCCTTAAAAAGTAGATGGTTTGAAATGCACATTTGTTTACCTTTAGCATTGAAATCCCAGTAAACGCAGGCAGTCTTTTCGATTTGCTGAAATTGGATAAGTCAAATTTTAAAATATTGACAAACAAGGCAATTCGACATGATGCAACAGAACAAAGCAAGAAGAAGCAAAAGAAAGGGCCTAGGCCATGCTTAAAAACCGAATCCTGACAGAATTTGATAAAATGGCCTAAATATGAAAAGAAAGGCAAAAATGACACCACTAACCTCTTGTTGTGGCTTTGCTTTGAAACGCAAAGTAACAGGTTTGCTTAAGTTTGTGACCTCCTTGCCCACGATACTTGAAGCTAATACTGGAGTATAAACTTTTCTTTCTTCTGTAGTGAACCCATTAACACAGCTTACTGATACTTTGGTTTTTCTCGTGAAGAATCTGTTTCTTCTGTAGTAAACAAAGTAAATACTATCATTGCTGCCGTTTGTGCCATTTCCCCCTGTCACTGCTTCAACAGGAATCACAACCGATGCTTCTCCTTTCTCTTCAAAGACAATGTTTTTCTGTATCTCCCCTCGTACAAGCTTGATTTTCTTCACAATAATGTTTTCACTTTTTTCAGTCACATCTTCATCCGTGACATCCACCTTTTCAAGCCAGCTCTCGAGAATCTTGACGTACCTATAAAATCATTACAACGTCACAGTGAGAATTTCAGAAGACTGTCACCTAAGCACAAATGGCTCGATCCTCAAACATCACTTCTTAGTCAGCCTTCTTTTCAGGTTACAACACAAACATAAGATAATAAGATGATAAGACGTTAACAAGCCTTTGTATCAAGCCTATTCAAAGAATTCTGGATATATGTACTAGAAATTAGGGAAATATTCAATCTAACAGATAATTGAACATTTGGTACTGATCCTTTTCTGGGGCTTCCTTGTCACCTTTCGACCCACAATTAAGGCCATCCTTTATAATTTGAACTACACGGATGAAATGACATTTATCCCACAGCTATGGGGAAACGAAACACCACAGTCCATACCTTATTCCAGTATTGTTTTCCTTGTAACTTTTTTCCAGCACGGATGCATTTGCATTCAAAATATTGCTTACCGACTTCACGAGGGACTCACCAACCTGAAATATTAAATTTCAGCTACTTAGGCAAACTGTAGCTAAAAACCTCTCGATTCGCATAAACAAATAATGCAGATATAGAAATCTCATCAACCTAACCTTATATTGGAAAACGTTTTTTAAACTTCTATTCTAAGCAAAATACTTTAATCAAAGTTGCTTTGCATCAAATTTCAATTGAAGTAATGAGCATGAAATAAACCATTAGTATAAAATATCCTTTGTTAGAAAGTTAGTTAGAACTGATCATGATTATGATTATGCTTAATAAGTTATCACAAAATGCTACGTTTGTATAGATGATGTCATCTGCTTACCTCTCTGCTCGTTCCATTTATGAGAACTACTTCCTCCAGAATATCAGCTGTCACCGCAATATCTTTTGTGCTCAACAATTTCGAGTTGTTCGTCAGCTTTTGCACGGTTTCTGTGACATTGAGCACATTATTCTCGTCAACGCCTGCCTGTAGAATACCAAGAAATAAGTTTAATAGGGCAATCCAAAGAAATCTCTAATGAATGTGGTGGATTCTGAAGAAATCTCCATTTAACAGTAAAAAGAGAAAATGAAGTCTAGTATGGAAATATTAAAATTAATAAAACAAAGAACTACAAAAAGGTCTGTTTTGAATTCGCTAAGGTATTCATAATTCTGCTTGAAAATTTATTGTTACTCAGCTAAACTGGGAAAACTCCCACTTTTAAACACAGAGCCAACAGCCAAAAGCCGGGTAAATATTCACCTTATAACGTTCTAAAAGATTCAGTCGATTAAAATATCAATGCCTACGTGTGCCTTCCTGAAGATTTTAAACATAAAGCAACTTTCTATTTTTGAAAACTTCGCTAAAGAACCAACACATGACCAAAATATTTTATAAACAGACGCTCGCCTACTTCCTAGAGGTAATTCCTGGAATTCACTAATAACACAACTTCAATATGAAGAAAATGTCACTAGGATATGACAGATTTCCTAGATAGGTTAATAAAATATGAACCTACAAGAAGAAGTGTTAAGTATATCAGATTCCAAGCTTAAACATTTGATTGCTCAACCGGATGCGTGGGAGATCATCTTGTTCAAGCCCTATTCACTTCTTTTGATGGAGAGGTATCGTAAGGGTAACCAAACGTAATGCACTTTTAAACTCTCTATGACTCTCTTATAACATTCAATAAAATGTAATATGAACTCTTTTACACTTATGAACTATAATATGAACTAATTTTAGCTTGATGGGATGACAGGGGATAGTTCTATGCGATTTTTTAAACATTACGCAAGGATTTTAGATTTAAAAATTTTGGAGGGAAGTTGACTGATAGGAAAGGAGAGCAGTAAAAAAACTAGAATGCAGAGATCTGCAATAAAGGAACTTGAAAAAAAGCGAACCCTAAATTCTGAAAGCTATAAGAAAGTTTAACAGAAAACATTTCAAGACATTTTAAATATTTGAGAACGAGAAACTTGGGAGAGAACAGTCTGTTCTCCAGTTAGAATGACTGACCTGTTTCAGTTTTCGTAACTCCTGAGATATTTGTACAGTCGGCTTTCGAGTCGTAGTGGGGGCTGATGTTGAGGGCCTAGCTGTTGTTCTTCGCTGCGTTGTCAGCTTTGTTGTTGCAGCTGTTGCAGTCTTTGCTGGAATGACAAAATAAAATGAAACTGAATACTCAGGAAGCTCAATGCTCAACAAAAACTCTGTAAATATAAAACACAACTAGGGAAAACCTTACACAAATGAATACAGGAAAAGAATGTCCAATAAAACATAGAATGGAGTTTGCATTCCCTCTATTGCAGTTTCCAACAAACTTAAAACATTAAACCTTTCATATGTTCCATGAAATGGGAGGCGAAACAAATTGTGCTGATCTTATGTTGTGTCTTCAAATCTACACGACTTGATGAGAATTCAAGTTAATGCTGTGAAGGGTAATTGATAACCCCACTTCAAATGATACCTTGAGTATTTTACCCCTCTTAAAATGATGCTACTTCAAATGATTCCTTAAGAATTTAAAAAAACCCTTCGTTTGCCAATAGAAATTTGCTTTAAATATAAAAATCCCTTGAAACAGATGCAACAACAGGCCTTAAAGCGTTAGGGAAAACACCAAGCTACTTACTTTCAGCAGGGGAGAACGTGATGATATACGGTGTTGTGAACGGACCAGGACCAGCCGATGTTCTAGCTCGTACGGTGACATTGTATTCAAACTTTGGAACCATATTCACAATGGTGAAGTTCGAATTTTTGGTCGTATTAAAAGTTTTGGAAACTAGGCGGCGTTCCCTGTCGCGAATCACAACAGAAACATCGTAAGCAGTGAGAGTCACAGTACAAATGTCATTCTCAGGTCTTTTCCACTCGATTTCGATCTTATTCTTGACAATTCTTTTCACTGACAGGCCTGATGGAGTTCTTTCTGGAGCTGCAAACAGAAAAAAATTGCCCCAATTTAAATGGCTTTGCATAAAATGATCGTAAATTTTAAAGGACAACGAATGGGTAAGTTTGGAAATTTCACTTCTTCAGCCATTATGGTTATTAATGTTGTTGCCGTTGCATTTGGTTGTTCAATGTGTGAGTAATATTGTAACATGTTTCATCAGATATTCTTAACATCATTGGTAAATCCATACGAAAACATCATTATCCTAAATTGTCAAAACTTAATTCAAGTGTAGTAATCCACGTGTAAGAAGAACTTGTACTTGACCTGGTCTTAGGTATGGATTTAGTTTAAAAGAACTACACTTATATAGAGGGCAGCGTCTTTGGCTCACATAAGGAATGCTCAATCTATTAATGAGTTTAAGAAAGAAATTAAAAGCTGGAATGGCACAGACTGTACATGCAAACTATGTAGGACGTTCGTGCCACAGCTTGGTTTTTTGTAATTCTATCTTTTAAATAGCTCAGGTTTTTATAGTTTTTTAATGGATCATTTTGTATTTAAAATTTTATGTATTTAATCTCGTATGTATTTAGTTGATGTAGTAGTTTTAACAGTTGGCTTTGATTAGCTCATTTCTTTGTAAATAGCTATGTAGCGCCAACTTTAAATAAATTGATTATTATTATTATTATTATTATTACTTGGCGCGATAATTAAGGGTGATTCGAAAGACCCTCTAGGGTTCCCTGACGAAACTCGAAATACTTCAGCGCTTATATCCTATCGTGTTCCTAACGAGACACTTGAATGTTTTCAACGTATTTACAAAAGATTTCAGTACTTACTGCACTCTCGTGTCCTGAATTGCTGACTTGGAATACTGGAGCCTTTCGTGTTGTCAGAATAAAGAAAGTTAACATTAATACTGTATTTGGTAAATGGCTTCAGCAACTTAATAGTTTTTGCTCCGACGGTTGTGTTGAAGGCGAATCTTCCAGATAGTTTCTCTGAGGTAGCAAAATTAGTGAGAGTCACCTCATAGGCAAGAATATCTGACATAACTGTCCCTGTAACACCAAGAAGTATTTCTACGCTGTATGCCTCTACTTTGTTGATTTTCAAAGTTGGTATCGAGCCTGCAAACGAACAACAAACATGGTCATCAGGCATTTTTAACTCGGTCTATGAAAGCCAACGAAACCTTTTTGTTAAACATAAAGAAATAGAAACTGTTGAATAGAAACAAGGGTCATGTTTCACAAGAAGGTAAGTGGGCAAAGATAAATAAAGAGAAAAACGAGAAATAAGGGAAGACAGAAAAAAGAAGGCAAGAATGGTAAAGAAGATTCAGGTTTTGTGTCCCCAATTAGCTTGTAAGCTAAATATATATTTTTTAACACATTAATAAAGTTTTTGATTGATTGATTGATTGATTGAGGTTGAAAATGAAGATTTGCACTTATTTATTTATAACTTTAAAAGAGTAGTTAGGATCTTTGCTTCCTTTGAGAAGACAGATTAACCCTGTTCCACGTTTTTCGCGCTCTGAAGTTTTAGATGAATTTAACTCATACTGTCCAATATCAATCATTAAAATTAGAACCAAATATCACACCTAACACCAAAAGCATGATCTATCAACTTACCATCGACTGTGATTTGGGCAGTGGACACGGCTCTAACTGTGACACTTGGATAATTTGCAGCACAGGAGAAGGTGTTACCATTTTCTCCCATGTTTATCTTCTTGAAGACCAGTGACGTCACATACATGCCTTCCTTGTCCGTATTGCTGATGCTCATCATATCAGTAGTCGAGAGCGGGTTTCCGTTTTTCTGCCAAGTTACCTTTATTCCAGGCTGGCCAGTCAATACGCAAGTGAGGTTGAAGGTTGTTCCTCGCTTCACTATTTTGTTTTCGATCCCTTTCTTTATGGTCGGGACGGATCCTACCACAAAATCATAACATTCGTTAACAAGACTATCATTGAAAATGTTTAGGTGATAGCCAACAACATATTGAATGTCACTTCTTCATTCCTAAAATCATTTCTATTGCAACAAATAAAATATATCAATCACCTCTGATTGGCGCACATTGATAAACTTCGACCCTCATGCACGCCATGTCACTTGGGTAGTTGTTCCAGCTCACGGGTATAAATCGAATAAATCTTGCAATAGTCTCCACACTCACATCCAGCATGTGTGTTCGGATCGTTTTGTTGTCTGAATTTCCACTAAATAGCTGAAAATCGAGGAAAGCTGTTTGAGACGACACTGCATTTCAAGGTTGAGAAGCAGAACGAACTACTAGAAATTCAGGATATGGTGCGCTTCTATTCAATTTTTTCGACTAGAAGCCACTTTTTTCCTTTCAGATGCCAGTGGCATGAAGCCTATGAACAATCACTTTTCCCAAAAACGATACATGGTATTATTTTCTATAATAGCCTTGGCTCTCGCTTATTTACTACATGCATTAGCTACGAAAAACACATTATTACTTATAATTTATCTCAAGTTTTTCCTATAATACGAGGATATATGGAAAAACAACAAAAATGCTGCAAAAAACTCTCAAAAAAAACTTCATCCCTATTTTTTTATTCTTCTGCTTTAACTTGGCAAATTTGCCTTAAAAATGTAAAAAGCTTTTAGCAAGGAACCCTGATCAGGGTAAACAATAAAATACACCCCGATTCAAAAGCAACAGTATACTACCTTCAAAATAAACACACGTGCATCAGATTTAGAGCCCTCACCTTAACACTTCCATGATCTGCATATTGTTTCCACAAAGTTCCATCAATACTGTAGTTTAAGCGATAAAGCGTTGCCCAAAGATTAAAATTGTAGCCCTGGGTTGCAACACCAGAAACAACTCGTACACGACCTAAGTCAATCTAGAAAAGATTCAAATCAGTTAAGTACAAATCTAAAGAAATCTGTTTGGAAAGCTGAATTTCTAGCTTTTTGTTATTCTGGGGGAATGGGTCTGCAACATACGTTTTGCAATTTTGTATTTACTCATTGAAAGGCTGGAGAGTTAACTAGACATACAGCTATCGAGTCTTCAGATGATAATATCTCCAAATCGTTAATTCCTTGGTCAAATGTTGTTTTACTTATTTCTTAAACGAAAGTGTAGAGTGTTACTAACATAGAATACTGACATGTCAAGATCAGAATTCCAATTTGTTGGTAATTAGTACTCAGGTTGTTGTTGCTCTGAAAAAGACACATGCAGAGTTAATTTCAATTAAAGGGTATGCTATACCTGCAAATAAGGAGACAGGTCTGTTTTCTTGGGGCACCATGCACCCCAGCTTCTCTCTCCAGTGGGTGATATCTTATGTATGTTGTGTAGTCTTCCCTCGTAAGCAAAATGCCTGTTGAATTCTGACGATGCAGTCATACTGCTATCCGGTATCTTTCGAATGTTCGCGTCAACACCAATCGGGAAACGGCAGTCTACAAAATAGCAAACGAATCTGTAGAGAAAGCATTTCCTTGAGACTTGACTGCATATATGATTTTATCCTTGACAAATCTTGGTTGCATTTCTACAGTCGGATTGAACACTGCCTACTATCAAGTTGTAACCTTTTCTTGTTGCAATGAGTATGTTAAATGGTACGATTACATATTTGTGGAGGCTCAGACGACATATGATGAAGATCTTTGCTTGTTACATTGATTGTATCTCATACAATAGGATAAGGATAGTAACTCAATATCAGGATAGCAGAAAATTCCAGCAGAACAGAACCTGCCTTTTCCAGAAGAAGCACCTATAAAATTTAACAAAGCAGTAGGCGTAGATATTGATAGATAAGAGTTAAGTTATACCTTCTTTGGGCTCGCATCCATAAAGTTCTGCCCTCAAACAAGGACATGTGCCAAAGAATGTGAGGGGCACAATCCTGATATACCTCGCTGTCAGTGGTGGGTCAACTTGGTTTTTCACTGCGTCATATCTGTCTATGTTTCCTTTGAAGGTCTACAGATGAAAGACATTTCTATAAAACTCCATAAATGTCACAATTATCTCGAATCTGACTACTTCTTAATTCAAAACCCAAATAGCATTGAAAGAACTATGCACTTTACAGAGAGGTTGGTTGACACGTTCGAGACTGTTTAGGCCGCGATCAGCTTTTCATGATGTCGTCCAACGTTTTTGCGAAACAGAATGCAGGGCAGCATAATTCGAGAATATGCTGTTAGGGATATCATTTTTTTCTGATAAAAAAGGGGAAAATTTCATTTTCTCCAGAAAAGGAGAGCTAGTGCCAGGAAAGAGTTCCAGACGTTCACCTCTATTCAGAACAAAAAAAATTCGCGTGAAATTTTAAAAGCCCAAACAGGTGGTTCTATTGTAATCGACAACGGTGACCCGAGAGCGAAATACGAAGACATCATTGAAGTAATGAGCAATAAACCATGTTTGCTCTAAAACATAGTATGGCGTGTTCTAAGCAAATCCCTTTATGTTATCCATTGTCTAAGAAGAAGAAAGTTTTACGTCAAACTAGAAGAGGAAATCCTTGTGAATACACTGCGTCTATACGTAATGCAAAAGCAAATGTTTTCATGAATTTTTTGTTTCCAATAATCCAATCATTGCTACATCAGAGAAGTGTAAACTGTAATACATTTTCTCAGGTGATTCGAATTGTTATTAGAATTAGCAGGCTCAGAGGGAATTTTACACGAGAAAATGTATCTTTTATAACCCAAACAACGCTGATAATCCAAACTGCAACACCTTTTCCGCTAGAGTCAGTCAATGGCAACCATAGACTCATGCGCTGACTTAGATATAGGGCACAAGGATAATAGAATGAAGAAAACTGTTAAGGCGTGTATTACCCATCTTAGCCTATTTTTACGTACTAATTAGAGAGGCCATGGCCCCTCCAGCCCCCAGTTATGCCTTGGCTTTAGAAAATAGGGTACTGTCTCTTATTATAGTGAAAAAAATTTGACTTTCTCTGTTCAGTTCTTTTTTATGCCCATTGACTGGTGGGGGTTATTTATAAACTAATCTATGTAGTTGTTATAACTTAGTTTATAAAAACAACGACATTAGAATCTCAAGACTGTTACTTATGTACACAAATATTCAAACCTACCTTGCCCTTCCCATTGACTTTATAGTCGTGCCATTCAATGTTGTCATAACTGTAACTAAGACTGTATGACTCCACGAATTGATTTATGCTGTAACCACCCTGCGTCTCCACCGCTGTCAAGGTCGTTGCTTTGCCTAAATCCACTTGGAGATACTCGATTTTCCCAGCCGAACATTCGTACGCGCACCATGCGCCAAAATTTCGTTTTGATTGGCTACAAAGGAAAAAAAACTTCAAATAAACGCTTTTGATGTATAAAATAACTTCAAAACTACATTTATATTGCAAGGGCACCAAGCTGCTCTGTTGATGAAGGGCTGCTATTCTGATAATTTGCAGAGTCTTGGAATACCATACCTCAAAAGCACCCCTTCCATTACGAGGGCCTATTTACTAATTGCAATAGCGTACAACATTTCCACCAAAAAAAAAACTATTACTATGGATTTTCTGATAAAGCAATAGGATTTCCATCAAAGGTTTACGAATTTTCCATAGAGTGAATTGCCACTCGTTCCAGTTACTGTAGAAAGAGACTCTAGAAATTAACAATCATTAGTTTTTGTGTGCAATTACTCCTTTTGCAGCATAAGGCTTGCGTCACAGACCCCGCCTTAGCCAACCCTTTTCTAATTTTTAGAATTTTTGGGAAGTTTTGTCTCTTACTGTAATATGGTCTATTACACAGCAGCATGAGCCGCTAGCAAATATAAAGCAGTATGAGCTCGAATATAAATAGCCATGGATTTGTATTTCTGACTTGTTTTCTTAAAAGTGCTGAAGTACTTCGGTGGCTTGAATTCTTCCTCCTATATCCTAATATTACCTTCCTGACAGTTTCATTTCTACCTTGTCAGTCATTCTTACAATCATGCTACACTTCTTCGTTTTATCTTAATTTTCAAATCTTCATTTTTCAATCAGCAAACTTACTCATATTGTTCATTCAAACGACCGTATTTTGCAAGGTGAAGTGGCTTCTCTGAAGAGGCAGTGATACTTGAATCAGGTATTTTCTTGTTGTCTGCATCTAATCCAAGTCCTTCATCACATCCTGCAAATAAAACGATGAAAACCTCATCAAAATCTGTCTTTTGGATTGCTGGGTGTGGTTTCAAACAACAATCCCATTCCCCCCCAACAATTTAAGCAATTTATCGCTAACCCTAACCCTAACCCTAATTTATCGCTAACCCCAACCCTAACCCTAACCCTAACCCTAACCTTTATCATAAATTGCTATGGGGAGAAAAGTATCACACGACACTCTCTCAAAATATCAAATTTATTAATTTTCAAACATTTTAGCTTTGGATAGAAACACTTTTTTATCATTGACGATTAATTTTTTTTACATATTTGTACCCTCTCAAAAAGTTCCTTTACGCCACTGTTTTGAAAGGAAACAAGTTTCAAGGTCGTTTATTTTTTTCGCCAATAGCACATTTTGTTACCTGAACCAGAGCGAATCGAAACTTGCTTTTGGTATCTAAAAGCAAACAATTTCAATGTCCCACACTCAATTAGTGCTACTACATAATAGTATGGAAAATTGCGCCAAATACCATTACATTAAGCGCCAACGGCATTTGTTAGGGAAATTCGCTGCTTTTTCATCGGCAGTTTGTTACGAAATTATGATGTCAAACGGGAAAGAACCATCTTGAAATCGATGCCCAAAACCAAGAAACCATTTTAAAAAAATTTTTTCTTCTGCTTTGAATTATACGAAAAAAATAATTAAATCTATAATTTGGTAAGTGGTATTCGTTCAGTTAATAGTCAAGAAGCATCATAAACGGCCTATATTGTCAAATTCTACTGGAAGCAAATATATAGACATCGAAAAGGCCACGCTGCAAGCAAAACCCTAAAATAAGTGTCTGCTTCCAAAATAGGTTCTTTTGCCTCCTATATGACGTAGTTGACAAATGAAAGAAGGTTGTTTTGGTTATGAGACGGGCGTGGGGGTGAAAATTGCAAAAAATCTTGATACATAACAAGAACCTAATTATCACTTTCAACTGTGAATTGGGAATGTCAACAGGAAGATGAAAAAAGAAAAGCCGTCAACTCAAAAATCCAGGTATCCGGAACAAAGTCATGTTGCTCCGGGCAGTGGCATGAGGTCTTCTGCTAATGCATTGAAAGCTAGTAACTAGTTTGTAATGTTCTCTTCTTTGAATATGATATACACGAGCTGTTCTGTTCTGCACAAACTCTTCAATCTAACGAAATCTCCAGAATTTTCTATAAACTTTTCTATAAACTATTTTTCAATTATTTTATAACCTTTAGGTAATTATAACACTCGATCTGGCTAATTCAAAATTATCTAGCTTAGATCGGCTTACCCTTTATGATGTAAAGTGTGTTTACATTGCTTGAGAATTATATCTCTCAAATTTTTAACTTCTGAGCAATACAGTAAATTTTTGACTAGCAGCTCAGTGCAATACGTTTGCTAAAAACCAGCTTGATTGATAACTTTAATGACGAAATTTGACACCCAAACACTTTTATCTACATGCCAGTGTTAACAAAATTCTCGCTGAGACTATCTATATTATAACAGCTTTGATAAAAGTTTTATCAACCAACAATACAGTTACTAACCCCAACAGAGAGTGGCGCAGCGCATAAAATTGTCACGTTTTCAGTAAGATCTTCTGGTTTAGAAAAAAACACCGCCAAATGCATCGAAAATTCTAGTGATATCTGTGTATTGTCTCTTCATCCGAGTTCAGGAAGATTCAATGTCAGTATGACCACATGAAGCAGCCAACTTTATCTCATTGAGTAAACAGAAAGTGATCCACAGCGGAAGCAAGGGGCAAATACAGACATTATTAAATACCGTCGAATCAACATGAAGTGTAGTCATCAAGTACTGGTTTATTTGCCTATCCTAATAATTTGAATACTCTTGAAGAATAAAAGGTTGTTGAGTTATGAAAACAACTTGACTGCTGCCTTAGGCCATGATAAAATTTTCTAATATAAATGACGTCATTGCTTTAAAACGAAATCAAAAGCTTTAATTGGAAAGAATATTCAAGTGCTAAGTGAGTCATGGCCAATGCGGCATAAAGATTCTTAAGATATTACGCACTAACTAAATACTGTACTAATAAAAACAGGTGCAACCCACGAGGTTTTGGCTCCGGCCTAAAGAACAATTTTCTCAATGATCTTCTTGGACGATTGTAGTCTAGTTTTTATATTATATAAGGATATTCTTTTTAAGGAATCTCGGGGTGCTGTTAGAAATTACTTTTTAGCCCTGTTTGATTTTCTATTCCATTTGTTCAGCTCCTTTATTAAATGCTTTCGCAACTTATGTAGTTCCTTCTTCGAAGAAACTCACTTTAATACTTTGTTATATTACCCTGCTTATTTAACCTTTATCTTAAATACTATTTGCTATCTCTTTGGTAATGCAAAACTAAACTGGTCGCGTGCCACAAAGGCCAAAATATAAAAATATTTAGATACAAAACAGGACATATAAGATACGTTCATATTTTGACAACATGAAACATCTTATTTTGCTCGATGATAAATATAGCTTTATAAATCTACGCAATCTGGAAATAAATCTAAAACTATTGATGGACTTTTAAACCTAAAAAGCAGTAAAATTGGTTTTTTCTGCACTTTGTTATTCACCCAGCGCAAGCCTTTCAACACGTCGAAATGTCTCATGACCCTCTCAAATCTGAAAAGCTTTCTGTCTGTGTTTGAGAAATAACATGAAATACTAGCATCAGATTTCTCCTTTCCCTTCGATGAAAAACCGTATGAAATAGCACACTTACATGTTCGTGTTTTAAAAAATAAGTTACCTAACGAAGGGAAGAGAGTGGGAAGCATTTCGAGGCAGCGATTTAAGCGGGAGAAATGGAACAGTGCCAAGGCCTGTCTCTGATTGTGATACCGCTGATTCTATGATAATTGTTTCTTTCTAGACAGTTGTGTTATTAACGATCGCTCGCACATGATTCCGGAAGATCACATAAAAATGTGAGAAAAAGACTGTTTTGGTTCGAGGTCAGCTCTCTCCAGGGAGAACTGATTCTACGGCCTCAAAATCACCTTGAATTTCCATCTTGTTGATAAATGTACCCGTGTGTTGGGACGTAGCCCGAGTTGAATTTGTAGAACATAAGACAAATGAATGGCTTCTGACAATGTTTATGGGATATTCAGTAAATAATAATATAGTAAATCGCGCCTTATACATGAAGTACAGGCATGAGGGATGCCTCTTCAATAATTGTCCTTCCTTGCAACTTAAATTACAATATAATAGCGAGTTAAAGGTAATACATACCAGCAAATGTTCTTTTTGTGATGAACAATAACAGTAGTAATACGATTTTCGTACTAGCCATGTCGATTCATGCCAGTTAATAGACTCTAATAAGCTTCACAGGATTTTCGACTCAGCCGTTGTGTTGATGAGTCCCTACAGAAAAGTTTCTCTAAACAGAAGGCATAAAGCCTATTGTTAACTCAATTACGTGTGAGTGACAGCTCGATTCTCTTTGTTTTTGCCGGTATAAAGGATGATCACCAGGAAAAGTCAACATAAAGCGCCAATACCACAACGTTTTCTCTGTCCTTGCATTCAGTCCTGTTTATTTTAGCTCATACAAAATACAGCGTATCACAGATCATAAACTTCGTGCGAAGCCGACCAGCGTTATCCGCTCGAGGTTGCCTAACAATTATGGCTTCTTTCCCTCCGCGATCAAAGCAGTTTTGGCTGCGTCCAGCCTCAATAATAATCTAGACCCACTGCTGGATTTCACCAACGGAAACTGTATGAATCAGACAGGAAATACCGCGCGACTTGCAGCGACACCCAACTTGATGTGTGAAAAGGAAACGTTGAAAGTCCGTCCTAGAGACAGTTATCCATCAATGTTTCTATGCGTTATATTTACCCCTAAATTCGCCCCAGTTCATTGCCTAAAACATGACAAGTTAATTAGGCAAAATTACACACACTGACTGCAGCTCCCTTTTCTCACTGCAATTCGACACGAATTTTTTCTGAATTTAAAAAATGTGTTTATGTAAATTCTTTGTAATTTGAGTCATAATACGAAGCTGTGACAAGAATTTGAAATTTGATACCCCTTCGAGTCTCACTTGAATTGCGTCACGATTTACGTTTAGGGGACTGGGTCTTAGAGAAAAGTATTGCGTAATGAAACTAAGATAACTTGTAAATAAAAAATGTCTTTCTAAATTATAGTAGTGTTTTCTAGTAGAATACCTTGCTTAACACATGAAAGTTATTGGTATTGTCTGTTGTGATCCAAAATTGATATAAAGTTAAGGACATCTACTTTATGGAAGCCCGAGTAGGAAGTGTTATCTTAGGAAGACGTTCCATTTTTAGCTGCTTACTATTGAAAAATCAGAAGCAGTGCATTTTTTGTTGCAAAATATGGATTTTCCTTCAGTTTCAGATATTCTTATAAAAGCTAGGAAAATTACTAGGATTTTTTACTTTTTTCAATAAAGCAAATTATGTTTTTCATAACTGAAAAGATTTATGTTGTTTTGAAGGATGACGATTTGTCACTAGAAAAGCATCAATAACACAAAAATGCTGAAATAATAAGAATTGTTTGTAATTAATCCGACCATCAGATATCATCGTAAAAAGACCATAAAAGATATAAAAGCCTGATCCTTAATCTGTTCAAGATAAAATAATATCTTGATATGTTTTATAGAATCTGTAGCATCAGGTATTATATTTGCTTTCTAACTTTGAAAACATATCGAAACCATAGTTTAAACCAATCAGATCCTGAAAATGTATTATGCAAATGCAGCTTTATAAACTAAACCAATGACTAAACGAAATCTCTCTTGTTTGAGATGAGCAGCCATCTTTCTCGTTTGAGATGAGCAGCAATCTTTTTCGTTTGAGATGAGCAGCAATCTTTCTCGTTTGAGATGAGCAGCAATCTTTCTCGTTTGAGATGAGCAGCAATCTTTCTCGTTTGAGATGAGCAGCAATCTTTCTCGTTTGAGATGAGCAGCAATCTTTCTCGTTTGAGATGAGCAGCAATCTTTCTCGTTTGAGATGAGCAGCAATCTTTCTCGTTTGAGATGAGCAGCAATCTTTCTCGTTTGAGATGAGCAGCAATCTTTCTCGTTTGAGATGAGCAGCAAATAATTGTCATGTATATTAAAGCTTGATTAGAAACATGTAGGCAATCAAATACAACTTGAAAGGCGGGAACGGAATGCATTTTGTTGGGTAACCCTCTAATCATGAAAAGTTATTACTCACATTGTGCAGGATTTTTTTAAACTGTAAACGTAAGTAACAAAATCAAAAGGTTGTATTGACTTTGGTCATGCCAAGTCGGTCCCAAATCCCTTGAACAGGGGCTCCGACGCAAGTTGAAAAGTAGGGACCCAAAAGAAACGATTTCGCGATAAAGATTTCTTCCCTGATGATGTTTTTAATCATGCTCGAAGAAGATATTTTATGATTTCCCTTTGGTTGGCACCGCAGTGTGTTTAGTATGAGCAATTAAAGTTTACCTATTGTCATAATATATACCTGAAGGCCTAAGTGTTTTGAGCCTTAATAGTTGAATCTCACGAATCCTCTTAGCACCCACTTTGCAGATGGTTAAGAATTAGCATTAGCTCGCGCTATAAGTGTCATAAACTACCTGATTCTGTTAATTTCTATATGTCTGAAAATCGCTGTAATAAAGTGAAAAACCTTTTTCTAACTTGTCGCATATTGATTGGGTGATTTGAAAGGTTTTTAAGCCTCTACACTCTGTGTAAATAAAACCAACAACTTTTAAGAGAGAGATTGTCTCCATGTGCCAAGTGCTAAAGAAATCGCGTGTTTAAAGAAATTTTTCGTTTATATGCGAACCAGCACTTTTTATTTGTCGGGAAAACCGTTCTCTGCTTAAGTTGATGGCGATTCAATACTTTTGAGTTTGATGGATTAAGTACAAACTAATTGGCAAGCGACAAGGTTCCTTTGATTTCCTCTAGAAGGTTTCACAGGAAAGGATGTTTCCTAATACAGTGAATCAGCTTGGCTGCGAAGGAGAACTGTTGCAAAGCCGTGCAGGGAGGGATAAATAGTTTAAGACTAGCCTAGCAGGTTTCTCCCAAAGCAACGATTTTCTTAACTTATTCCTTTCAAAATGTTAGACAGTTTTCAAAATATCTTTTTATAGATTTAATAGATCAATTTCTGTGCACAATTTGGGCTGAGGATATAAAACAAATGATATATGGATTTATATGTTACATGATTTAACTGGTCAAAAGTTAAGAACAAATTAAAAACAAGCTGAGGCTGAGCTTCTGCAAAATGCAATTTTGAACAACGTTTTTTCTCAAAATCGAGGATTTTTGGCGATGTGTGGGTGCTTTTTCGGTGAATATTCGAATTTGTCAGCAAATTAAGGCTGTCTCACTCACTTTCAGGGGCGAAAATACCGGGGGGGGTGTGGGGGGGTGTCACACCCCCCCAATCTAAAAAAATAGTCGATTTCGCAGGGCAATCGAAGATTTCGCAGGGCGCCAAGAAGAGCTTTGTTGCCACGCAGAAATGTCACCTCTGAAGTTCGTAAAGGGCCGTTTAGGAATTTTGAAATGGAAATATCATATTTGTTATGAACCTACCTTCCTGATATTGCATTTTAGAGAACGGAACAGGTATGTAAGGAAAAGCTCCGTTATTTGCAAAGCGAAAGCATGTCTTACCGAAAGTCATAGCCAATGGATGCAATGATTGATGCATATGTTTATGAGGGCAAGGTTGAGTCAATATAAATTAATTTAAGTTGTAAATTATTTTCATAACAGGCACAGCGTCACTGGGGGGATTAGGGGGCTGAAGGCCCTCACTTTGGTCAAGATAAGAATATTTTATCATTTTTTCTATTAATTTTTAACAGTGCATGAAATAAAAAGAGAGTAAACTGTTAAGATGCTGATTTTGTTTCATCTAATTACTAACTTTTTCACGTATATTTTCATTATTTTTATTTTATTTGCATTAATTCAGTAAATCACTTTCTGTATCATTGCAATGTTTAAATTTTGGATGGCCTTCTTGATACAAGAAACTGCACATTTCTGTTCAGGAAATAAAATTCTTTCAATCAAAACAACATCTTCCTCTGTCATTCACAACAATGTGCAGTCTGAAACGAAAGGTTACTGTTTCTTTCTTTCCCCAACGTCTATCACTAGAGTTTTAGCATGACATGCCCCTCCCTATTTTTCCCAATAAACAATAATCAGTTTTTTAACCCACAATAGTATTTTGCTAAATTTTAGTCTGAAAGATGCTTTTTAGCCCTATTTTAAGGTATAATTTCAAAAATTTTCTTCACGTCGGACCCAACCATGGTGGGTCCTCCTATATCACTAAACTTGATTCTTAGTCCCCCCCGGGCTCAATCTCGTTGCTCCGCCCATATAATGCATCAAAAAATCATATGCCACGAGACAGAAGCTTTATTATCAAGGAAAACCAAATTTGACATATAATTTACGCTCACATAGAGAAATAGATATTTCATAGGTAATGAAGTTTCAAGTTTGTTTTCATTGCTTGGAAGTTTTTCCTTGGTAAAGACCAGTGTACACTGGTGAAGTTCTCACTAGTAGCCTATAGAGTATAGACAAACCTTTGCTACGAGGTCTGCAGGGCATCACTCAGTTTTGCAGGGCAGAAACCCATTTCACCCCCCCAAACCTACTGGCCAAGTTACGCCCCTGCTCACTTTGATGGCAAATGAGGCCTGAACACCTCCTTAGAGTGAAAAAGCTAGCAATTGCACTGCTTAGACCCTATTAGATTAAGAACAAATTAAGAATAATCCAGCCTCAGATTTTCGAAAAAATTAAGAACAGTCAGCCTGAACTTAAATTTACTGGTTCTTATAAAAAAGAGTGTAAATGACAGCGAATGACTCGACATTGTCCTTTTGAGCCCGAATAAGGAATCTCTGCCTAAGTATTGCTATTTGTGAGGAGGGTTTTTGCCACATTTTAATTAAATTTCATAACGGCGAATTTCTAGGCACATGGGTAAAAGATCTTGAAAACAAAATCAAATCTAAATCAAAGCTTCATTAAGGAAAATTTCGAGGATAAAGAATTTCATTACAAACCAAAGATGAAAGCAACTTGTCTTGGGATCCATACGGGGGGTCATCCGCCTCTGTTGCCGTTTGATAGAAGGAGCAAGGGGGCCAAAGTGTCCTTTTCATTAGAGTGCTCTTAAAACCGGCTTTTTGTTATTATCAAAGAGGTTCATATTAATTTCTGACTGCAGTGCCTAATTCATGATGACATTTCTCAAAACTTAAAAGCTAGGAATGACCTTTCAAATGCCCTTTTATTTAAGCCTGCCCCCTTGTTCCTTGGTCGCTCCGGCGTCTCTGACACTACCACAAGTACTGAAAATTCCGACTCCCTTCAGATATTCAAAAAACTTATTATCCATAGATGCCGTATTCGCAACTGCAAAGACTAGGTTGGGTTCAATATTATGAATTCTATTTTCTAACTATATATTTCTAATGATAGATTTTATTGATTTTCATTAACAGTTGGCCTTAATTAGGAACAATAGGTATGAATTAATTGTAATTATTTACAAAAAATAATTAATGATAAAATGTTTATTATTTTAAGGGGACAGATTGCAGACAGGTCGGTTGCCCACTGCAAGCACCACGATTTTCAGATCATTTTGCATAACAAGTAATATGGGCTTCTGTATTGGGTTCCTCTTTCTCCTGTTAAACTTGCAACAATATCAAGGTCGACCTATCACATGTTGTTATGATTTTGCCCCTATAAGGAATTTTGTTTATCTACGTCACGCAAAGGGATTTCTGTTAAAATATTGGTCTTCCACCTCTGAAGCGAGGCTGGCGCTTCACCACAATCTGTAAATCATGTTGAGATGCTTAACCCAAAACTGTAGGCGCACACTTGAAAAGTGAAAAGACACACTATGCTAGCTATTTTTACTGCGGACTATAGTTATATACTGCCTGTGGTTTAGAACCAAAGCCATCATAATTTGCTGCTATGTAATTTTGCCCTCAAAATATTGCAGATAAAAGTTTGCTCTTATAACATTGTAAATTACATCGCATAAGCAAAATGTGTCCTTTCGACATGCAACGAAAAGGAGTATGAGGGTTAGACACTAGGATTAACACTTCTGTATACCATCACTGCAAATGCATTGCGTTCATAATCAGCTACAACGGCTCAGAAGTTAGACCAGCATATACAAAGGCAGATACCTCTAAATTTGCAAGATCAATTGAATCTGTTGTAAATCCACTAAGATGTTGCCACGTAGGCATGGGCTCTTTCTCCGTCAAACCACCGTAAATTGGCTTTAAAATGTATGAACCAGAGGCAAAACAACAATGATCCATTAGCAAAACTAGTGTCTTTTACTGACCATGATTCACCTTTCAGTTTTGAACAAATACAACTGATTTTACATATTCAGAGGTATTTTGTGGTGTTCTTTCAGGTTATGAGGTCAGAATTCTAAAACTCTAAACATAGACTTTTTTGATAACCATTCAATCACTCTGCCATTCTATGCCTGACCTGTAAGTTGCTTCCCTGGGTACTAGAGTCTCAAGAGAGTATGTAAAAGTAAGTAAAAACAGAAAAAGGAAATTGTGAATCTTCTCCATTAAGATGCCTACTTTCCAACGATGGAGAAGTTATTCCTGGAAATTTTAATGTTCATTTTCTTTCTGTGAAAATCAAGTACATCTTTTGAAAGAGTGAACAGTCCCTCCCTTGCAAAAAAACCAAAGGTTAAACCTACCCAATGAATGCGATGTCTTAAGTAAATGACTTGGCACTGAACAAGGAAGTTATCCACCATTATTTTTGGCAACTGGACACATGTATAAACGACTAAACAGCTATTGTATTCTTACTGAAGGACCCTTCTGAAATTTCTTGGAACAATAATAAAAAATAGAGGCCGCTCTTCAAACATTTTCTAGAATTAAAAATACCCTTGAAAAGCCAAGTGGCAGGTTGACCTAGCAGAAATACCTTCTATCTTAGAGCAAGCATCTGATTAACAACACACCCACTACTGGAATTGACACATTGTAAATTTTTTGATATATGATAAAATAACATTTAAAAGTAAGAAGAGCAACAGCAATAGTAATAAATTCATCGCTTGGCTTAATGCTACAGAACATACTGTTGACGGAATGGATTGGGTTTGACCCAGTCCTCTTTACCTCGAATACCTAATCGTGTCTAGGATTAGCACAAAAATCTTGAAAATGCTAACGAAAGAGAGTACGGTCTAAGTTATCTGTGGGTAGAAGGCCCTTTGATAATATATGACCTGATATTTTCTATAACAATACAAACGATTTAGTCACTGATGCAAGTTCAGTGCTTGCCAAAATAGTGAGGTAATATGCAGGTCGAGCTTGATGATGCCATGTTATTCCCATTTGTTTAACACACTTATTATGAGAACCAGTAAATTTGAAGTCCTGGCTGGCCGTCTATTAATTTTTCTAAATCTTTGTGGCTAGACTTTTCTAAATTTGTTCTTAAAGTATTGTTTTGCCTGCTCAGAGAGGATGCAAAGAATACACTTCTTTTCGAACTGAGCACAATAACAATCGATAATAAACTCCTACAAGCATGGACCTCAAATTGTTATGAGTCTTGGCTCTACTGTATTTATTTTCAATACTACAATTGATATGGTTTATGTGAACAAAATTTAGAGACGAGGCAATACTTTTCTTCTTAACATTCACTGAAACATTTATGTCGAAACATTTGGGACGATCAAACTTTTGGACAAAACTTTAGTTATCAGAAATCTTGTTTTGTCCGAAATTTGTTTCAATCCAAAGTTTTATACTTTAAGAAAAAACACAAATTAATGTGTAAGCTTGCCATAGAAAATTGAGATTTGAACAAGTACAGGAACTTCTGTCTGATCCCTCGCACTAAAGTTCTTAAAAAGCGTTTATTCATAACAGCTGCGTTTAAATGTCGTTGCCTCAGATGCTATGAATTTCTGTTTTTAAGTTTTGTCATGCTCTGAATTTCCCCAAAATCTTTCCACAGTTTTTTTTGTCGCTATTAGTTTTCTCCTTTTGTTTACGTTGCCCATTATTGATTAACGTATAATTATATTTGGTTCTAGCGAATAATTTTGTATCCTCCAAAAACTATTCATTGCAAGTTTTTGTTGAGTGTTCGAAAGTTTCTCTCCGAGGTAATTTTTCTGACCTGAACCTGGAATAGTTCTGAAATTATTCTTAAGCAATACAGAGGGGGTAAAATTTTTAAGAATCGAGACGAAAGTTGCAATCTTTGCTATTTTCATGGAATCTAGGGTGAATTTTTAAGGCAGTAGAAATTAATTAAAAATAAATGAAAATTCACGAAACAATGGAATTCCACTCCAAACGCTTTTGTTTTATCAGCCAACTGCCAACTGCCAATATTTAAAGGGTATATTTGTTTTATATGTCCTTTAAAAAAATTCAGAACAAGAAAAATTAGAGCAAGCTCAAGAATTTTGCATGAATATCACAACTGTTTTGCTTGCTCAAAAACAGACTGTCGGTGGCATTTCTTGATAATACCATTCAAATATTCACAGAATTTCAACTTTTCTGGAGTACCATTTGGACCTCTCATTGCCAGTGGAATTATGGAGGAGTGGCTGGAACCATTGGCAGGGAAGGCTGGGCCAATCATTTTCAAATTGTTTCCTCTCCAATTCTTTTTAGCCCCCATATCCGTAATATTCTTTGCGGTCTTTCTTCATAGGCCGTTTCTAGAGCCGTTGAATGGAAAATTTGAAAGAGCATAAATTTCCTTTTGTTTTCGCACAAACCCCCACAGGATATCATTACTGTCTGTTATTGTTATAAGGGCGTCCCACATTGGGTATAGTTCTTTTCAAATTCAAAAAAAGAGGCTGACTTCACTGCATTGGCCAATCAGGTTCAAGTGATCGCTGTTTCAAAATATGGCGGTGGTTTCTATGGAATGCCAAACACGCTGCAACGGTGCAATAAAACTCGAAGCTTGAAGTTATTGGTGATAGTTATGTATACCATTTAAGCTTAGATTCACTTTTGCAAAATAAAGAAATGGCACAAGCAAATACTTTGAGGCCCATGAAGACGAGTTCTCCAGCCCAAGGAAATTCTCCGTTCCAGGCGACCAAATTGGTATGTCCAGAATGGCTTAGGCCCAATTCATGTCATGTTTTTCTCGTTCAGTATAATATTAAGAAAAACGGTATTGTAGGGATAACCAACAAGATGTATATTATAAAGCACAAAAGCTGTAGTGACAAACCGGATGTAAAACCTCCAAAGTGAGGTACAAAACGCTCAGGAAATTGAAAACATGTGTTAATTTTCTGCAACAGGAAATTATGAGGAAGCAGATTGGCTTTGAAAGCATCACACCAGTTTTCTACTTTTAGCAATTACCTGGGCGCGTGTGTGCTTTTTAGGAAACAAACATGTCTTATGATGTCTGTTTTGAATTAAAAAAAAATCATTTTTTGCATGTTGACAAATTAGCCCTTTAAAAATCATCAGTTACAGATTAAGGGTAAAATGTTTTTGATTATTCATGGAAATTACTCCACCTTCCTTCTTAAGCCATGAAACAAAGTCTTTTTGTCCCGCAAGCATAGAATGGTGATAAAAACTGTACAAATCAATTGCTGGATTTATGCTATTTTATGCTATTAATCCTTATCGATCTTTATGCTATTAATCGATCCTTTTCAGTGGAATAAAATGATCAGGAATTTCAAAGAAGGCATAGAGGTTAAAAAACGAAGATGGAAAATGAGAACATACGAGAATACTTTTTGTGGACAGGATGCTGTAAACTGGTTTCTGCTATATCTTCGAAGTAACCAAAAGTTTGGAAGCCATGTTACCAGACCTCAGGCAAAAATGCTACTGCAAAAATTTTTAGAAAACGGTATATTTGAAGATGCTAGGGGAAAAGAGAAGCTTTCTTTTGAAGATGATAATCACTTGTATCGATTCACACAAAGGGCTGATTCAATCTGCAAAAATAAGACTGAAATTGCAACTCAGACCTCAGTTACAAACTTACTTCGTTCTGTTAGTGTGAGAAGAAAACACACCAGTGCAGTTTTTGAGTCAAATGCAAAGGATGTTGTCATTCGGGGAAACCCTGTTGCTAGGTCACAGAGTATGAGGTGTGCTTTATTGTCTCCCAGAACAAGTGTAATGCCACCACCAGAGGCAGCAAGAGTCACTCCAGTTGCAAAGGACCTTGCCTCTTTTAACATCAACTCTGCAGAGAAACCTGGAGGTGGAAAATCTTTTGCCTCTACTGGCTGTGAAACTGGTTTGCCAAGTAAAGATTCAAAAACCATATCTGGAATCGCTCAGCCAAATTTTGATCTATCTGATGAAGAGAACTATAATTCTATTCTACAAGATGCTGGGATTGACAACAGGGCTTTTGTTGTAACAGAAATGTCACCGATTGGTTCCAACTTCCAAAGAACCAGGTCTCTGAGAGATCCCAGAAGCATGAAGTATAGACACAAATTCATTGTTAATTGTGAGGAGGAAGATTTGCCAAATGAGCCAAGCTTTGTTCTAAATAAATCAATTCGCAGAACAAAATTGAAAAGAGCAAAATCTGGAAGATTGGTTACAGGCATCAGTTACGCAAAAACAGGTAGATTGGACAGTCCATCCAAGAAGGCTAAAATGGACCACAATCTGCATGATGCATCCAGAGTACAAGAGTCAGTCACAAATAACAAAGAGAATTTTGTCCATGACGATGAGCCTCTTCCAAATTTTCAACGAAAGAAATCTTTAAGGCCATCAACAAGAAGTGATACAACATTGGCAAAGCTGGAGAAGAAGACCTCACTGCACACCAAATCATTTTACAATGCAATCGAGGAAATTGATTCTCTATGGAAAAGTGAGACAATTGATGGGTAGGCATTGTGGTATTTACTTCTGTCTTGATGTGATTTATATTGCAGAAGTCTGTCTTGACTTTTATTATGTCATTCAAATTTGCATCATCAAGTGTAAAAACATACATATAATTCATATCCCTGTTAAACATTAAGGCATTCAGGGATGTCAAAAGTATTCAAATTCAAAAGAGCCTAGGGGGATGTGGCAGTATGTAGCAGCAAAGGGTCTTTGTCCAAAATCTCTTCAAAGCAACTGGAAAATTTTCATAAGGCACCCACATTATCTCCTGTTCTCCATTTTTTTTTCAGAATGTGCTTAAAATTCTTCCCTTTGCCATCATTTTATAGCATTAAGAAGTAAATCGCATAGTAAGGTGGTGATGGAATAAGATTTTATATCAGCTTTCATGTGATATATATTTATAAGAAGGTTGTAAGGTTTTTCTTGCCATACCTAGAACTCCTGATCATTCTATCTGTCAGTTCAATGGCCATGGTAATAAAAGTACTGATTTCTTTTTCTAGATTAATTTTATAATCAAAAGGATATTATATATTTGTTATAATCCATAGTTTCTGTATGAAAATCCTTTTTATCGTAGTTGTGATTTGGATTTTGAAGTCTAATTTTCAGGTATTTAGATATCGTAAATGTGATGTAATGTTTCCCTCTGTAGGCTCAAAAAAACCCTTGATACAGAACGTTTGGATGACTTTGTAAATATCTCACTAATATCAGATCATGATACAAAAACAAACATTCATCTGGAGTTAAAAAGTGGTATGTATTGTTTTGGATAATTTTATGTATACTTTTTCGTGATGGCCTTTTTGAATTAGTTTGTAAGGAAGATTCACCATATTATCTCTATTTTAATGTATTTTTTTGTTTCCTACACTAAGCTCTCTGCTAGATCTAACTTTAAAGTCAATTTTACTTCCTGTATTCTCAACTGTTTTTTAAAGAAAAATCATTGATAAAGTTGACTACTTTTTACAGAAGTGTCCATCATGGTGGGAGGCATGGGAGAAACACCCCCTTTTGAATATAGGCTGCTGTCCAATCACTGTTGTCATAAACAAATCTAGCATATCTCAACTCCACTGAAAATCTAGTTTTAAGGCCATATCTATAGAACACATGGCAAGCCCATCTTGTTTGGCAAATATCTTCCAGTCGTGGAAGCCTTCATTTTAAAACATTTATAAGTTGCTTAGTAAGTTTCTTTTGATCATTTTAGCTGAAATACCAGAGTGGACCCTTTCAGCCATGAAATTCCTTGTTGAATGTGAGTATGTTTTGTATAACTATCAGGACCGCACTTTGCTTAAATGACTAAGTACTGACTACAATCACTGCCAAAAGTCTTGGAACACTAACGTAGGTTTTCAAAGGCAAGTACAGCCATCCCCCTCTCCCCCTAGGAACAATGTTGATTTACTATAGAAAAATAAAAAAGGGGTTATGGAGTACGCTTTTTCTTGTGGATTGTTTGATACTTTTCTTTACTTTCAACATTGTTTTGGGGGGAAAGGGGGCGGAAGTGGTTGTATTCAAGAAAACAAACGAAAAATAGAAAAGCACAGCGCAAAGTGTTAGGTGTTCTAAGTAATTTTGGCAGTGATTGTAGAATGTTTCTGTAAAACAAAAAAGAAGAAAATATGGCATTCTCTAAATGTATTATTTTCTTAATAAAAACGGAGGGAAAAGGTGGTTGGACGCGTTTATAGATAAAGAGTTTACAATATCTTTGAAGAATGACAGTTATAACTTTTCTTGACTCGCATGAATGAAAAACTTTGAAAACCAAAGTAGAGCAGCCATAGAGTAGAATGAGTTCACTTATAACAACTTATCTTACGGGAACCTAAAGGGGGCTTGGCCTACCCGCCCATTGACGTGTTCCACGTTCTTTGAATCCTCATGCGTCATCATTTTATCAATAGGTGCAGATGATGTGGACGGTTCCAGTCCTAATTTGAGAAAAATCCTCGAACTTTATTTTTGCTTTCCGTTTTGTTTGAATTTTCATTTTGTAATTTGAAACCTTTTTAGGGCCAAGAAGCAAAAGCATTGAGGAGGGCGATCTTCCGTCCTACCAAGGGTTTGAAAACGATGTTTTTCGCGCCGTTCAGGATCACTATGAGTGTAGCCTCAAAGAACCATTGATGACATACAATATGTTCAAAGTACTCGATCTTATGTCAGGTTTGTCAAAGTTCAGTTTTCTTAGAGCTTCACTAATAATTCAAGAAATGCTCAAATTAACTCAAAACCACATTTGAAATCAGTGCTAAAAAAGAATTCTTCGTTATTAGGCTCAGGGCCTCTCTTCGATTAGGCTCTTGCATCTTCTGTACCTTTTTAATTTACAAATGACGTGATTGATTTTCTGCATTTCAGATACGATTGCAAAAGACTTTCAAAGAGCGATTCGTCTATTTCAATACATTTGCCTTCTTATTCCAACTTGGAATCGAAAGCAAATCTTTCTCATCCTTCGATTTATGGATAAGGTTTCCAACAACCTATCACTGAAGCTGAGTCAGGATCTACCTAATAAGGAACTGGTATGTACCATTTTTGTAAAGTAGAAACTCGCATAAAAGAACCTAGGTTTTTTTCTGGCAGCCTGAATACGAGGGGCAATTCACTCTTGCAAACAGCGTACGAGATTTTACCCAAAACAAAATGATTTCTAGGGATTTTCAGGTAAAACAATAGGATTTTCGCAAAAAGTGTACGAGATTTTCTTGGAGTGATTTGCCCTTCGCCTGAATAGGTTCTTGATTAACTGGCTGCTCTTTTAAATTCCAGTCTAAAAGGTTCTTAACAAGGTTCTTATATACGTACAGGCGTATACGCAATGTTTTCCACCGCAAGAATTCTAACAGACCCACTTAAACCAGCTTTGTTTTTCATGTTAAATTTCAAGCCAATCAAATGCATTTGTGTTGTTAGATTGTCCAATTAGAATGCAACATACCATGCCTCTAGGCTGGTTTAATTTGCCAGTGTGAATAGGGTGTAAAAATACCATTCTAAGAACCTTTTTTCTTACATATATATATATATATAAGAACCTTCCAAATTTCAGTCTCTTGGGGGTTCTTAAAATTTATTAAATTTCAGCCCCAAGGTTCTTTAAAAACAGGTTTTTTTATGCGGGTTTCTACTGCACTGTTTTTACGCAGATTATTATGCCGACTGCCAGATTTATTTTTTCTTTAATAAAATGAATTCTGAAGTCTTTTAATTGGTAAGCTCTGATGCTAATTACCATGAAACAGTGGTTAAATTCATTTTTGTATTCTTTAAGAAGACAACTATAAACATGACTTGGTAAGGTAATTTGCAAATAGCTGTAAATGTTCAAGAAATATTTGAAGGACTAAACTTGTAATCTTAAAATAAGAACACAATGAAAGCATAAGAAACGGTAACAAATCTTATTTTATAGAGATAAAAATTGGAATATTCCCATCTCCCATGTTTTGTTTGGGCCTGCAACCAATGTAGTAGCTGGATCTAAATTTTATTTAGGGTTGTTTTTAGATGGCAAACTACAACTAGCTCGGGTGATTTTACAAATAAACTATTCTGAAAAGCCATTGATGAAATATTTACAAAGCCTTCAATTCCACGGTCAATGATCAGATATATTTTTAAAATGTATAAAGTCATCTGTCCCGTTTGTTGAATTTTTTTGCCACGTTTTGCCACAACAAGTTTTGCCACATTCAAAGACAAGTTTTGCCACAGCTTCTTAACAATGTATTTGACTGTCCACAGTATACGGATTTACCTGTGACGTTCTTGCATCATTGCCTCGACGTGAATAAAATACTGCATTCTTTATGCACACGTTAGAGTCTACTTGCTGACATAATCGTACTCAAAGTTTCTTGATATTAGTACAGCTGTAATGGGGTTATCTTGTAATTAAACTAGCCATAAACCAGCGATTAACTAAGTAAGGGCTGTTTGATTTCCAGTCAACACTGTTGCACGGTTATAGTTACTCAAAATGTCGCAGAAAGTAGTTTCAAGGCAATCGACAGATACCAAAGTAGCTTAGAGAATGTGTCAATCAACTATTGCCCAATCAGTTGTGTGATACCACTCAGATTCTTATTGATTGGTCAATTGTTGACTGACATATGACTTAGGCCACTTGTGTTTTTTGATTGCCTTTAACAATTACAAAAGTGGAAAATCACAACCCAGTATGTTTAATATAAAGTATATAAAGTGTGGAAACCAGGCAACGTGTTTTTTAGAAAGGTTATATGAAGGGCGGATGCCTTAGGCAACGACTATTCCTAATTCTCCTGTTTTGCAAATTCAACATCTTACAATGCGAAAGTTATGACAAGAAGATCCAAATTTTTGTCTGTATTAAGAATTATATTTATTTGTCAGCTGTTTGCTGGAGCCCCATTTATTCGAACTATGTCTCTATTGACCTAAATATTTCGAATGAAATTATTTCGACGCAGTTTACAACAACAATTTCCCTTGCCCATAATTTCGGGTGGTGTTTTTTTAATAGAGAGTGTTTCGTATTTCTTGTGATTTTTACACCGTGTGATTTTGTTTTATATTTCTTTGCTAAAAAAGAATTTAAACTTTGCCGCCAAAATATTTCTCCCTTAGTCTGAAAACTGGAAAGCATTTCTTGAGACCCAAAAACACATTATAAAGTTGCTCTGAGTGAAACATATGCAAGACTTTTATAAAAAAGTATGACTTTTAGCAATATAGACACGAGACATTACTCCCTTAAATTATCGCCATGAGTAGGTCAAGTTTTTCTGCAAACGTAGTATATTGAAATAAGACTCAAAAATCGACGTTCGAAACAGGTACTGCTTAAGACTAAAGTAAGAAAATTAAAATTCAATCGAATTTTCTGATCTAGAGAAAGATATTTGCGCGCTAATAAACTCACAAAATCAACCACGAGTCTTGCAAGCTAAGCATATTGCCAGTGATTGACTTTCTATTTGTGCCAATTATATCAAGTCTTGAAAGGTCGTTTGAAATTTGAAAAGCCGTGCATTATATGGAATTTCTTTATAAACCCACATAATCGAATGCCAGGCAATTTAACAAGTAAAGTTGCCAAAGAAAATATATCTCTGTGATAAAAATATGCTCTTCTCTCAAGCAATGGATGTCTGAAAGAAACTGCTGCTTTTTGTGATCCAATGAAAACTGATGATTAATCTGTCTAGTTTTTTGCAAAATTTTATTGCTTGAAATTGTCATGAAAAATATAGCATCGTTGAAACTCCATTAATGGACATTTCTCTATAACGCACTTCTGCAAGCAACATTTTCCCAATAAAAAATTACTTCTAAGGCAATCGACAGATTTTGTGTAGCTTCACGCTCACTGATTGGTCAATTGCTGATTGACAAATAGGCATTGACTTTAGTAATTTGTCAATTGCCTTTTAATTCCCTCGTTTTGGTTAAGGACGGATAACGGGCTCCCCCTATAGCAGAGAGTAGCACAGTTCTACAAATACTCACCATATTGATGTTTGACCGTGAATCCCGTCCATCTTTTTCCTCAAAGCTTTCATTTGTCCTTTGCTTTAAATGCTTTTAGTTCTTTTTTTGCGGCTTAGTATTGCCTCTGATGCCTTCTTTAATCTAATATAGGTGGTCAGGTCCTTCCACCGAACTGTCATTAGAAACAAAGAGATGAACTATCCTGAAAAAGACACTATGACTTCTATTAGAGCTGTTACATTCATGATGGAGAATCACAAGCAAATTTTGTCGGTAAGGTAGCTGCGCTTTGTACAGCTTTCATAGCCTTATAATCGTATATTTAAAAGAGATATTAGTATGTTCAAAGGGTCCTGATTTGGCATTCACCTGTTAAATTACATTGGTTACATTGGGTTGGGTAGGGATTGTCAAAGTGTTTATAATATATTAATTGGAGGTATCAGTAGGCACCTGTTACATAACGCAAGAGGGTAAGCAATATTTATGTGCGTTGTTTGTCGTGTTTATGTCGAGTTTACTTGCTCGAGATCAATTCTACCTGCATTTATCTCGTTGATACCTTAACTAAAATGGTATCCTTAACTAGACAGTTTGTTGCGGGAAAGGGGGTAGGGCGTTGGCAAACCTTTTATGAATCGGTTTTCTATTAAAGTAAGCTGAGACAAAGACATAACGAAAGGTCCATTCAATGAGCTGGTCAAAATAGGTTACTGTCACATTTTAGTCTGAAAAATGCGAGAAATGATAGAATTACAAATGATTGGCTTATTGCTATCTTGACGTCAATGTTTCCTTAACAGATACCAGAAGAACTGCAGAAAATGAAAGAGACTTTCAAAATCAAGGAAAAAGATTTAGTAAGTATTGTTGTCAATTCTTCTAACATTTGTTTATTTTTTTTTGAATCACTGTATGTAGATGTAGTTGTAAAATCTAGGGACAGTTAAATACGATCCATAGATTCTTGCAATAAAAAGAGTTAGATGCAATCCACCAACCTTTTCTAGATTTTGAAAATTATGGTCTGCTTTCATTCTTTGCTTTCACTTTTTAGATGAAAGAGTTAAATCTATGTTTATTTCTTTGGCAAGACTAACTTTTCTGAATTCATTCAAATGCTTGTTTGTTACCCTTCATAACAACATTTGAGTAAAAACATCAACGAATTAGTTTGTCAATATATAACAAATACATAAATCAGTTGATGGATGAATAAATGAAAGGTAAGAGCTCAAAATATTAGATTTCGCATGATAAGCTTTTCAATTTAGCTTATAATACATTTTTCTTTTAATTTATGAAGATTTAATTATCTGCGACTACCCAGCAGCAAAGAAGCACTCTCGAAAAAGATCGATCTGCTTTTTGTTATTCATCCATGCTTCTGCCCATTGCTTAATAGGTTTTTAAAAGAAACTGTTTTTCGCAAAGAAGTAATTGTTTGTGACACGCAACACACATTTTGTGCGTTCTATCAATGAGATCGTATCTTTGTTTCAATGAATTATGGAGAATGAAGAGAGAAAAAATTGTTGCTTTCTAAATGACCTAGTTAGTTAATGACCCTGAACTCACTTCTCCATAAGTATGTCTAAGCTGGGAAATAAAGTAGAACCTGCCACTTCAACAGCGAAACCTGTTTACATTTAAAAACAACTGAAGGTCATTTGCGAGTTTTTATAGCATATCTCATCTCCACCTCCACTAGTCCCATATGCTTAAAGGGGCGATCGCTCTCATCAATTAACACAGTCAAGCTCAGCTCGATTTGCAACCTGCCAATTTCTCATACTGCCAAATGCCGCTGAAACTCTTTCCTGAAACAAACTGATGTTCCCCGTGACTTGTGATACACAGCATTTTAGATGTGCCTCGATCGTGCATAAATAACTTTGATGAAGTCAGATGTGAAGTGACGTCAAATTGGGCATTTTGAGCTAGTCAATAAATTTGATGTTAAATCATATATTGACTCAGTTGATCGTTGATCGTATCTAGAGGTTGTTTTGGGTGAATTATATTGCTGGTCGCTGCTATTCTGAATTTGCTTACCTATAAACGATAATGGGGACATCGACAAGTTCATTTGAAAGACCTCTGTCTGGCAGCAGTGGAAACGATGTTGATGAAATACATGTGACAAGGGAATTTGTGCCGCGGCAACAGCTAATGCCCGCATCGAAACCAAAAATGAATTACTACAAATGTGACAGTGACGGCTCCTTGAGGAGCAACCAATTGCCAGGCCAAGTTCCATCGAATGATTCAATTTCCTATGGTTCATCTCTTTCTGACGACATGTCATACGGAGAAAGCATTCATTTAAGTGACTATGCTCTTAAAAATCAGACCGAGGATGAAGAACTATCAAAGTTAAGCAGCGAGCCAAACTTGCCCGGCCGTAATTCAAATACTGATGTCGCGCGATCGTCTGACTCAGTGCCTAGCATGAACAGAGATACGAAACGCTTCCCCGCTTTAAAAGTCTGCGAACGTCCAAAAAGGGTCAAATCAGCAATGTTTGAGTCGCTTTTAGTCGCCGTGCCGTCGTTGAAACGACTGAATTCAATAGGGAAAGAAAACAACCATAAGGGTTCAAGAAGACAATCGTCATCAAGAAAGGGAAATTCATGTAATCAAAAAGAGGAAACAGAAGAATTGGAGAACAGCTCTTCTACCTCATGGCCTGCTTCACGTGAAAAGGCGTTAGAAATTTGGGAGAAGAAAGGATCAAATGATTCGTTTTCCACAAGTCTATTTTCGAAGGATTTGGCTGCTTTTGACAGACAAAGAGTGCTGTCAAGGGTCGATGAAGTACTTGAAGATGTATGAACCAAATGTTTCACCCCTTTTCTTTATGCAGTCTTATTGGAATAACGTCGTTGTAATGAAAACCTTTGTAATGTTTGGATTGATAAGAGTGTTTTTTTATGTTAGTAAATCGTGTTAGTTATCAGGAAAATCTTTTGTTCATGTGTCCAAATTGACTGTTTCCTCTCGAAGGTGCCGTGGAGAGGGCTCTGGGGGGCTTGGCTGGGTCATAACAAGTGAGCTCATGTTTGGTTGGACGATTTCTTTTGGGCAACCATTTATAATGCTTTTCTTTGAATGACAAATTTCCTATAGCCTTTTTGAGTCAGTGAATTGTTTGGATGGTTTCTAATAAACATCAGAGAACATTTATAAAAGATGCAAGTATATTTGGTGTGATCATGGGAGTGGTCACGGTTATGGCTTCTGTAAGTTGCTACAGTACAGCTCTATCACATCTTTGACCCATATTCTGTTTAAGAGACGTATGCATGGCTCTGCGGGGCGCAAAAGCAGGGGGTCTTGGGAGAATCGATGGGAATGTTCCATACTAACCATGCATTTTAATCCATAACACAAATACAAATGCGTAATATTGACTTTTTTGGTATCATATAAGTCACACTCTAATTCATTACGTTTTGTGTCAGTATCGCACGACAAAAAGTCTTCATTCTCCATCCAAAAACTTGTTACCCAAGTTCTACATGACCTGCCAAAATTGTAACATTATGAACTTGAGCGTGAACTACGTAACATCGCTCATGTTTAGCAGAATATCATTTTGATTTTGTAAACCTTGAATACGAATCTATGCATACTAACCTTGAACCCAACCAGTTGTACTTGTAGATGTAAACCAGGTTCTTGAAGAAATACACACTAAGGTTGCCTACCGATTCATTGCTGCATTTCATAAAAGAATACTATGTGTATTCATAATACGGCAAATTATGTCTATCTTTCCTTTTTTTAACTCTCTGTCGACGTATAGACACGCTGCTTTATTTGCTTTATTTGCTAGCAGAACTGTTCACTTCAGAATATCAAGACAACAGACAAAATTAAGAATATCAAGATCTTGCAGATTAATTTCCTTTAGACTGCTTTAGATATTCTTACAACATTTTTGAGCTGACATTGCTAAATTATTAATTTTTCGTAACTATCGTAAGGGAATATGCGATGAAATGCTTGACAAAATATCATTGGTCATGCAACATTGTTTTTATCCTAATGACGATCAGCATCTACGACGCTACGACTAAATCAAACAGTTATTAGAGTGAGAATATCCTGATTTTTGAAGAGAATCACATCAGAAATGGATAGCCAGATACTATTCTCCGAATCATTTCTGATTGTTTGTACCCCCGACGCAGTCCCTATCTAATTTTGTTCATTGCGATTATTTTTAGTAGAGTTCAAATACTAGCACACAAAGAGAAGCTAGAGTTTTTAGCTGTGTCTTCAGTTATTGATGGTAGTTCTTTCCAACTGTGTTGAAACTTGGCTCATCTCACTGGAACCATCCTCTAGATCCACCTCACAATCATTCATACATTGACAAGGAGTGCCCTCGGGGCAAATTCCAAACAAACAAACATCTTTGCTGCCGACTGCAAGGGTCTGGCCCTCCTTGGGCTCAGATTCATCGCACTCATCATAATCCTCGTCTGCTCCCTTCAACTGCCCCATTGGTGCGTTCATCAATGCTTCCATTTCTTTGTTCATCAGTTGTACGATATCTTCATTCACATCGCGCCCTTCTTCGTTCTCCAGCTCGCAATATCGCTCTGCTTCGCTGTAGTCAGATTCTGTGGTCGTCTCAGTACCCACAGTTTCGCTTGTTACGCTCCCCTGGGCTTCGGACTCGTAAACTGCCACCTTCGAACCACTGCTCGTAACTACCTTTTTTGTGCTTTTGTATGTTCTCTGGCAGCTCGCTGTTTTCGTAACAGACGTTGCGGCGGGGCTGTTTGTAAAGAAAGACTTCAACATGGCAGACTTGACGCTCTCACGTCTATTTAAATCCATAGTTGTCAGAATCGCTAAATGTTTAATACCGAATCGATACTGCTTTGTTCGTGTTTTGTTTTCTAGTATCAGTTCCAATCTCAACGTGCCCGAAACCGCAGCTTTCTAGCTGGTCTTTAGACAAGGCAACGTTGATGCAGCTCTTCCCTGTCTTCTCTAGGGCGATAGTAGTTCCTCAAACCTGTACAAAATCAGTTGTACGTCAATGCAATTGCCTTCAAAAAGAACGCTGATTGAGCTCAACTGTCAGTGTATCTAGAGCTCTATTTACGACCTAGACTTGAATTCGATTTCACCTGCATATGTAAATCAACTGGAACAATGTCTTCTCCATATAAATCCACTCTGCTTATTGCAGCTCTCTGTATTTTAGCGTAACGATCACCATTTGCATACCAGGGGGTAGAGATGTTTGCAGGGGAGAAGCACTTCTGCAGGACTCTCTTAAGCACTGTTATCCTTGATTCTATTTGCAAATGGTCAGTTGATCCTCCTAGTAGCGATTTAATAGTAGTTTTTGTTTCTTTCTTGAGTCGCTTCTGCATTCAAATGGTAGATTTTGATGATAAATTGACTCCGCTCTGGGTATCAAAAGGTTTTTGCTGAGTGTTACGTGTTTGTAAAATATGATGTATTCACTGATGTATTTATTGAAGGTGCTTGTTATTAAAGTAGTTCAATTTGATATTTTATTTGGAAAAACAGGCTCATCATCGCAGGTTTTCTATACCTAATGATATATTGTTTTACAATTTGTTTTTATGTCTTTGAGTGATGAAGATCCTTCACCTCTCAGATACATTTACAAATAAGTAAGAATATCTATAATTATCGATGTTTATTTCTTTAAAGCTCGGATATATTCTCAAAGTTGCAGCCAATGCATTCTTTGGGGCTATTCCTCTCTACGTGCGTGGTAGGCGTGGCCCGCCATTTGATTGCAAAACGAATGCTTGTATAATAAACCTTTTCGGTATTCTACTCCAGTTAGGTAAGAGATCGGTTTTAGAGAAAATGTTTCAACGTATCCACAGACCTCAATAAATTATTTATCAATTTTTTGTGGATTTTACGGTGATCTTTCTGTTTATTACTTGAATCGAAAACCAGAAGACAATTTTTATACTCCATTAGTGACCGATTACCTTGAGGTCTAATGACGTCACATGCACAGACATCGCGTAATAATCAATATAGCATTGCCTTGTACCAACAATTCTCCGTTTGCTATGATCAGATATTCCCCCTGCTCTTAAAGTGGGCAGGACGCGCTTAATATTCAAGACGAACGTTGATGTTTCTAAACGTGCCACATCAGCTAAGACTCTCATGCACAATCAGCTTTGAATACGGCTTGTTCGGGCTCAGAGCCTCTCAGTATTGATCATCCTGTGCTTTATTACAAGCGTCGCTCTCTGATACGTCGAAATCTTTAAAGTTCTTTGATCTGGATAAAGATTTGTTGTCATATATCCTGATTTTGTCAACTCAAAACAGTATTTTTCTCATCTGCGTTTGATAGACAAAATTTACTGAGAATTTAAAGAGAATCTTGCTCTTTAGATTTTCCAGGCTACAATCATTGCAAAAAGTAGTTGGAACACCCAACAATATGCGTTGCTATGTTTTTTATTTCTAGCAGTTCTTTTCCCAAATAATCCCACTTTCGCACCCCTTCCCCTCAAAACGACATTTTAGAAAATATCATACCAGTTGCAGGAAAAAATGTGCTTCTTGTTCCCTTTCGTCATTTTGTAGTAAGTCAACGTTGTTCAAAGAGGGAAGGGAATGGCTGAATTTGCCTTTGAAAACTGACGTTGGTGTACCATGACTATTGGCAGGCGTTGTAGCAGCCGGTAGCAGCTTGATTTGAAAGCCTGGAACGGCATTAGAAAATGTCCAAGAATTTTACGGTGTCCATTCTGTTCCTCTCGTAAACATTGGCTTAGTATTGATGCTTATATTGCTAACAATGAGCCATTGCGCTACGCAAACATCCCATAATGCATTTTTAGACATTCTGAAATCAATTTTGGTTAATCCGTAGAAGTTTACTGCCATTGTTTGGACCGTCGCCACGCTCGCAAAGGCCCATTGCTAGCAATGAGTTGAAACATGCATCTTTTGTGTTCCTTGACGGTTCAAATCTGTTGTTGTTCAATGATATTAGAAGAGTTCTATTATAGCAAGCCCTGCACCCTTTCCTTTCCTTGTCACTTGTCAAACCTAAATGTACCCAATAACAGTGTACGATTGCTTATTCTATGACAAAGGCACACTCCTGTTAGATAGATCAAGTATTTCTACAGACAATTTGAACTTGGCTTGAATTTTTGAATTGTTTTGTAAAAGCGCCTCGTTACATTTTAAGATAAAATAATGGTTTTGGTAACTCATCTTTCTGGTCCTGGTTGTTGGTACAAATAAAGTTGTAATTCAGTTGTGTATATTCATACATGACTTCCTTGTAATAATTTTCTTTTGATACTTAGTATATCTTGTTGTTTTATGCTTTGTTTTCTTTGCAGGAGAATAAGAAACTAAAGGAGACGGCTAGTAGGAAACCGATCTCCAATCGCCCTGTGAGCATATGTGCCCAGTGCACAACAGACGAATATGCGAAACAGGCTGTTGACGTCACTCGACAAGCTTTGGTCGATTTATTGAACCTGATAGTCAGTGACGACACACTTCATCCAAAAATTAAGAAAAAGAGATTAAAAGAGGTAAAAAGAGCATTTAGAATTATATTTTCTTATTTACAAGCGATATTTTTTCGATCAACAGGAACTCCAACCTTTGCAAAAACATTGGCTTGCCAGCATGCTTTCAACCAGAAGGCTGATTGAGAGAAGATAACATCTGTTGTTATGTCTGCATTTGGCAATAGTCTCATTTTGCACTGGGTTTTAATCTGTAAAGCTACACAGATCATTTGGTTGTTTTATTAATCTTCCTCAAGTTCTCACACTTAAATTAGAATGATATGATAGCAATAAAATGCCATAATGAGGATAAAACAAATTGATATACTCAAGCCAAAAAATTTGTTTCTTGTATAAATTTGATGTTTACATGTTCCCGTTAATTGCAAACTTTTATTGCAAAATTGTATGGGCTTGTTTCCGCTAAAGATTATATTAAGGGTATTCAGACCAGATACTGAAACTCAAAATGGTCCTTCTTTACTTCCACGTGTAAATAGAGGGCAAAGGGGTTCGGTTATTCTTTGAATTACCTGAATGTCGCTGACTTTTGATCGTCTTTATTTTCAGTTTAAAAAGAATTACCCTGAAATTTACCAATTCAAATTCCCCGAAGACAATATATCGACGTGCAGCACAACAAGCCAGAGGACACTGCGCATTCGACAAGCAATTCGGCCGTTCTTCTTTAACAAGAAGAATTCAGAGTTCTGATAAGATGCAAGAGGTTTCGTACAATCTGTTAGCTGCGCTGGTCTTTATTTGGACTGATGGTAGAAATTTGATCACGCATTTTCTATCTTCGTCAGATTTTCTCTATGAATAAGAAATTACTTATTGTTCTAACTGATCTTCAATGACATGGCGATCTGGTCCCAACCTATTGACAGGCGTATTTCACCGCCTTCTTACCCAAACAAGGACATGTTAAATTGCAATAAGCCTTTTCATCGATGTCTGTATCTACCTCACTTCCATTGAGCCATATATAATTGTGGCTTGCACAGCCTTCTTAAATCAAACATCTCGCTGAAAACAGCATTGACTCGTGATGAGGACTCGAAGCAGAGTTATTCCCAGCTAGGAATATCATTTTAAGATAGGAAATCTTTTTTGTGGAAATGTAGCATGTTCATGTTTTTGCCTTTCCTACTTTCTGGAAGTCCCACTGCCTTTTATTGTGAATATAGACACAAAAACATGCAGACGAGGCTGATGATGAAATGTGTCTTCTCTCAAGTCATTGCTCTTATCTTGTGACGTTTCTTGTCACCCACAAGCTGAACAACTTTTACCAAAAAATATTTGCTTTTTCTACACAGTCATGCTCAGTTTTCTCGTCCAACGCAAAACACCTTCTAATGATTTGACTATCAAATACCATTTCTGTTAGATAACTGTGAGAACCAAGCATAGTTTATAGAGCCTGGTACTACATGAATTTCCATCGTCTGCTTATAGTGCCAACTACTTCATGTAAAGGCTAAGCCTACTCCACTGGCCTACTCCATGGCTCTTGCGAGTCATCTTGTTTCTGAGTACTCTGTTTTTCTGTCTCTGCGTGCCCTTAAAATGGTTCAATAAGCAAACTGTAGCTACAAATGTCAGCAGCAAGAATTCAAAAACTGCTCTGTTTTTAACGTTCTTCTGAAGAGCCTGGGTCTGATAATACCAGCCTCGATCTATGTTGATAATTATAATTTTTATGATCAAAGTTTATATTCATTCGCTTGGATGCAGTTATAAAGAACAATTTTAATCTTATATAATTATTCGTTTCTTTTTCATATTTCGTCTGTATTTTTAAATGAAGTTTAAATCTGAATTGAGTATATATATATATATGTATCACTTGAAGTAAACTGTCCATTCATTGAAATCAGCTTCTATAATCAAAATTGGCGCCACGGGGGGACTCGGGGCACGTCCCCTAGTTCTCGGCAGGATCAATTTTGTAATTCGTCCAAATTCGATGAGATAATATTGGGGGAGGGGTAATATTTTGACAATGTACTTTTTTGTGATGTAATCCTATGATATCGAAACTAACTTTACGTAACCAGAAGTTAGTCCAAAAGTTAGTCATGGTTGTTCCCAGGAGAAATTGGCGTTCTTTATTGGTAAATGGGAGTTTCTGGCGATATAAAGGGCGTGGCTTAAAAGTTTTTGTTTTGTCCTTTGTTCTGGCGATACAAAAGGACCACTTTTCTGCAGACCAAACACATTCTTAGACAATAATAGAAAGAAATTTACTTTATCATCCTGTAAGTAACTGTGCCTAGTATTCCCTTAATATGCCCTTCGCTCTAGCTCAGTTGCCATTTCTTTACCAAAGAAATCCCATATTAAATTGAATATTAGAATTTGATCGAAGAAATAGGTCATTGTCCAAGTTTTACAACCAGTAACAGCTTAGAAAATAGATCGCGAAACCTGATCCAGAACAACTTTGTCCCAGCACAAATTGACAGAGTTTCGTTTTATCAAAACCAAAACTTGGCTCACAAGGTCTATTTATTAACGAAAAAGTTTCTATTTGTTAACGAAAAAGTTCTCAGAAACATTGCAAAAAACTGCTGGATAGAAAATGTTTTCAGGACGTGAGGAATAAAGAATGGGCAGATTTTTTCTTTAAAAGTATCATCAAAGTTTTATTCTATCGATAATCCATTCCTACAAAGAAAGAGAAAATCTAGACGCAATTATGAATTCTATCAAAGCTCGTTTTGTCCAGCGCAGTTTGAAAGTTTTTAAAACCCTGAGTTATTTTTATCAAAAGCACTTTATTGCTGAAAAATTTAATATCGCATGTTACAAAATGATATCCCAACTGTACAATTAATTTTTAGTTGATAGTTCTTCTGTTTATGTTAATATTTTAATGTTAATATTTTTATTAAACCTTATTTCATTTATTCTTTTCCTCCATTTTTTGGGTAATTTTATAATCTAAAACAGAGTTTCATAAAGAGCTATGATATAAAGGTTATTTTAGAACTTGCGAGACCTTTCCTATTTCAATTCAACATTGAAATAGACGAGACATCATATGCAGACAACGTAAAATAGGAATAGGATATTGTAAGGAGTCGGAGTATTGATTAAACAAAACTTGAACACATTGCCTTGGATTTTCCTTCAGTCAAACTCCATTTCAGATAATTCTCTGGCCATCCATGAGATATTATGATTCTAAATTTTTTCTCACTGCCGACCGGTGGCGGCCTTTCCTGACCTCTTTCAAGACTTTGATATTTTCGCCCCTCCACTTTCAAATATGTTTCGCTGGCCCTGGACTGGCGATGCCACTGTTTATACCGTTTTCCAGCTTTGGGGTTTAGATAAATTCGGCTAAATAAAGCTCTCGATGACGCAAAAACTGCCATTTTTCGTGTAGCGACAGAATATTATTTTTTGCTGACGTAGCTTTCTTCTACAAGTACTGAAAACTTGTATCACACCTGACCAATTAAAAGCGAATTCGCGGTGCATTCGACGCATACTAACAGAGAGACAACAGTGTTACATGGGATAATGTTTGTAAAAGTATTTTAGAATGATTTAAGTGCAAGCTGCTGGTGCAAAGTTGTTTGAAATCTGTAATAAATCAATCAGTCAATCAATCATACCATACCAATCAATCAACCAATCAGTCAATCAATCGATCAGGAGATATAAGCAACATACCCTTTAAAGGGCTAAAGCTTCTTTAAATTAAGGCTAAACTTAACTCCAACTGCGGTGCTAACTGCCACGGATAGAATAATCACCGACGTGGCCATCATTAAACCTTTGAGGCCACACCCTTTTATTCAACGCATGGAGTATCAACTTCCCTAAACCACCACCCCCACCCTTTGGTGCCATTACCAGCCTTACTCCATGTGGCTGACCACAGTCCAAGTCACCAAGTTACGTTTCGAACCATATTCTTTCTTTTCAATGGATATTTCTAAACTCTCATGAATATTTCATTCTATCTTTTATATCTTTTATAACCTTCTGCGATGAGAGGTTGTCGCATTCCATAATTTATGTTGTCATACAACAGAAATTAGAATTAGGTTTAAAAACATCTTAGGATTTCCATCAAGTATGTTGAGTAGAAATGTTACTGGTTTGGAGCTCCGTCCTTTGGCAAATTTGCGCTTTAATATCACATTCTTCATCAAACGTGTTTTAAGAAATTTGGCGTTAATAATAACTCCATAGACACTTAATTCTTCAATAATTCGCTTTGGGATACTATTTACCAGAGTCTCTTCAATGAAGCTTACACAGTTGTTTTATAATTGCACGCCATAACTCTAACTCAAACCCTTCGATTTACTTTCCTTTTCTCATTCTGATTCTCGGTGGAAAGGGCTCTGTTGTCCGAAACAAGACCACCTTTGACAAGAGCAAGCCTTGCTGAGACGAATGAGCCGTCGTTCTTACATGCAGGCAGGCAAGAATTTCATAAACTCTTATTTAGAGGGAGTCTTTTTTATTTCATTTTTTAAAACCTATGGAAGAAAATTAATTGAAAGCGTTTATAGTTCGAAATTTTTTCGATCGATAGTCACAACGAGGAGATTAGGATCGATTGTGAGTTAAAAATGATTGGAACATCCGAAAAAATTGAGAAAGAATTATGAAGAGCCAGTAATATAAGTATGAGTTCAGCCCATAGATAACTCAAATTTATTGGATGTAGAAGGCGAACGGAAAAATGTGCAGATGAGCTGGATATCTTATTATTTGTTAATGACGAAGGGAACAAGAAAGTGAAAATTGATATTTATTGGATGAATAGTAATACTCAAAGAATATAAAGAAATATAAAATCCATCGGTGAAAAAAGATCTTTCTAGTTGTTGAAAATTTTGGTTTCGAAAAAATTCTGTGGGATTAATTTTTCGGTTGCACTGTTTCACCGAAAAAAAATCCCACCGAAATTTTTGGTACCTTATGTATGACAAAGAAGGAATATGTGGCGGATTTTAGAATTAAATGAATACATGATCCACATGAATATATTATGGGATTATGGGTTTGGTGATACTTTAGCAATACTTTAACATCAAGAGTAGAATTAACAAAGAAAACAAAGCAATGTCAGTTTCTTTATACATTAATATTATTTTGATACAATTCAGTGAAACTTACAAAAAATTAAGATATATGAAACACTTGGAGTCGAATGTTTTACGAAAAATGAAAGGAATTCGCGTAGGCACCTTGCCTTGCTGTATGCAATTCTTAAACCCTGATTGGCCTTATAGACACCGGAGTTCATCAGTGACAGTGAAGCCAGTGTAACCTTTCAGAATATCATAGCGGCGACGATTTGTTTCATATGAAAATATGAATCAGGACACAAAATTTATGTAATATGATTTAGGACACTTTAATGAGGAGAATAGCTTCTTGGCACGGAATTTCTGCCAACCAAAGGACTAGACCATTTCAATATCGGCAAATAATATTGCTAAACAATATTATGAATGTATTTTTTCTTAAAGCATTGAAACTGAACAGCGTTCATTCGAGAAGAAAGGGCCGTTACAAAGGGGGCTATCGAAAACCTTTAGAGTATTTGAATTGTGCGAAGCATACTTCATCTCGGTGAAAGTAGAGGCATTACTGACGATTCACTTTCATTTGCTAATAACATACATAGATCATACATGCATGTATACTTAGGAAACTACCAAATCTTGAACTAACAAGGCATGAAATATTGATTATGAACAGGATATACACATTTCAAAACTACATCGTATTATAAAACAAAAATGGGTTTGTATAAATTGAACATCTAAATTTACGAGATGCGATAACTGATTTCAGGACAGCATTCGACGAGAAGAGTTGTTTTAACTAAATCTGCCTAAACAGCGCGCGTGTGTATATATGAGCAATGATAATATATTCACATCCTTCTAAAATGAGACGGAAAGCAAAAACAACTAAGTATTTGTGGAAAAGTCAATATATTGAGTCTTATAAGGGACTTTTTATTCAAAAAATGTTACGTCAGACTTAATAGCTGTTCCACAGAAAGATGTTTATGTCTTTTGGAACATGCCCTGTTTATAGGCGACTTTGATTATACGAAAAGTTAATGTAGAATGGAATAAAAGTACGTAAAAAAAACCGATGAATTGCAAACTTAATAAAAAGATAGGTGAATGCTCAATTGTCTCAAGCAAAAAGCGGAAAAAGTGATGGGAAAGAATGGTTGTCATAGCAGTATTAAATAGCCTTATACTTCCTTTGCATCTTTGTCATGAAACATTTCAAAAGTAAGGTTAAGGTGACGCCGGAAGAACATCTTACCGGGTCTAGTGTCTTGTTGACTTTGAATGTTACATCCCCAATAGAATGCAAATTCTTTTTCAAGTTTAAGAAAGGTAAATAAAATTCGCCCTAAAATACAATTGGTTCTGCGAAACTATTTAAAAACATAACTGGCCGGTTTGGGCTTAATATAAGATTCATAGGACTGGTATTGCAATACTAATGCTATTTCAGCATTATCTTTTAGACAGGTGTACATATTACTATACCCAATGCTCCATTCTTTCCTTGCCAGCTGGATGCTTCGACTTTTCCTTCTCAACAAGAGCAGGACTTCGTCTCCCAGGGCTCCTCATGGCGGGACTCCGCATTACCGGACTTCGCCTGTTTTGGGCATGCGCATCAACAGCTCGACGCTCTGGTGCAGGCGAGAGACTCGGGAACTTGATCTCCTTCAATTTGATTGGTCGATGGATTTTGTTAGGTTGGGGGATTCCCTTGACGTCGTGGTCTTTCAAAACAGATTCCCTGGTGAAAAATCAAAAGTATTTAAAAATTGTTTTTAGCATTCTTTGCTTGAGAAATTTCCTCGATCTCATCTGCAAAATGTAACTAAGCTTTCTATTCTTTAGAGAATTGATCATGCAAAAGACTCACATAGAAATATTTAACGAAGAAACCTTAAATTGGCTCTGCTATTACCAAAATAAGAACGCAAAATTAAAGAACAAATATGATGCGTTATTTATACAAAAATCTTAAAATTACAATTACGGTAACTTTGTAGTTTTCTTATTTCAGAATGACACTTTCTTATTGGCAATCGACCGGTACTCGAGCCATCTGTCAATCGAAATTGGCCAATTAAAATTTGCCAGTCAAAAAGCGTAATAACACACAAACGCTTATAGATTGGCCAATAAATGAGTGACAGACGCCTCAAACCACTGAGGTTTCTGTCGATTTCTGATTGTATCTGAGCCAACTTTTGATAACTCGAACTCTCCGTAAAACGAACGTATTTTGTTGACCCTCAAGAGAGTCCGAAATGACGGTGGTCGATATTATACTGGACGCGTCGAAAACTTTTATTTAGACATGTAACCCATTTTCCGTCTGTTCAACATTGGACAAACATTATGCAAGGATTGGAATCGAATAACCATAATAAAAAATTCGTAGAAAACACTTGACTATTATACTAACTGTATATTGGCATTCGCCTCGTTATCAAACGATGAAAAGTCTCACTATCATACCTGCTAGTTTCATCATATATTGGCGGCGATGACTTCTGCAACCGTGGCGATGGCGGTGCATTGTCCCCGTCACTAGAATCCGGTTTGCTGCCAACTGAATCCGTATCCGAGAAATACTTAACCGGCGGCGTCACGGAGCCTGCTGTGATTTTTGTTTTGATGGGTTTTAGCTCTAATTCGCGTTGAGTTACAGGAGCAGAGCCACTTCTTGACAGCGAAACGCCCTTTTCTATGTCACGAACGATGATTCTGTGCAGTTCACCGGCAGACTTTTTCTGTTGTCCCAAATTTTCTGAATTTTTACTGCGATCATTTACAGGTGTTTCTACAAAGTTATCCGCGTTTCCCCGCGTTTGCCACGCAAGCTCTGAAAATGATCGATCGTGATAGTTTTTTCCACTCTCCGTTAAGTTTGACGCATCAAAATACAGCTGTTTTCGATAGCTAAAATTTTCTTTAAGTAGTTTTTCGTACTTTTTTTCGAACAATCGCTTCTGACGAGACACTTCCAAGGCTTTTTCCATTGCTACATCATTCGCACGAGCAACTGCTTTTTGAAGATCTAAAATAAGCTCCTCCGATTCTCGAAGCTTTTCCTTATATCCCTGATTCTCGTCATCTAGCCGAGTAACTTTTGATTGACATTCACTGAGTTCTTCTTTTACTTGCTCAATTTGAGCCTGAAATTTTGTCACAGCCTCTTCTCCATTAACTGACTTAGCCTCCTTATCAGCAATATCATCTTGCCGACGTGCTAATGATTCCTTCAGCACTTTAACCTCTTTCTCAAGATCCTCTTTTTCATGCTGTACATTTGCAAGCTGCAACTGCAGCTCAGTTTTCCTTGCTTTAAGACTTCGAAGAGCGTTTGCGTTTGTCTCTTCTGTGCTTCTTACCTTATCGAGCATTGTCTTGTTATTTGCGTAAGCTTTTGCTAGATCGTCTTCAAGTGAACTGCATTTTTGCCTAAGTGCCTCATTTTCTTCGCTAAAACTTTTCATAGAAGCATCTTGGCCCTGTGTATTCTGCAACTGTGACATCTTTCGAATTTTTCCAGACAACTCCGAATTCTCAGTCTTTGCAGATTCCAAAGCCATTTCTAAATTGCTTTTATCTCGTCTCAGACGCTCGATATTTTCACTTAAGCCATTGATTGAATGCATGAACTTAAGTTCTTTGTCTTGAGCCTGCTCTAAATGCATTTTTGTCACACCTAAATCATTCTCTATCATCTTTTGTTCTTCCTTTAACCGTTTAATTTCAAGCTGCAAATCATTTCGCAGCTCCTCATGCTTCTGTAGATGCGAGTTTATTTTTTCTGACAACAACGTCTCTTCTGATTCTTTACTCAGCTTCTGTAGTGTGCTCGCATTTTCAAGCTCAAACTTTGAATATTCTAACTGCTCTTTAAACAGTTTCTTTTCACCGATTGCCTTTTCAAGATCTGCACAAGCATTGCGTAGTTGCCTCGTTACTTTATCAAAATCACCCCGGACAGCAGCTAGTTCAGACCTCAAACTACTAGTCTCCAATTGCAACGCGCTCTTTTCTTTTCGAAGAGCGCTGGCAACATTCTCTGAATCACTCGCTTGCTTCTTCGTGTATTTTAACTCTCCTTCTAGTTCCTTTACCTTTGTTTCCGCTCGCTCAATAAATATATTCATATCCTCTAATTTCGATTTCAACTTCAGTACATGTTTTTCTCCGCTACCATCCGAAAACAACCTCTTTTGCAGTTCACTAATCTCCCCTGCTAGCTTCTGCTTTTCACTTTCATGGTGTTTCTTTGCCTCCTCAAAACGAGATAATACCTCGTTTTCAACATCTTTCTTTTCTTTAACAGCATCAGACAGCGACTGCTCCAGTTCCCTGATGCTGTAATTTGATTGACGAAGTTTCTCTTCGTTCCCGGCAGCAGCCTTAACTTGATCATTCAACAACCTCTCACTATCCCTCAACGATTTCAACTCCAATTCTAATTTCTTCTTACTTTCCACAGACGTGCTTCTCAACTCCTTAAGCTCTTTCTCAAAATTATCTTTTTCCTTTTCTGTCTTTTCACGCAGACCCTTTTCTTTTGACAGTTCATCTTTTATTACATTAAGTTCTGAAATTAAATCTTTCACTTCTGATTGCAGTTTTTCTTTCGCTTTTTCTAATGAATTTAATTCCAAAGACAAAGCCTTCCTCTCTTTGCCAAACTCCTCTTTTATCCTTGAAATCTTGGCCTCAGCTTCGCATTTTCGACTTTCGAATGCTTTCTTCCCAGCCGTAGTTTCTTCTAACTCCTTTCTTAAATCATCAACAACATCACCCAATTCAACGATTTTCTGTTCCTTGTCGTTCAATTCTCTTTCTCTTTCTTCGACCTGACTTCCAAGTTCTTCTTTATTCTTTTCCACGACCTTCTTCAGACTTCGCATTTCTATTTCAAGTTTTCGTTTTCCTATTTTCAAGTTTTCAACCTGTTTCGTCATTTCGTTCACCTTGGTTGCTTCATCATCTTTACTCTCCATTCTCTTTCTTTCGTCTGCAAGCTCGTCTGTAAGTTGGTCAATCTCCATTTGCATATCGGCTTTTTGCTTTCTACCCAATGCCCTTTCATTTAGCAATTTCTCTCCAATGTCAGCCATTTGCTTTTCGATAACACTTTTCTCCTTTCGAGAACTCAACAACTCTTTTTGAAGCTCCTCAAAGCCAGAAACCTGATCCTCAAGTTCAAAAACCTTATCCTTCAATTCCTTGTTTTCATTCTCAATTGCTACAAAATCATTTGTTGCACGATCTTTGAACAAAGAATGCTCCTTCTCATTTGTCATCTCCCGTTCTCTGTACCTTGCGCATTCTGCCTCGCTTTCATCAAGTTCTGTCCTCAACCTTGAATTCTCCTCTTGAAGCTTCTGCAGCTTTGACTCTTCTGAAATCCTACCTTTTGCAATCCTCTCATTTTTAGCATCTGTGCTCGCTAATTCGTTTTGCAATCTAGTGACCTCCTGTTCAAGAGAAGTACAAAACAATAAATATCTGTCTTGCATCAAGGTTTACAAAATTACAAACTTGGATCTGATATTTTGCGATTGTTAAACGGCGAAGAGGTACGTGTTATGATGATGGCAAATATGAGGATGAAAATTAGGTTGATTAAGCTTACTGAAAGGAGCTTTATTGATGATGATTGATTGACCGCTTGATTGACTAATGATTTGATGATCGATTGACGATTTGATGATTGTATGATTGGGGATTGATTTAAGATTTGATTTCAATGATAAATGATTATGATTGCTGACGATCTGTGATTGCTGACGATCTGTGATTACTGATGATCTATGATTGCTGACGATCTGTGATTACTGATGATCTATGATTGCTGATGCTGCTACCATAAAACATTGAAATAAAAACATTACCATAAAAGTACATCTACTGTGAAACATCTACTGTGAAACATCAAGGAAACATCTACTGTGAGAAATTGTCTTATTTTGATCACATTAGATTATAAAAGTAAAGATGATAAACAGTTTTGTTACTTCGCCTAATCGTATTCATTTTCAATTAGGTGATTGGCAAATGATTAGCAAGCGATAGTATCAAAATAAACGGTATGTCACTGCGGGTTGAAATAAACTCTACTCATGGCAACTGGGCTGAGTAAACTTTTTGTCACCAGTAAAGGCTACAGAAACAAAACAGTGTTCAGACTGAACAGAATTGATAAGGGCCGCTTATTGTTTTCACAATTCAGCTACAGTCAGTTCAAACCACGTCCCATGCGTAACCCTTATGCTTGGATCTACTTAACCACGGAAAAACGTGCTCTTAAAAACCATCTGTCATCCACACCATTGTTGATGCAATGTATATCCAGGGCAAACAGACTAGACATATTTCTTGCATAAAAGACAAATCAATGAAATTAACCCACCTTTCTTAATTTTTCGATTGTGTCAACCTTTGCCTTGATATTTTCCATAACCGTATCATTCTTATCATCCAGTTCATCATTAAGCTGATCATTCTCTGCCTCAACTTTTGAAAGTTCCTCATCTAACTCTTTAATTTTCTTTTCCAAACTTAGCTTTTCTTGCAGACTCTCTTGTAGGTACTCCTTGCATTTTGCCAGCTCCTGCGTCATTTTCATTTCAGCCTCCTCAGCCTCTTGTACACGGTCCCGCAGCTCCATACATTCACCGCGTAGCAACGAGGACGATGATGCGCTATCATTTGATACGACGCTACAAGATCGACTCCGAGTCTGGATGACGTCATCGACCTCTCTTGAATGAAGATTCAATAAGCTTTCGATCAAAGACTGGCGCTCGTCAAGTAATTCGTTTATTTGCTCTTTCATTCTTTCGTTCTCTGCATTAACGTCTTTCAGCTGTGCTTCCACAGCTTCCTTTCCCAATTTAAGGCTGTTTTCCTCGACTTCTTGTCGATGCGTCAGGCAATACTTTAAATTTTCAACCTCCTTTGCCAGCTCATCCCGATCAGCCTCGATTGCCTTCCGCTCAGACTCGACCTCTCGTACATGGTGCATATAACCCTCAAGGTCCCCGAACGCATTTTCTAGCTCTTTGGCGAGCTCGTCCCGCTCTTCCTCCATTCTTTTATATTCATCAGTCAGAGAAGCGTATGGGTTTTCGTTCTGCTCCAGTTCGGACAAGCACTTCTCCAATTCAGCGACAATCGAATCTTTGTCTAATGAAGACATATCTTTGCTCAACAATTTGGCAATTCGGGGCGAAGAGGCGTCCTTTGTAGGGATTTTAGTTCCCTTCGTCACATCTTCTTCGGAAGAAGACAGACACTTCGTAACCGGCTTTACGGTGGCAATTCGACTGTTTTTACGAGATTTCGTAAACGACCCTGATAACGAGCGACTACCAATGCTGCCTCTTCCATTAACAAGGCTGTCACCCATGGTGTTTTCCTCCAAATCATCCTTGCCCTTACTGCTCATCCTGTTCGATTAATATTTGTCTTGACTCCATCTGAAAAGAATAAAACAAATTTGTCACATTCAAAATCCATCAACAATATTTGACTAATAAATGGATTTTGTTTGCTAAAATTGGAGAGTTTAATTTCGTGAAATTCCTTCACAATCAATGAAGGACAAACAGACCGAATCGGATAAAACGACCCACACAACTATCTTAAGGGCAGTTGCAAAATTCCGTGATGATGAAATTAGATAAAAACAATTTGGCTTCATTTCCGCACCACCATAATAAAACAGAACAGCAAACCATCAAGTAGAACAACATCAACCAAACGGACGCGAAAACATCTTGTTAGCAGCCAGTTAAAAGCAACGGAAATTAACATGAAATTTAATTGAAAATCTGCGATAACTTTTTACGATAACTTTTCACAATGATAAATTGAGTATTTCATAACAATCACACAAAGTTTATGATAATTTATGAAGCTAATCGCTAGGTAAACAAGCATGGGAAAACTTTTCCAAGCAGCAGAAAAAGCAGCTCATTGATAGTTAACCTACTAATATTTTTTACACAACATATAAAATGACTTTAACCGGTAATTTCATATGGGATTTGGTTTCCTTCAAGAAAAGGTCAGTCCTGGTTTTAAGAAATACGCGAAGGTAGATTAAAAGGAGGGACATCGTTATTGGTTCTAGAATTATCTTGTCATTTGCAATTAAGGACATCAGCTGTTACAAAGATATGAACCCAACATGTGCATCTTCTACCAGAAAAGGCCCTCCTCTAACTTTGATTTCTTCCAATGGATCGATTCATAACCATATTTAGTTCTAATTACAACGAATAAGAGTCTTGGTTTAACAATCAACATTAACATGAAACAGATTAATAAACACAAAGCCTTCCAACCAGACCGTAAAATCTGTCTGTTCCAACTTCAAATGAGACAAGAGGCTAAATCTACATCGCTTTCGTTTCGCCTATTTCTTTTTAACTCCGTAACATTATGGGAATTTTCCGTCATCCGTGTTCTGTCTTATTAAATTTTCTTTCCGTAAAAAGAGAAGACTTAAACATTTTAACGTTTTCAAGGAGGAGTTTGATCCGAATTTCGTTTCACATTTTAAAAATTGTAGGCATCAGTGTTCCGTTTTATGCTCAACCCCCCCCCCTTCCCCTTCAAAATTAGTTATTCTGTGTATATGGATAACTCTGGTTCACCATACCACGGAAAAGACTCAAAGGGTCAAAACCAACTGAAAATAAAACTATGTTTAGAATAATTGGCAAATTCTCAATACATCTGCTCTGGGTATGGCTCGAAAAGAAAAAAACAAGAAACCACAAACAGTCTGAACCAGAAGCTTTCAATTTAGCAAGCGAATCAAGTGTCCGCGTTCAGGTTCTGTTAACATCATTTTACCGAAAGGTTATCAGCAGTAGTGTAGGTAGGGGAAATCATTAGAGGGGCGAGAAAATTAGATCTTCCGATTGAAATCTAATAAACATATTCATCTTTTCATACATTTGAACATGACTTGACGACATCAAAACTGAAATAAAAATCTTCTTATATATTCAGATATTCAGATGTTATATTCAGCTTTAAAATCTTTCCTCGCAAAATGTATCATTTAGATAAGATAAAAAATTTTCCAACAAAAAAGCAGTTTAGCTTTACAGTGGTTTTCGCCCCCTCTGACCCCCCTCATATCTACGCCACTGGTTATCAAACGTACCCATAAATCCCCATGTGTCGCTTTAGCTGCTATTTAAGAAATCGTTTAACTAATGTTTTTCCTGACATTATAAGTCTCTGAATTGATTACCTGAAGGTTTTTCTGGATTCTCCATTTCTAGGGCAAGTTTCTTGGATTCAAACAAATAAAGTTCTTGAAGGCCAATAAGCATGGCCACGCATTTTTAACAAACTCAATATGATTGGCAAAAACAAAGTTCCTTGCATTAGGAAAAAAATAAAAATTAACCACTATAGCCGTTCTAAATTATTCACAATAGCCGTTCTAAAGATACCTGTGAGTTTAAATTGTTTTCAAAAGCGGGAGGCAAATCACTCCACGAAAATCCAGCGAGCCTTTGGTGGAATTCCTATTGTTTTATCATTAAAATCCCTAGAAATCCTTTTTGGTGGAAATCTTGTGCTTTTTATCATGAGCATAAATCGCTCCACGTTCCAATGAACTGGATGCAAAGAAAATTGGTTATGCACAGGAACGACTGATCGTCGTAATGTGGACACGAAACGCCCTTTTCAAAGAACAGTGTCCTACCTCAATATCAGTGCTTTTTGTGTAATAGTTTTTAGCATGAACTGGACTTCTTAAGCTGTGCTAACAACGTTTAACAAAATTAATACACCTTCAATAATTGCACTTGAATCTGGTAAGCTCGTTGCAAGTGAAAGCCAGAGGTTTACTCCTCGATGGGAGGGTTTAAAGGTAAAATTACAGTGTTGAAATTCAAGCCTGTCGGCGTATCTCGAATAAACATACAGCAAAGGTCGCTTTTCATTTCTGACACCCAGCTCCTCTGCGCGAATTGCCCCGTTAAAGCATCATCATAAACTGTACCTTACAGAAACTTCAAACAATCTAGTAACCATCAAAAGTGTTCTCGTTCTACTAGAGCCTCAAAACATGCACGCAAAATTTCAGCAGTCAAAAAATCAGTGCTTTTGAAAAATAAAGGAACAGTGTATCGCGATGAGGTTTTGCGTTTGATGATAAAAACTCAAAACTTTTTGTTGATAAACAAAATGAGTAATGCAATCTTAAGTGCTATCAAGCTGTTTTGGTACCCAAAGCACCGCCCAAAAATACAGATAAGCTCAATAAAAAATAGACACGAAAGATTTTGAGAGAGCAATACGTGTCTGTAGCCTCGAGGAAGTGGATGAAAAAACACAAACGCTCGTGCATCAGCGGGCAATATAATCAGGTGGATAAGACACTGTAGATTGCCAAATTTTATCTACACAGCTAGAAATGCGGTCAAACCCTTGAGTGTTCCTAACTTGAGCGAACACGAATGACGCAACACTATCGAGCATACCCGAAGGTTGCTTTCTCAAGTAAACGACGGCACATTTTATGGCCAATTTCTTGTAAAAAACGACAATTCAATTACTTACGCTTAGTTTTTAGTGACACCAAAAACAACCCACTCAACAAAAGCACCAATGAATGCGGAGTTATCCTGTTTGATTCAAAGCTTTAAAGTTATAGAGTACCATGCTAACAAAGTTTTTCAAGTCAATTAATGGGTATTCTTACATCTGCGACCAATAAACCAATTGGTAAAACCATATGTGGTCAGTTAAGCCACATGATTAAAAGAGGTTTAGTAGTTTAGACCTCAAGGTGCAATTGGCACCTGAGAATTCACTGAAAATTCCCTAAGTCAATACGGTTGAGTCACATTTGTGACAATCAGTGACAGAAATGGTTACTGGCTTTGCACCAAAAACCATATGCTGAAAAAGTATCTTACTGGATTGCATCACAGAGAACTGATGGGTGATAGCATATAAAGTTACAGTACACAAAGACTTGGTGTGGTTTGTTTCTGAGATCTTAATGTGGAAAAAATTTCATTATTTCAAAAATTGACAACAGTTGAGTCCAGTCTACAACTTTATCTCAGATTGGAACTGCTTAAAGGGAAATTTCCCAATTAAAATGATAAGTATATTGATAAGTTTGCTTAAAAAATTGTTTCTATCTGCAAAAAAACTCAAAACATGTCAATCTTCAAGACAGGCTTTGTTTAAGATTTCCAATCATTCTCTCTACAGCTTGACAAGAGTAGAGTATCCATTAATTTTCAAACAAAAGAGTGATTAATAATTAAATTACATTTATGAACAATGCACTTACGGTTTCAGAAGGAAACTAAAAAAACTCATCCTTATCTTGAATGCATTACAACATGTACAATTGTTTAAATAGGTAACTTAACTTAGAATTGTATTACCCTGCCTCTATTTTTATCACAATCATCAGCTCTCACAATTACACAGCTGATATATTCTTAAGTTTTACCTTCACTGTGGCAAATACTTTGAGAACAGCTTTGAAATTGATAGGCTGTTTACTTTTCAACCTGCTTAATAGTTCCTTCTTTGTACTATTTCTTTAGTCATAAAATAAAAATGCCTTGGGCTGTAGAATAAAAAAATCTGAGAGTATTTCTATAAGAGCTTTCAAAAGGCTTGTTGGTCAATTCTGTTAATGTTTTTTTCAGGTTTGAAAAATTTTAAGAGAACTGGCAGGCACTTTCTTCAAAATTCAGATAAACACACAAGCCTAGCCAGGCTTTGCTTGAGCCCTGAACCATCAAATATCAATTATATTGCTGGTAAAGTCACCATTGTTTTACACATGAGAAGGGGGGCAGAAAAACTTTTGCAAGCATTAGTGAAGGTAAATGATGAAAAAAACTCAATACATTGCTTGCAATCAGGTAAATGTGATTTAATTTCATTTTGGCTGATATTGACTAGCAGAAATTTTTTCATCAAAGCCTGGTATTATCAATATCACAGAAGTAGTAATCTTACTTTTAATTGTATTGCTGAAGCAAAGTTGTCAATAACACTTTTCATGTTGGTGTGTATGTGAACTTGGCCATTAAAATGTTGACAACACCAATGATGTCTTTGAAAAATTGAAACTGGCTTTGGTTGCGTGATCATTAATGCTGATATTCATTCCATTGAGGAATTTAGTTACAAAAATCATTTGGGAATCATGGCACAGTCTTTGTCTTCAGAATTATTGATGAATCTATATATTGTTTGAATTCAATTTTGCCTAGGAAAAGATTTTGAAATTTTCAGACAATCTGGGAGATTCGGAAAGATCAAGTGGCTTTGGCCAGGGCTTAAAAGATCTAACAGGGAAAAAGCAAAAGTTCATTTACATTGCTGCAGCATTCTTTGTCAATCTAACAAGCTAATGGCAAGAATTAACCTTTAAAAACCATAAATAAAAATTTATAAATTTAAGACCCAATTTCCAACGAGATGGGAAATAGTTCTATGTATATAGTCAGTTTTAAAGAATGATTATGATTTTTTCAGGAGAAGAAAAAGCTTTCTTTGTTTGTTAATCATTGTTGTTCTTTTAACAATAAATTGTTTTAAGTAATATGATACTGAAGCTCAGATAACAATTGATTATGATTTAGTTGCTATACAGACAAACATCAAAATGTTTACAAAGGATATCAAGTTACTGCTCTAGCATTATTTTTAGAGACATGGGGCTTCAAAGAAAATCGGTGCTTCGGAAAGTTTAAATCCAAAAAATCCTTATTCCTACATGAGATTATCTGTGCTGAAATAAGATTTGTACTGGCAATGCAATGATTCACTATAATGTGTAATTCTCACAGTCTTAAGGACAAAATCTCTCAGTATGTGATATACAGACTGGCTATTGGGAAACTTGTAAAAGCAAGCCGTGTCCTTCTTGTTTTGAACACATACTAATTGAACACATTTGAAATCTTAATTTCCCTGCAGGAAATCTAAACATTCTAACCATTGTCCTCCAAACTGTGGCCTCATCCTTTTCTGAGTTTAAAAATAAACATCAATAGCCTCTTCCGTTACACCAATTTCGAAATCCCTCTTGAGAAAATCATTTATGGTTGCATACATGAACAAAATTTGCTTGCAGTTTCAAAGCACAATTCGTTCAATAAAACATCAGATAACTTTTTAGCACTAGCACGGAAAACTTTTGAACTTGCAACACGCCTGTTTCTGCGCCCAAAAAATTAATTAAAATTTGTCCATGAACTACTGAACAAATAAAATATTTCTTCCTGTTCTATAAATTGAGAAATTACCTTGCAAACTTCCGTAAACTGTTTCCGTACTAATAACAGACCTCTTCAAAACCATTCGCCCTTGAAGGTAATCTGTCGCGGTGCGAATTATGTTAAAGCACCGAAACTTGGTTACTTACAGCCAATTCATTTAGAGAACTGTACTTCCAAAAACAGAGTCATGTGTTTTTCGTTCCAATATGGAGCAAATTGTATTTTCGGAGTAAAAATATACAGTGTGAGGTTAATCCTAAAGGTCACCTATCAGAATTTCTTGGCTGACCTCACAGGCCTAAGATTTCCTATGTTTTCGGTGTCCAGATTTAACAAAGAATCTCGATAAAAAGACACGAAAAACAGCACTTACCCAGCAAATAAAGTAACATTAAAGGCGTTATCTATGTACATCATGCAGCAATATTTTGCTTTCCCGTACTTTTCAAAGCATTCACTGTTCAATTATACGCAACTGCCTTGATCGTCCGAAGCAACACCCTTTGTCAAATAACCGCCTCCACAGCAACAATAACACCATTAACTTCGATGACGCATTCACAAAACACCTTGTCATGTTTATCCGTCAGCTTCTTGTCTTTTGTTTTGTACCGACTGTCGGCAGAGTTGATGGAATAGTTATGTACCTTCAACATCCACGAGCTCACTTGGTATTTGATTTCCAGCGCCAAAGAAACGCTGAAATGCTGAAAGGGGGAGCTATAAAAACTGAAGGAAACATGTAGAGCTCTGATGGATCAAATTATACCAAGATCTCCCATTATATCCAGGTATCTTAAAGATACTTAAATCGAATCAAGGGAACCTAGGGAGAGAAAAACCGCTAGATCAAATTTTTCAATCCATCAAAAGTAACAACAGGGGTTTGTCCCAAAATAGTTCGGCAGGGACGGCGGAGCAGGGGGGCTGGGGAGCTTTTTGAAAGGTTTTGCATTTTAGGAGTACTTTTTGGTGAATTGCCAATCTTGTTGGCAAATAAAGGATGCCTAACTAACTTTTTTGGCAAACGAGGCCTGGACATTCCCTATAGCAGACTAGCCTCAAATTTCGAATAAATTAAGAATAGCCACCACAATTCCAAAACCACAGGTACAGGTTAAGTACAATACATACAATGCCCATTTTGTTGGAAAATTTCTAATCAATAAAGATCCCTGGTAAAATTCATTCTGTGTGATCCTCTACTTGCTTGTTGCTAGCAGCTTGTCAAGTGTCGTTTGTCAAAGGATATTTTGTAGCACGCTAAAAACGGGATTTAAAACTTCCAAAGATACATTCAGATGGAACATTACTGCTGTCATATATTTGATACAAGGAAATTATTGTTTGACTTCGTACAAACTTGGTGCAATGGATTGCTAAATAATGTGTGTGCCCTTGAAGAAAATTTGGCTAAAATAACCCTATCATTTGTCACAAATGCTAAGTTGCTATTTTAGAAAAGTCACTTGTAATTAATGTTTTGTATTTAGGGCCTCAGACGACTGCGGCCGTGGTACATGGTCCTTCACTTATTTGCAGAAAAAAGAGATGCTTTGCAAAATGTTTTTAATCATGAGTCTTTAAATGCGCTTGCCCCCCCCCCCACCCCCCTAATTTCTAACTTTCGTCTCAGTGCACGCGTTAATTGCGCATGCTCAAAAAGAAACAGACAACAACAACTAAAGGTTGAGTCCGAGCTCTGACGAAGAAACTGAAGATTTATCCGACAAGCCTAGGTTGAAAACGTATCTGATGGTGAAGGGCTAGCAACAAACGCAAGTCCCTAAGTGTCTGTAAAATCAAAGACGCTGGAGCATAAAACTTTGCATCGCTTTTATGTATATTGCTTGAGTTGAGCAACAAAAATGGCCGACAACAATCCTGTTCGAAATGGCAACAACGAAGCCAGAAATGAGATACAGGTCAATACAAGAGATCGTTTATTCCATGCTATTTTCATCAAAGCAGCTGCAGTTTATATACGAGTTGTTCCAAAATGGTGTAGAGCACTACTCGAATTACTTGTTCTAGCAAAGGTAATTGTTTATATGTACCTTATATTCTTTGTTCAGCGGACGTCATATGGACAGGGGAATAATGTTTTTCTAATGTAATATGCAAAAGCCAATTGGATTCCTTCAATTGTGAGAAACTTTGTGCACTTGCCTAAAATCTGAACAGCAGCAACTATGTGATGATTGTTTTATTCCTAGGTTTTGGGAAATGATCTGTTCATCATATCCTGTTTTAGAAATCATCAATTTGTAATTGTATTTTCTAGACCATAAATAATTTTTCATAAGATAAATAGATGTTGACACTTTTTCAAAACAATAACCAGGGGACCATTTTGTTTATACACAATATATATATTTTGAAAATTGCAGCCTTTGTTTTTTAACACCATTGCCCAGCATGGATTCCATGGCAGCTGCACTCAGTGTGACCAGATCTCAATTTCGGAATTATGCCAAATTTGTCATAAAATAATGCTAGATTTTCAAAAATTATGCTAAATTTCAAATCAAGGCACCCCTGCTTGTAATAGAGGCTAGAGGATGCTCAGAATATCAAAAATGACTTAGATCAATGGTTTTGACATCCAAATTTTTCAACCCCTTGGCCGTCATAAATTGAGTTGGCCGAAGAAGCAAAAGTTGGCAGAATTCTGGTAGCAAGTTGCAAAAAATCACAAAAAATGCAAAGGAAAATAAATTTTTTACATAGATGATATTCAAATTTGTTTTAGAATGGTTTCAAAATTGCAAATAAAGAAACATGAAACAACGTAAAAGATAACAGACAATGTAAGATAAAAGTAAATGAAAGCTTTGTAACCTACAAAGCAAATTTTGATTACACTATCATTCTCCACAATTGTCAAAAATTTAGCTTATTTGTGTACTGAATTTAGCTGGCTGAATTTGGCTGCCAACCATAAAATATTTGGCTGCCAATCAATCCAAACAACTGGCTAAACATTGAAAGTCGAAAGTCACCCATTCTTGTGTTTCCATTTGGTGGTGATAGACAACAGATCAATGGAAACAGCGATTTTTTAAAAGCTATCGAAATTATGCCAGAGTTATGCTAGATTCCAGATTATGCTAGACTTTATGCTAAATGAAGATTTTTGGTCAATATTATGCTGGTCACACTGGCTGCAATCCCGAGAAATTTTTGGAAAATAATGGGTGCGCTCATGCACACCCCAAAGATAGGCATGTTTTGGGCGTGTTTTTGGATGTGGCTCAAATGAAAAAGTTTTTTTCAAGTATGGTAAATGACTTTCTAAATTTGTCCGCAGCTGAGATTGGCAAAAGTGTGTCATTCTAAATTGGATGATCCACTTGAGATAAGGACTGCCAAAAAGTTTCATTGGGCCTGGGGGCAAATCTAAAAGAATAAAGGCACCATTTTCTTTTACCCCATTCTTTAGATCAGCCTAAAATATGCTTGGAATTCTTTCAATATTACTTTGTTTCAATTGTTTTATTGTTACATTTTACTATTATTTCCATTCTATAAATGTGCTATTATCATTTAACTATATAAACAGATAAATGCCATTCATAAATTTGAATTCCTTTCTTTATGAGGTTCCCTAGACATTGAGGCCCTTAGGAAATTTACCCCCTTGTCCTTCTCTTGGTGGCCCTGCTTGAGATAATGTTTTTGGCCTTTTTAAACATTTTTTTTTAATTTATCATTAAATGATAGTAATCCTCTATCATTTGCCAAGTAAACCTCTTCACTTGGCAGATGTTTAGGAATTTGAATAACAGCCACTGATGGTTGTAGTAGGTAAGCACAGTTCAACTCTAAACCATGAATTTCGCTGAGATTTGAAATTGATCTAAACAGGAAAGTCCTAAAAAAATATGCACACACTCAAGAATCATTGAGAAATATGATGCACACTCAAATGTGCAGACTTATCACAAATTGCAATACCAAAATCCCTTAAAAATGCACTTCCTTTTTAATGAGTGCGCCCCTTCAACTGATCACCCCCCTGCCATTCAAATGAGCATTCCACTCATGTGTGCACCCCTCAGAATGGTTGCAATATTTAAAAAGTGCCCCCCAAATGAAAATAACCACATACATTCTTTGAAAGTTCAATGCTAGACATTGACGTAAACTTCTTTCTTATTTTAGAATTGTGTACAACAGGTATTAACTGTTGATTAGATAAACGATAAAATATTGATTCAATTACAGGCTCTGATCTTGTTTACAACACTGTCATATATTCATTTTACCTTCTCAAAAAACCCAATGGATTGCCTCGAAAAGTTCAAAGATAACTGGCCAAGAGATGGGATATTGCAAGTCCAAATTTTAAAGAATCAGCCAAAGCCAGTCATAAAAAAGAAACTCGATTTGCCACCATACTTTGCATCAAGTTGGAACCAGTCCCTTGTGAAGAATGTGTCATTGACAGAGACCAATCAATGTAGCCCTTATGATCAATTCTATGAGGAGAGAAAATCAAAGTTTAATGCTTCTGAATCATATGAAATTGAAATGGACTCAATACTCATTGACTCTGTGATTGATGATGAATACCTAATGAAAAGAGACACATACTTCCATGACAAAGCATTCCCAGTGAAAAAAGTGAGGTATCAGCAGCAGCCAACATACTTCCCCACCATGCAACAGCTTATACATTGTAAGTTTAAAGAAATGTTGTAATTGATAAACATTTCAATTCTTCATCTTAACCCTATCAGAACCAAGGTTTATTGAGCTTTCTCAGACCAAAAGGGGTTGGGATCTGAATAGTTGGTGATAGGGAATTGAGACTTGGACATCATTTTTTTCTTCTTTTAAAAAGATGATTTGACAAAATGTTTTGTCAATCAAAGCAATTATGACGCCACAATTCATTTTAAATTCATTTCAAATAACGCAGATAGGTAGTTTTATGTAACTTTTGCCAAAACATAGAAAGATAGCTTATCATAAACTACGACATCATCAACAATGCACATGAGCTGTCAATAATATCAATTCTTCTGATGAACATTTTCAAATGTGGTCAAATTCTAGCTGTAGGCTTCATTACTTCCAAAATCCAGTTCAGAAACAAAGAATGAATCAAAACAAGCAAATTATTTAGTGAATCAAAACAAATTTTGCTGATGCTAGCAATTTTTAAAAAATAGTTTTGAAATTTCTTTTAACAACAGAAAAATTATTTTTACAATATATGGAATAAAATTTCATTGATTATTCAGATTTAAAATGGAAGCTACAAAGCATGTTATTTTATCTTAAAAAGTACTATTTTAAAAGCTGATTGTAATGGCAACTGTCAACAAGATATTTTGTTAAAAATTGCATCATGATATCAGTGGAAAATTTTTAGGAAAAGTCATTTAGGCTTAACAGTATTTCTCTGCTGCAATTTAACTTGTGAATGGAAAAATGAGAGGCGGGCTTACTTAGCCAGAGATAGGGTTAACAAAGACAATGTGTTGGTTTGTCATATACCACACAATTGATGCAACACCACAATGGGCTTAGAAAAAACAACAAAAAAGTACAAGCAAATTTAGCTACTCATTTTACTCAGACGAAGCCTTGTATGTTGGGGGGCAATATTAGTACTAGATAAATTTAATCACATTGGATTCCTGTCCTTGAATTGCTTTGTTCATCTCTGCTTTTTGCTACTCATTGCAAGACTTGTAGAATCTGGAAACACAGCCTACCCTACGTTTTTTCCCTTCTTACACACACTATTAAGTTGCTTTTGTGTTTTTTTTTGTTTGTTCTCAGTACATTGTGGTGTTCCTTATATTCTACATTTTTGCGAACTTTTTCACCACAAGAAATCCATTAGAGTCCACCCAGCAGTCTAATACAATGGCCTTTTTTTATTTGCATACTTGATATATAGCTGACCAAAAACCTCCTTCATCATTTTGCAACGTTTACACATCCACACAGTTTTTTCACTGAATGTGGCTAATGCTTTAGAATGGCTAGTGTAAGAAGTGAAATGAAATTTGTTTTGGCTTGCTAGAAATAAATTTGTTGCTAAAATTTTTCCCCGAATTGCCGGAAATTTGGTAGAACAGACGCTGATAATACAAGATGTTGTATTTTGAAAGCTAAACTTTGTTTTTTATTAGAAGTGCAGAACAAAAATTGTACAGTATGTATGTATATCACAGGAAAACAGTGTTCAATAGAAAGAGAGTAAAATAAATTCCATGTCTATATAACAATCAAGCAATCAAGATTTCATGATAAAAATTTCCTGGCAAACAGCAAAAATGTTCTGCAATGAGTTTGTGCTAAAAATTTCCTGGCAGCACTGGACATTTTCCAACCCTGTCATTTCGTTTCCTTCAGGACAAATGTTGTATCAAAGTTGTTTTTCTCTCCACAGTTTATGCCAATAAGCAAGTGAAGAATTACTATCTGATGGAATATGCTTTGGAGTATGGTTTCCTGAGATTGTCACATGAAACAAGGCAGAAACTTAATATTACAATGAAAGTTGTTACCTTGGGTAAGGATCTGTATTCTGCTATTCTTGTATAATATTTTCACAATAAAATTGTTGTGGCTCCAGAAATTTATATTCTCCATTATGAGGAACACTGTCAGTTAAGCACTGTAAATTGATATATATAGTTCAAGCTCCTCTAAACAAATCTTAAGCTCGTTATTATTTATTCCATATGAATTACCTTTAACTGCAAAAGGGAACTGGAGAATAGTAAGTGCAAAAAGTCCGATTTACCTTTCCGCTCACAGTTTCAATGTTTCCATAAACACTAGGCCTATTTTGGTTTTGTCTATGCATAATGTCATGAATAGAATGTGTTGTGCATATTGAATTACCACTTTTGTGACCTGATGACCTGCTTCTAGTATACTATCAAATACAATTACGTTATATGTAGTATATTTTCAAATACAAGTTACCATTATTCACACTCCATTTATTCTCTAATTTTTTATATAATCCACATGTTAAAGATTTTTCTTTCAATAGATCCAAAGACTGATAAATGTTTTGGAGATTCACTAAGTAGGTTTATACTTGATAAACTGCTTGGATATGATGATCTACTGATGGCCAGCATCAAAAGATTAGCTGAAAAAGAAGGAAATAAAGGATATATGAAGAATGTGCTGACTGGAGAGCATTACAAGTTTGTCACTACCTGGATGGGAAGGACATCTTACTTTGTTTCTTTTCTTCTCATGTTTGTGTTTGTAAGTATACCCCATCATTGGATATCTATTCTATTTCTGCATAGTCTTTTACCCAGAAACCTTCTTTTTATCAAGAATATATGGAAGATGCACTGATGTCAAATTTTTACTGGCTTTTAGATGCAATGAACATAGGAACCAAGGGAAAGGGGGCATGTACCCCTACTTTAAGAAACAGGGGTAAAATACTTATTTGTAGCTCACTGATGTGCCCCTTTACACCTAAATGCGCCCCAAACTTTTAAAATGCCTTGTATTCCCGTGTGTATATGCAATACATCATTTTAAAAATTAGGCAAAATGTATGGATTAACCACTATACTTTCCATTTTTGTCACTACTCCTGGGTTTTTATTTTCCCTATTGCTTGGGCTTATGTTCTTGAATTTTTGAATAATGAAATATAAAAACTTATCAGAAATATGACTGCAAAATGGCCTGCTGAAATTAATTATTGAAATTATTTGCATGAAGGCTCAAATACTGGTCTTTAATGCAAAACTGAAGTCAAAGATTTGGGTTAAAGAAGTTTGAACCATTTTCAAACACAATATGCTGGATGCCTTTTTTCTTTATCTTCTAGTAGAATTTTATCTATTACTAGAATTCTGTCTTATTAATTATAATTATGTACCATTAATATTATTGTAAATCCAGATTTCATTGAAGAATTTTCGAGAAAGATATCAGGCAGCATGGTTCATTTGTTTCATATCTAAATGCTATTCTTGACTCGATTGCTCATATTTTGCAGAATTTACCCACTATTTGTAACAAACAATTGTTATTCAAGACATATATTTTATATTTCCTTTCTACAAGTGATCAATTTTCGCTTACAGACAATATCAATTTCTACACTGCTCCGATTTTGTCATCAACAAATTTTTATTTTTATTGGTAAGTATTTCATTTTTATTGGTAAGATCAGCCAATTACTACTCGCCAGGTTTTTGTAACAATTTGTACCAAAAAAAATTACCATTTTATTATCAATGCAGGGACAAGTATGGTAGCCTATTTTGGTAGATGTCCCGCCAGCCTATGTTTAATTGTATCCTGCAAAATGGGTATTCATTGTAAATAATCTAACTATAAGTGACAGCCTTCTTGCTTTTTTAGTGCACCTTCTTCATGTGATGGACTGGAATGCAACTTTGATGTTCCCTGTTGCACCAATGTTTACTGTCATTTTGTCACTTGTTGGTAAGTCTTTGCTGCTTTCTTTTACCAGAATATTGATGTTCTTTATACATCAATATTATGTTTTGCTTGATTAGCTCTTCATTATCATCACTATTAACATATTATAATTAGTGGTATCCCAAAATCTTTAAGTCAGTTGGGGTGTAGTAAATATAATTTACAGTAAGGTTTTAATCAAGATTAACTCATCATAGTTATAAAATAAAATTTTAGTGCCCTAACAAGATAGCAAAGATGAGGTGTTTTCAATTACTACTGGCCAAGATGTGAAGTTCACCTTTTACAGAAAAGCCAAAAATTTACTAATGGCTTCAAAAAAGTGTCCCACCTGTAAAATTAATTGTTATATCAAAGTATATTTATATCCAAGTAACATCTCAATGTCAAAATTTCACATGTATCATCTCGTCTGTAATTCAGCTGAAATGAACTTCATTATCCCAAGAAAACTTGATATGAAAACAAGCAATGCCATGCTAGGTGTGATTCGGAGGCCAAAAATACTGAAGCCAAAGAAATTCGGAAGCAGCAGTAGCTCTGGAATGTTTTCAAATTTATTGCTTCTGACTATATCTAGATAAAACTCCTTGAATTCCACAGTAACTCTGCTAGCAGAGAAGAATGGAAATGCAAATTTGTAACAGATAAGCATTGTACCAGCAACTTGTGACAGGATATAATTATGCTCATATTTTGATGTCTTCATGAATGTCACCCACTCAAATATCATAGCAGCTACCAAAAATATAAACATCACATTGTGTACAGCAAACCAGTACTTGAATTTGTCTATCATTTTCTGGGTGTAAAAAAGAAGTTTTTCGTGGGCATTGAAAAAGTCCTTTCTGGTTACAGATGTATCAATAATGACAGCTTTTGTATGTCCAATTAACATAATGATTCGCCTTGACATTATGTGGAAAATACAACAGGCACATACTGTGCCCCCAAACCCCCAGAATAGCATAGTTACAGCTACAATGTAGATGGCTCGATTTGAAGGTGTTGTTTTATAAAGAAACTGACGAATCCCATGAAAATCGAACAATGTATCAGTACCGAAGTCAGTGGCAATTACAAATATAACATTTGCCATTCCAAAAACAAACCAGCAATTTGTAATGAGCCACTCTTTGTTGGAGAGCTCGGTTACTTCGTTGATGACATCAGTATCATCTTGATTATCGAATTCAATTCTTGGTATCAGTTTGAAATCATTGTCTACGCTCGAGGAGAAATCATTATTTTTGCTGTAAAAGTAATAGATAGCCATGGAAACTGTTATTGCTCCAGAAACTGCTAGGCCCAGCAGGAGAAGAAGTGTCTCTATTGGTATTTCTGGAAGGTTGTCCGATGTGCATGTTCCATTTTTACTTCCTCCCTGGGAACTTGAACGAACCCAAAACACATCAGTGCAGTAGGCATACCCAACAATTGCGTACCACTGCAGCAAGATGAAGCACAACGGTATGATGAAGGAAAGATATTTCCTCCTTTTCTCTGCAAACAACTGTGGAAGTATTCCATAAAATACGCATACGAAAAGTTTAAGTATTTTACTCGTGCAAAAAACATTACATTTCCTCTCTGAAGTTCTCTTGACCTGATGATCGTACGAGCTCATATCACCACCAGTTGGCAAAACGTCACACAAAAAGGCTTCGGTTAGATGTTCCCTTGAGTTGGCATTCGGCTGCATTTTCCCTTCACCGAAAGCTTTCTTCGAACAAACTTGCCTCGCGGAATATTTCTCTGTTTTCAGTTTTCAGGCATTCATAAGTGCACGTCCGCCCGCATTGAGCTGCTTCCCGCTGGCAGAAGTCTGTGATCAATTTTTTTTTCTTACGGGTTTCCCTTTTGTGGAATTACAAGTATCACGTGTACAGTATGTTTCCGGGTTGTATTGTTTTGCCAGCATATGATTTCCTCGGAAGCGATGTGCCTTTTGTTTCCAGAGAAATTTAAGGCTGGTTTTCATATATCGTATTTCGACTCATTTTGTCGCAATTCAGGATCCGTATTTTGTCGGGATTTTTTCCGATGAATTACGTCGAATTACGTTGAATTACGTTCTATTAGGATTATTACGATAGGTGGTTTTCATAAAATTTGGTCGGTTTCTGAATTGCGAAGAAATACGTCGAAATACGTTATATAAAAACCAGCCTTTAGAAGCCAATCGATAGTATTGGGTAAATACCGTCATTTCTTTTTGGGATATGAAATATTTTTCAACAAACATTTTTTAAGTATAGTATAAATGGTAATAAGATGGTGGAGAGGGAGGGGGAATGGAAAATGAATGCAGAAAAGTGCAGTAAAGGGATCTTTTTCCCGAGGGGCAAATCACTCCAAGAAAATCTCGTACACCTTTTGTTAAAATCCTATTGTTTTATCCGAAAATCCCTGGAAATCCTTTTGTTTTAGGGAAAATCTTGTACGCTTTTTTCAATAGGGAATTGCCCCTCGCTTTTTCCAATGGATATATCCATCCGTCAATAAGTTTACAATAATATTTGTTTGTAACGTTTACCAAATAATTTTTTGGTGAGAGAGTTCCGTGTATCAATTTTCCATATTTTGACTCCTGATGTTGTTATAAAATTATGTTTATATTTAGTCCTAGTTTTTGTGAAAGAAAATTTGCCAGAAGTTGCTTGGCGTGTTTGCATTTTATGTCTGTCCTTGGATAGTTGAAAATAAGTACTGAAGAAATCTTCGCAGAGCCCTTTTGATATGTCAAACATGAATTTAGCGCATTCTAGGTTAAACGTGTCTTCTAGGTTTAAGGAGTTTGATTTCTTAAAAAGTGGCCTAGAGTGTACAGTTTGTTTTTCAAAGGATATGATTCTTGCAGCTTTCTTAAGGCTTTTATTTAGAGGGTCAGGTATTGTAGCACAGGCCCCACCCCAGTTTTATTATTTTGCAACCCATACGATTTGAATAGACTATAGAAATCCTCTGAAGTGATTTTTTGTTTCCAGAAATCCTATTGTTTCGTCAGAAAATCCCTGAAAACTCTTTTGCTTTTGTGCAAATCTCGTACGTTATTTGCAAGAGTGAATTGCCCCTCGGGGAAATGCATCGTAAAAATACCATATTTAATTTATACTGTCACAACATCCATAAATATGAAATATTTTGATATCTGAAGGTTTTTTAAGTTGTAGGGGCCTTGTCTAAAAAGGGTAAAAGCCCGCTGGAGGGGGGAGGACTGGACAAAAAAAGGAATTAGACAGAAGGGATACTCTTATCGGTTTTCTAACCTAAAGCAAACGATAGATATTCGAAATTTCCCCTTAAACCTCGTCCTCATTCGACCCACTTCGCCATGACATGGCCGTGCAGTTTCGGCGATTCCTTGTTGGAACTGCAGGTTCGGTTGGTCTTAGGCAAGAATTCCCTCTATGTTTAAAAAAATATTCCAAGAAAGATACATGCTAAGTCTCTCAGTTAACGAATGCACTAAAATTTTCAGGCTCCACTGTGCAGGAGTTACCCTTCTGCCTTTTTCTGCTCTGTTATGAGGGTCAACCAAAGCCCTGGTAACAAGAATTTCTGGATTGACAAATTAATTTCTCGATTATCATTAATAATTTTCGCCATCATCATCATTATCATCTTCACGATCTTTAGATATTCATTCAGAATACGTTTTCAGGTATGGAAGCTATCATGGCAGAATTCTTCAACGACACAACCACGAGTTTCTATGTTATCCTGATTGTGTGGGCAGCAGACCAGTTTGACTCGATCTGTTGTCATACCAGACTTAGTCAGAAATTCTGGTTAAGGTAAAAACTATGTTTATGTAAACCAGTTGCGTGTCTAAGTACGCCAGGGTAACATAAGCTGGGGCTGTAGGGGGTATAGCGGGAAAGGGGTTCGACCCCAGGCACCTAGGATAAGTATTTTCGAGCATATCTATTACTTAAGCTTAGATAAGAGGTTGTATCCTGAAAGCATAATTATTTACAAGCTAGTTTGCGAGAGGTATCTTAAAATTCATGCCTAATGAGAAAAGGGTTTGTAGAAATTTCATGGGAGGGGGGGCGCAATTGACTTACTAAGGTTATAAAATACGGTTGCTAAATCGTTAAGAATAACAGTTAAAACACTGTTAGAAATAGGACAAAGTTTTCGTTTTAATGCCATACCTATAAACCAAGACCGTTTTGTCAGTTGTCACCTACCATTTTACTCCTAAACTTTTATTTTCAAGTGATTAAAAATCGAATTTAAAGAGGACGATTTTCTGAAAGTATTTAGAGATTTCCAATTAACCTGAAGATTGAAGCAGCATTTTGTGCATTGAAGTGATTTGTTAGGCGTTGATCTAATCTATCTGTGCATCTTGTAGGTTCTTCTACTTGTATCATTTCCTGTTTTACGCCTACCATTATCGCTTCAACGGCCAGTATAGCACCATTGCACTGGCGGCGTCGTGGTTCTTCATTCAGGTATGCCTCAATATTTTTCACTAGTTTTCTTTGTATCCTAGCAACAATTGGAATCGCACACTTAATCCTGTTTTTTGCCAATGTTAAGTTCAGTTTCCTGTCTACTTTAAACTACACCTGTTGAGTAGTGAATCCCATTTCTATCTTGCAGAAACATGTACACTCTTTTTTATAAGAACCAGTAAATTTGAGTTCAGGCTCACTGTTCTAATTTTTTTCGAAAAACTGAGGCTGGATTGTTATTAATTCGTTCTTAAATTAAGAGGGTGTAAGCAGTGCTATTGCTAGCTTTTTCGCTCTAAGGAGGTGTTAAGGCCTCATTTGCCAACAAAGTGAGACATCAGACAGTTAATTTGCTGACAAATTTGAATATTTACCGAAAAAGCACCAACACATCGCTAAAACTCCTAGATTTTAAGAAAAAACGTTGTTCAAAATTGCATTTTGCAGATGCTCAGCCCCAGCTTGTTCTAAATTTGTTCTTAACTCTTGACCAGTTTTGAGGCTCGTGTTCTTATGAAACTGTTCTTATAAAAAAATTATTCTATTCCCTATTTTGTCTCACCAAGGATCTAGTAAATTGTTATATTTGTGTGAAAAATAAGAATAAATCCATTGAATTTGAAAATTATTAGAGGACTGTATGATATTTAAGACGTATGGCTACTGAACCTTGGAATTGTGGGATGAACCAAGGAAATAATTTGTAATAAGTGAGGAATACTACTAGGAAGCCACCTTTGGAGAAAGGGGGGGGGGAATAAAAAGTGTTCCGTTCGTGGTAATGTATTAAATTTCTAACCTTTTTCAGACAACTATTTTTCGAAGTTTTATTTCTCGTATCATTCGCATCTTCTTTGTTGGACCCCCTGACCAGTGGCGTACCCAAGAGGGGAATGGTAGGGGGGGGTCCGGACCTCCCCACTTTTCTAAAATATGGTCCTCGAGATTTGTCCAAAAACGATGTAAAACTCATTGGGGGGGGGGTGTAGTATACTGTATGCTTGTGTCAATAACAATTGTAAAAGCATTTGCTATTTACCGTAGCTAACATGAATCAAATAATGGGGGTGAATTTTGCAAAAAAGGGCGTTTCCCCGCATTTGCGACTGCTTGCAGGGCGTGGTCCCAAAAAAATTTCCTGGGGGCTGAGCTACAGACCTCCCCCCACTACTGCAGCCCTGGGTACGCCACTGCCCCTGACTTGTCTCCTTTGCAGCCTCGTCTATTCTGGGCAAAAACTCTATAAACGAGGACACATAAACTGACTAAATAATGATTTGGAAATACCATGCTTCCCTTTTTAAACTCTATAGCCTAACGCAACTACAAAAAAACCAAAAATTTCAATCGCTAGTTAGCTTAATTTGTGAGTGTTATATATGTTTACTGTACTGATATGCCTTTTCATAGCATTCGATGCTTTACTTCCTGCACAATTACGAGATACCGGCTATCGAAGCGGCATTGAATGCACAAGGCGGTAACTACCTTGATGATGCTGTTGACCTGCTTGTCGACGAAATGCAATTTCCACCGATACCGGACCATGTGAATGCCCAGCCTGAAAATGGCAATGCACAACCTGAAAATAGCAGTTCACAACCGGAAGACTCAAATTCACAACCTGTAATTGCGAGTTCACAACCGGAAGATGGAAGTACACTTCTGGAAATTGCAATTTCACAAGGGGAATATACAAGTCCTCAAACGGAATATACAAGTCCACAACCGGAAAATACAAGTTTACAACCGGAGTATACAAGTTCACAACCAGAAAGTTTAAGTTCAAAACCTCAATCCGCAAGTTCACAACCGGGAAATATCACGGTGCAGGATAATAATATCAGTGAAGCGCCTGGAAATGTTTACACAGAGCCAGTCATGGATGAGAATTCCCATCCCAGCACTGTTATGACAAAACGTCAGTCGAGTACGGATGACACGCGGATTGGTACAGATGCAGAGGTTAATTTTGGTGTTAATTGTAGTCAATTTGAAAAAGAGTCTTTTGGTGTGCATGAAGGCAGTGTAAACGAGGACTGTGCTTTTGTAGAGATAAAGCACACAGCTGTTGCATCCATAAACGTAAAGGAAAGAACTCCACTTGAAAATGCTTATGAAAGTAACTTTTCCCCTCTGGAAGAGGGAAATGCTTTCGTTCAGAGGGACTTTGTCGCCAATAGAAGTGACAATGCCCTTTCGAATAAACAATCTGAAGATACTCAGGCTGTCCTGGCGTTTAATTTACCGCAGTCAGATGTCGATGATACTAATAAAGAAAAACAATTAGAATCAAAACATTCCTTGCAAAGCACTCTGGGCGAACATTCTCATGGCAGTGACGTCACATCACGTAGTTTTGATCATGTCAGTCAACTGAACAGTTCTGAGGATGAGTCTAAAAGTATTCATAATTTACGAAATAATGCAGATTAAGATTGAATTAACTTGCTATAGTAATCTCTAGTTTATCCCCAAATGTTTAAAATATATTGGTAAATCTGTTTGCTTTTGTTGAGATTTTGTTTATATTCTACTGTATATTATAAAATTGGTGACATTTTCTCATTGTCTAAAAACCTATGTCTTATCAGCCACTAGTCATTATTGTTTAAAATTATCACTTGGCCTTTCAAAGGACCCTATCAACACAGCATTTGGTTTTAATTGTAATAGGCCGCAATTGAAATATCATTCGACCCCCACCACCCTCTGACAGTTTCAACATAAAAATTGACCAGTTTTTGTCATAACCAATTTTTCCAGTAAATAAATTGTTTAAATAGTTTCAATAAATAGTTTTCAGAATCTCAAAGCATTTCGAATCTATAAAGTTCTTATCCCTCATTTTCTTAGAGTCGGAAGGGTGTTGTCGGACATTTTTTCAGGAGCTTCACTTCAAGCCTCTAATGTCGTTTTAATTGTTGTGATTAAATTTGTTTAAGATAAATGTCTCAATCCGATCAATAATTGCGCTTCAAAAGATCTGCATCATCTCCATTCTCTCCTGCAACAGTATTTGTAAATGTTCATTTTTGTCTTTACTGAATTAATCATTATCAAACACTGGTAAAAGACTTAAATGCTATAGACACAGATCTTATTATAAAGAATAATGATAATTTCATTATGTATTTATTTGCATTTGGTTAACCGTTTATTGCTTCAAAGTTACTCAATATTAACGTATTTACACAAATACTGTTAAACAATTCACAATCGCAACCCTAACCTGCCTTAAATTTAAACGATTTGCCAAAAATATGCAATGTTTTGCTGCTTTTAATTACATCACATGTGCTGTTCTAAAGTATGCTATACTACGCCTGAATGTTTCTGAATGAAAATGTATGAATATCTTTAAATTTCAAATTTTAACTAATAACGTCAATCATGCGCTTCTGCTGGTTCTGAGTACAAACTGCTTTTATATTGCTCTTATCGTAAAAGTTATCAAATTAAATTGTAATCTTCTAAAAACATCAAATTAAGAGTGGTGCCTGACGGTCAATGTGATATAACCGATAACGTTAGGTTACCTTCCTTTTAAGTGGATCAAGAATCTTGTCACCCCGCGAAAGGCACTTGCACGTTTTCTTGCTTTTATGAATTGAGATTTAAATTAGCTATCTCATTTCCCCTTGCAGTCAATAATCACGAAGTTTGTTCAGCTGCAGTAAGTACTATCTTGTATTTTTTCATAATCATTCCTTGGCGACTGGAAAAAAAGCAACTGCATGATATATATATTCTCACCAATAAAGCTGCTTTAATGAGAGCTCTTTGTAAAAAATATGCTGATGTGATTTTCAAGAGAAGTGGAACATGGATTGAACCTTGCAGTACAACGTGTATAATTCCGATTCACGAGTTCTAGGTAGCATTAATTCTGACCCCTTGTTTTTCAGATGCTACATTGTCAGAAAAATGTCACTGACTACCAGTGTCAATACCATCTTTATTGTGAGGAAGCCATTGCATACTACAAGTCTCAATCTGTTGAATTGTGTCACGAAAGGTTCTCATTGATATCACTTGGCTGCCTGGTGAAGAATTAAACAACAGGCCAATGGTATTGCTAAGTAGGTTTGTTGAGCAGGTCTAAAGCCAAAACCCGCAAACAGTTTTGTCTTAAAGACTTTTTAGAGAGCTTTGTGTAGAATTTCTGGCCCTCGAAATTTCCAGCCTTACCGAATGAAAGGAATTGTCGCAGCTTAAAAGAAGATTTTTAAACTCCCATGCTTTGGCTATGGCTATGCAGACAATGAGACACAGGATAGGCAAAGTGTCATTTGTGGGAATAAATGAGAAAACCAACGCAGCTGAATATCGCGTCAGGCTGACGGGATCAAACGAAACACGCTGTTGAGCTGAAAAAGTTTTAAAAAGCTATTGCATATGCAGAGATGATGACAGACTCTGCTGTTGCCTGTTTTAATGACAGGTTACACTCATTTCTTTTATAAGAAACTGGCTATAAGAAACGAGTACTGGACAGTCAGAAAAAATTAAGAAACTCCAGTACTCGAAGCCAAAAAATTAAGAAACTATTAAATCTTGCTGAAAACTGAGAACAACGAAATTTTGTAAAATCCAAGAACATGATTGCCCTGTTGGCCAAGAACTTAAGACACAAGTGATGAAAATATACTTCCCACATCTAAATACAGCATCAGAAAGGAAGCGAATCTCTTGACATGAAAAAAAGGTCACGAACATTTTATAACATCATTCATGACATCATAATTAAGAAACTCTTAAGAAACAATGAGTATTGAAATTTCCAGAACATTAAGAAACTGGAGTACTCAACATCGACCTTTGTTTCTTATAAAGAAAAATGATTGTATCTATCCCTCGCATTTCATTCAACCAACATGAGATTCATGCTTGTAGGTAGAAGGGTAACGTTTACCATTTAGAAGATTAAGTTTTTTTTGATGAACAAATAATGATTACGCAATAAGAGCCACCTACAGGGAGCCCCATTTTCTTGTATTTGTTCCATGTTTTCCTGCGTTTTTTTCTTGTGTTGAATGTGTTTCAAAGTATCGCACAATCTTTTAGGCGATGCAATACGGTGTAAATAATACCTTCTAGTACATCAGTGTAAGCCATGTGAATAATCTGTTATTAAGGGCTATGTACAGGATCAGGTTTGCAGTTAGTCTTGGCTTCAGGTTTGCTTTTAGTTTTCAACTTAGTTTGAATAATAACACATGCTATGGACAATAGAAATTTTGTTTTTATTTTCAAGAAAAGAATGATGTAGAAAGATTTCAAAATTATTCTCACATAATTTAGTTATTAGAAACGAACTTTCTGCAGATATTTAAACTTTACTAAAAAAGGTTGCATAATCACTAAAAGAAGCTTCGTACGTAAAATAGGTCTATTTTACTGCTGAAGAAATTATATTTTGCAAACATCTAATGGTTTTGTATTGTGAAGCTTACTGTATGACGATTTTACTATATTTTCCAAAATATTTGTTAATGTCCTTATGACCAAGCTTACTAAATTTGCAATTTAAGGGGCTAGTCGCAAGACCATAGACGTGGGTATTTACATCAAATTATGTAATGTTTTCTCTCTGATTTATTTTACAATCATTAAAGCATCCAATAACCCTCTTTTTTTTCATTCTTAGCGTTCAGTTCTGTAAACCCATCTTAGAGTTGCCGTGCACCATCATCGATACCTCCTTTGCATAACATGTTTGCTCGTCATTTTCTGAAAAAGGATCTGAAAGGATTTATTATTCGATGATTGTGTTACTTTGTTCTTTTTAGATGGCATAGTAATCGGACGCTTTAAACCAACCGCATCAGTTTATGCCGTGGAAAACCGTAACGGGGTATGTTAATGTATATTGTTTACTTTTTGCTGGACTTTGTTGTGTGTACATTTTGTTTCATCCGAGCTTTGGTTAGGGTGTTTTGTCAAGTCTGCCATCAGGTCCGTTCATCCACTCTAAACGGTGGACTTAGGATCATTGACCCTAAAGGGGACGCAGATACACTACAGATATAGTTGCGTATTCTAGAACATCAAATGGCTTAAGTAGACATAGGAGAGAAGCCCAGGGGGAAAATATCTGTTGCAGAAAGTGATATCTTCGATGACTCTTATATAGGGTATCTTCAACTTCAATTAATTTTTTCATTATCCAAGAACCAGTGTAACATTTCCTTTTCAATTCTGTTAAAGATTTCCTTATCTTCTGAGCCAAATCCACCGAATGACAAGAAGGCTGTGGGGCTGTAGTTGCAAAATCGTGGCCTCGCTTCGAATAAGAGGTTCCACACGGGAAAGCGAAAACTGGTTCACCAGTAGACACACCTTTTGTTTCTTATTTTCCGACTTCACTTACTCAAGTTTCTTGGCAAACTTTCATACAACTAGAGTGGCTCATATTAAGAAACTGGTTTGTTCGTTGGTATGAGCCTTATTTTTTGTTTTGCAGGTGCACACACACGGACCAAATAGGGAATGCAATTAAAAAATACAAAAAAGTTAAGCGTGATTGATGATGGCTGATCAGACCACAGCTTATTGTTGGTATGTATCACAGGTTTGTTTATGTTTGTTTGAATTTACCTTTATAGAATTAGAGAGATACTATTTGCAATAATGTTTTTAAAAATGTCGCAAAAGGGTATTCCTCGTGTTTCCCCTTTGATTTTGAGATAATTTGAGATCTCTGTGGCAGTGCAACTTCTGATTTTTCATTACTTCTAATAACATTTATTTACGCCCTGCCATCTCTCCATATTGACCAGCCCCGACAGTTGAATGCTTCTTCAAATATTTTGAAATAAATCCAAGTTATATGCGGTGGCAATACGTTTCTGTATTGCTTACCGAACAATTACAATGTTATTAATATTAGATAACTTAGATAACAAGTTAGTTATCAAATAAACGAGGGCTATTTTTCAATGCGACAGATTATTCCGCCATTTTGGTATTTTTGCTGTTTCTTCTTTGCTTGAATTCAATTCCACATTTCACTTTTCGATCCGGTGGTACTTCATTTGTGGTCGTGTATTTTTTGCTCAGAATATTCTATTTAATTTATTTTGATGACTTTATCTGTATAAATGTTTTTCTTAATATGACTGTCACTTTTTTGCTGCTCATCTTGTTCAACTTTCCTTGCCGTTTCTTTGTCAGAGACACGTTGCTATTGGAAATTCTAGTCATACCCGTTCCTCTTCCATGTGTCCATACTTTATCTAGACAACTTCCAAATCTTTAGCAGATGCATCTGTATACGGTGAATCTTTTAACTTTTCACACTCTTTACTATCTCTTTTACTGTACTACAGCTCCTCTGAAATTTTAATACTTTCTGTACTAAAGTTTTGTTTCTGCATTCTGGCTGTTAAAAACTGCCCTTGTACTGGTTTAAATTTACTATATGTCTACAAAATATTAAATAAATTTAAATAATTGTTATGAATTACGAAGCAAATTCGGACATCAGTTGCCGCGCCATCCAGTCAAGTCCTTCTTGTAAGCCTTTTCCGCTGTGAGCATCGGAGCCTAAAATGTTCCAGCTTCTTCCACAACATAGTTTATGCAAACCAAGTCTTTCAGAAAGTTCCTCAACACCAAGCGAAGTGGCAACGTCCTTTCAAAAGACAAACAAGCAATTTCAGATTAACTTCTCCTAACATGACGTCATACAATTGTTATCGCTCAAACTTGTTATATCGAAACAAAATTTAGGCCTTATTGGCATAATGAAAACTTATTTGCGTATCTTCGATTTATTGGACTAATGGGCATGTTTACGTTCTCCACTCGAAGACATGTGACCCGTCCAACCTATAGTTATCTGTATAATACTCTGTTAAATAAATAAAAACTATTTTTCATAAATTTAATCACTCTCTTCGCAAAAGATCAACCAAGCTTGGTTCTATTTCAGCCCATTGAATGATCATATCACAAACCTGTTTATTCGCAAACACGAGAATCAAGGCATCTTTCAGCCTCTTTTCCGCCATCAGCTTTGCAAGTTCTTCGTGAGCTTCGTTTATTCTTTCTCTGTTAGCACTGTCCACGACAAATATGACAGCTGTAAAAAATAAAAGGAAAATTAGACGAGAGTTTTGAAGAGATAAATGGGGAGATAAAGAAGAGAAAGATTTGATAAAAAAGGGCAGAAGCAATGAACCGAAACGGAACGGAAGAAATTTCCAAAGGGAAACTTGGTTGCTTTGTGACCTTCACTCCCCTTCCAATAAAATTAGAAATTGCAGTTGACAGCTAAGAAAAATATCTTTTGAGCTTCTAAATGACTGCTCGAAAATGGGAAAATGCACTGCGATCATCCACATGCAACGAGGGAATTTCTTTTCTATAGATTATCATGAACATCAGTAGCTGCATATAAAAGAGGGCAGCAAGAATGACATCACATTCTCGTGTTCGTGCGCTGGTACCTGTGGCTTTGTTGAGAAATAAAAAACTAAAAAATAACATATATTTTTTCCTTCTCGTCGAAAGAAAGGAAATTTTGAAGTTAAAAATATCGTTTTTAGTTATACACATACTCAAAAACCTGCATCTGATTTAGTCAGGCATTTAAATATTAGCAGTGTAAAGGTCTTTTCAAAGTGATTGTTGGTAGGAATTTCAAAATTATTTCGGAGGACAATTTTCAGGAGGAGGAAGTTTCTGCTGAATAAAAAGCAAGATTTTTCTGCATTAGAAACGTGTACTATTGCTGAAAAACTTTTTGTCTTGTTCAATTAGCTAGAAAAAGTTTTTGGCCTTGTACCCACTTATTTTGACATTCATAAGCAACCCCCTTCATTTTTCACTGAACACATCGAGACGAGGAAGAGAAAAGGTGGGAAGGAAAAACGACAAGTCCAGGCAGCGTAGAAGAAAAAAATTATTGACCCTGGGCTGTATAAGGAAGTTGCGAGAGTAAGGGTTTTTGAATAAACATACCTTGCGTATTCAGGTAATAATGTCTCCACAATGGTCGTAATTTCTGAAGCCCACCAACATCCCATATAGTGAATTTCATACTCTTGTGCTCAATAACTTCAACATTGAATCCTGAAAAGTTTCAATTTTCGCTTAACAACAAGAAATTAGCAAACCTCTTTCTGAAAAAGATTTCAGGCAACATTTCTATTTAAGAACCTTAATTGAACAGGTTTCTGCTTATCTGTTATACGTATACCCGGTCATACAGTTATACACAGCCTAGATTATGTTTCTTCTTATGGAAAGCACCAGAAGGGTGAATATAGGAAGATATCATATATCAACACATTAAGGATATATTATCGAGTATCAAGACCATTTTTTCAATAGAAAGAGGTCAATCCATGGTTGTCTTAAATCACTTCCTTCATATCATATCGGCATTCATACTTCATTATATCTTAAAGTTTTACTTTCAAGTGACAGATCCAGTGTCACTTTTCTTATTCTACTAATTTCCGCCAGGAATGTCACGACAGGTTTTGGAGACAAATACAACATTGGTAGGGACAGTTGGCCACTGGGCAATAAAAAGACAATATTTGTTTTTAAAACCTCTTTGAAGCATTTGAAAACTTTCACCATCTAGGCTTCCCTTAGCACCTGATGAACTGATTCTCACCGATGGTGGTTATGGTGGAGACAAATTCGTCTTGCTTTAATTTAAATAGTATGGATGTCTTTCCAGCATTGTCCAGTCCCAAAGCGACAACCCGCATCTCCATTTTTGGGCCTATGTGCACCCTATTATCTTTTGTAAATGCAACTGGTATGCTTGATCCTTCATTGCATAGCTCAGCCAAATCAACAAACTGTCGCTGTTGCTCCTGCACAGTGCCCAACAAATTAAGCACACCAGTTCGAGCTTGAATCACCTACATGTAATGAAATAAATGATGAAGCTGGTAAAACAAGGTATAGCTATACGTGGATATCCAGGGAGCATTCATATTTGGAAATTTTGGGCTGCTAACAGGTTAACCGAATAAGCAAACTAAGTTCACAAGGCCTATCAGGCAATATTGACTATTCTATATTGATAAGAAAAAACTGACAAAAATATTTTTTCTCTGCAGATTTTTTCTCAGATTTTTTCGCAAAGTTATTCTCAAAAGATTATTGTCTGCAATCCAAAAATGTAAAAGGAAATCGATTCAAAAAAGAGGTATTTTGGGTTCCAGGCTACTGCTTTTTACACTCTGTATGGGGGTATACACATCCTGAAATAAAAACTGATACATTGTTCTTACTTGCATCATTCACAGATAAACATCTTCTAACACGGGTCAATTGGCAAATACACTTACGCTCGAAAAGTATTGCACCACTTCGAAGAACGAGTAATGGCAACGGAGTTTTAAACAATATGACCTTCGAAATTCAAACCACTTAAGTTTAAATTTTGAAAATAATATATTTTTAGAATTGTAAAATTGTAAATTTTCTATTGGCCAGTCTCGAAGCTTTGAAATCTTTGTACTTTGTACGAATTTAATCAAAAACTGTTGAGACAGGTCATTATATATGCCAAAGGATGATTTTGAAAAACTATTCGGAAGATCACATTGAGGTGTCTGAGATCACAAATGATCATTACTGGCCTTGAATCCTGCAGAATATGGCACTTTATGGCCGTTTTTTAATGTGGACTCTTTCGATGCCATTCAGGCACTTGCGTGTCTTTGTTTCTGACTGTTTTTCGCACAAATTTTGGTATTTTTTTTCAACGAGGAGATAAAATATTGTGTTTAGCAATTTACAGCATCATTTGTTCTCTAAACAATATCGCAATGGACTGGAAAACATTAAAGTAAAGACTAGTAACATGTTTCATCGATTGAATTCTTTCGCAAGGTGCTACGAAATGGTCTTCAAAATTAGGCCCATTGCAGTGCAAAAGACGTGCAACCTAGACTTTTAAAACATTCTTTAATATCAGTCAGGGAAATTAACAAATTTGGGCACCCTAGCATAAAGTGAGTATCTTCGAGTTCGCGTTAATAAAATCTTATAAGTTTGTGCCGAGAAAAATATTTTCTATTGTAACTATTCCATAGATATACTCCTATCATCACAGCTCACTTTTCGTGTTATCTCGGTGGTCGACATGGTTTGGAAATAAGAAAATATAAAGCGTATTTTCTTATTTTTCATTTTCATTGATATTCCTTTATGAATTTCCATTATTATCCACTCAAACAGTAATCTTAAAACATTTATTTAACTTGATCTAGCTATTTGAATTTCGGTTAGCTAAAAAAATTTTTCAGCAGTGCGGCTATTTTGTGGTGGATAGTGCAATACTGTTCGAAACGTAAGTTTACATGTAATAAGAACAGACTTGCATTGTTTCATTGATAAACATTCATTGAAAAAGGAATTAAGCCTACCTCAGCATCATTCTTTTGAACTGAAGTTTCGCAGTCTGCACAAACTGCTGACATCTAACAAGGGAAGAATTAGTAGAGATTACCACATGCAGTCAATGTAAGTGGCATGTAAATGGGCACTTAGAATGAGCAACAAGAATCTAATGGAATACAATCAAAATATAATGATCATGACGGTATTGAAAATAGAAATGAGCAGACCTTAAACAGAATCTAACATTCTGACCACAAACTGCATGAAACGGCAAGTCAGGAAATTTTAGTTCCCATTTTCCGACAAACTGTTTTCTTGACAGAAAGTACTTTGACTTTACCATGATAAAGAGAAAACTATATCAATTCAATTCTACTTCTCTGAAGCAACTGATTGAACACTCATGTCTTTGCAGCAGATAGCTTTTTAGAATGCATCAAAATTGGAAAATTTCCATCAAAGGTATAAAAAGGTTCAGCTGAAGCAACAAAAAAGGATATGCGCGAATAAAGGAGAGGCCATGATAGCAGGCTGCTCGATGGACTCCGGAGGAAATCTTGCGGCGAAAAATCGATAAAATAGTAGTGTATAAAGAACACCGCAACGCGACGAGAATAAACAACAACAAACACACAAATCAGTGATGGCTGGTTTGTGTGTTTGTTGTTCGTCGCGTTGCGGTGTTCCTTATACACTACTAAAAAAAGATAGCACTGGAATTTATTTTAGGAGCTGTTCAGTAAACAGTATCAGCTTGATTTATATTTGCCAATCTACTTTTGGACTTTTCAAAATAGATCATCACTAAGACATAATAGGCAACAAATATGATTTTCATATGTTGCGTTATACATCAAGAAACATTTCATTACCTGAGACATGAAAACTGCAATATCTTCTTGCTGCTGCCTAAGTGAGCATAACTTTTCACGAACATAATTATTCACTACTGACAGGCCAGCCTCTTCTTGCTTATTGATTGTATCCCTTAAGTCATCAAAGTAGGCCCTCACTCTAATTCTTGCATCTTCTGCACTTCCAAGAACAGTATCAGATACAAACATACCTGATTCATCTTCCCTCACAATTACACTCCCTAGTTAGAGAGAGAAGAAATGCCAAAACCAAAGCAAATGTCTAAGCTTTCTCAACACATACATTTTTTAAACATGTTTCTCAACATATATTTTAATTTTCCTATGAATTAAACCTTGAAATTTTTCAATGATATGGTGTAAGATCTAAAAAAGCTTTTGAATGTTTCAAGGACATTAAGTAGGAGCAATAAATTTCTAAAACCCAGATAGAATAATTGGTAACCTATCATTGCAATCATAAAAACTTCTTGAAATTTCTTTTCTTGGTGGTGTGCAAATTTTTGATGATTTTCCTTTAAAATTTGATCAATTGGACCACTTTAAAGCAAATTACCCTTGAAATCCAAATATGTAATGATCGATATGGATATGATAAGTACAAACCTTCGATTTCATTAATAACCTTCACAAGCCTTCTTGTGTAGTCAGATACCTCATTATAAAATTTTTTGACATGTTTAATAGCACTTTGAACAGAAGATCTCACTCTTTCTGCTTCAGTTTCTAATAATGAATGTTTATGTCCTTGATGTCTTCCATAATCTTTGCAAATGTAACACATAAGAGGAGTTTCTCTGCAGCCTTCTTCTAAGCATGTGAATTCCAGAACATGACTTGGATGAAATGGACATGGTGGATTTCCTAAGAAAAAAAGTTACAAAACGAATGAATAGGCCAATCACTTTATCTGAAATGGATACAAAAGAGTAATTTGTAATTGGTTAACTATTAAGCAAAATGAAAAGGTTTGATGAAAGTTATCAATAAAGCCATAAATGTACAAGTTTGAGAAAAAAATAACCAACAATTTAGAAATATTTAGCTCCAAGTGTCAATCATGATGATGAATAAGGTGCAGATGGGAAATTAAGCACTAAATAGTTTACCTTTAGGCTTCTCACATAGTGGAACTCTTTTATGCTTTGACAGTGTTTTTGTTGAGTGTGTGTTTTTTGAGCATTCTTCACAAAGATGGGTTGAACATACAAGACAATATATTGAAGCTAAATGTTTCTCATTTTCATCACATCGGATCTTCTCCTTTGCTTCCTCATCATCATCATGTGATGTTTCATGCTCTTTTCGTTCAAGTTGAAGCCTCTCAAGTAAGTCCAGGAGAGCAAAATTTTTCTTCAGGCCCCAAATGCCAGAGTCGCCAACATTGGTTGGTTCCCTGTCAAATGGGCACAACAACACTTGTCCTCTTACTGACAGTTTGGACAGACATTCATGACACAATGAGTGCCCACATGACAACAGTCTTGGTACTTTGTCTCCATGCAGCATGAAAACATCCTCACAGATTCCACATTCTAGTGCCTATATGAAGGAGTTAAAAGAATATTCATGCCAAAATTCAAGTCAGTCAGACCTAAATTGTCAACTGGATAGTGTTGGTCATTCAGCTTCACTTAGAATATGGGTGACCTTGGTTTGGATCTGATTGTTAACATTCTACTATCAAAACTTTTCTTCATGCTACAGGGACATTTGGGGGGGGGAGGGGAAATCAGTACAAATTAAAGGAGGAGCTGTTGGTATGGGTGCTGAAAAATTTGTTTTTTCTTCATTTCACAGAGACATGCATATGATAGAAGTACTTATTGAGGCCAAGTGAGTAGGTAAAAATATCAGACAGAGTAATTGTATAAAATTTTCTTATAGTAGCAATTATTTTTATTGATGAAGATTTGGAAATTGTCATGTAAATGCTTCAGATATATGTAAACTCTCAGAGATGGTGCCACAAGATTGAGCCTGGGAGGGCTAGGAATCAAGTTTGGTGACATAGGATGACCCATGGGTTGGGTCTGACGTGAAAAAAAGTTTTTTTAAATTAAGCCTTCTAGAATAGCTAAAAATGCTATCTGAAAAAGTGGAAGGGCTTCAGCCGCCCAGCCCAACCCCCTCCCCCCCAGTGGCGACGTGCCCGACCCTTCACGTAACGTTAACTTGTTTTTCTTGCTGCTTTTGAAATGAATGACATTTGAATTTGATTTCTGGTATAGAAGTACAATTTAAAAGATTTGAATATGCCAGCCTTTTACTACAAACCTAAATGTATTCTACAATGTTCACTTTTCAGATTTTTTATGAAAAGCTGCAGCATTTATTTCTATATCCGAAATAATAAACAATAAAACATTATATATACTATAAAAATTGAAGTTTGTTAACTATAGTTTATGGGTACTACTTGCTTAAGTAGGGTATTTCGCGAATTCGTTAAAAGGAATATATTAAACTTGCATTATTTTTCTTTGTCTTCGCATGCACCATCAGGCTAAACCCCGAAGGAGACGGCAGCGAAGCCATTTTTGCATCAGGTGTCCTTTACACAAACTACAAGTCACTCCATGTTTTTGTTTTGATCTAGAAAAAATGCTGCCACCTTTACTCAATCCCCTTAAGGAGCCCACGCAGGGTAAAGTTATCAAAACAATTTGCACGTGCACGTGTATTGCTAAACTAGTAAAAACGTCCAAATCTTTGGAAGTTATTGTTCAGAAAGATAGAATGCAGATCATGAGATTTAATTTCTGTCAAATTGTTTACCAAACAGGTAACGATCACATGGCGACGATTACTGACATTCACGAGACATTCCGTGTTGTGTCACCACGTTGAGAAAACAATACGACTGGGGTCATGTGAGCAATTTTCATATATATATTTGTCATATGCCACCCAGTCGAACCACCTTCTAAACTGGCTGCCGTTTGCAAGGGGAGCTCTGTAAACTTTAAACATGATGCTTCCGTATGCAGTACTAATAGCCATTTTAGGCCTTTCCGTCTCGCATGGTTTTGTTCTCCAACCATGGGCTGGAAATACTGGCTGCAATGATCCAAAATATTGGTGCCAGAGTATTGAAACTGCAAAGGAGTGTGAGGTAAGTTACATGCTTTTTTATAATAAATTTTGGCCAAGGTCTAGCACTGGAAATTTCTTACCGATGGCCAAATTTTGGTACTCGAAATTCCTTGGCATTTCCTCAAATTTATTGTTTCTTTAAAGTAATACCAAGATAAAATAAAAAAACCCTTGTTTATCTTGATAATACTAGTAACAAGTAAGTGGATTTAGTTTCATAAAAATATTAGAAGATAAGTAAAAATGAATGATTAAAAATTTTTTGCAGTGCATTGAAAGGTTTAACACTTCCAACTTCCAAAGATTCTTATCCAGCAGTGTTAAAAAGTACAAAAGTTTTTAAATTTCTTCCTATTAGAGCACTACCTTCCCAAACGAAACATTTCCTTTTTCAAAAAATTTGTGTAGCTATCACTATTACTGTTTTGCATAATTTGCATCTAATCTGATTCTAGCTTATGCCTTTTAAGTTATATATACAATCTTATATTTAATCATATCTTGAAATTGGGGCATATTTTGTAAAAAGAGTTTCAATTATTAATATTCTACCTGAAAACAGGTGCTAGAGTACTGCCAAATTGGATGGGAGAGGAGCCAAACGAAAGACCAGACTGGAAATATTGGTATCAGAAGCCCAAAACCAGATGCATCACCAGTTAAAGTTACCCTTTACTACGAATCTTTGTGCCCTGACTGCAGGTGATTGTATTTTCAAACCATAGTTTCTCACCCCCTTTATGCTAGACCTATAAAACACTTTGCCTTCACATACTATTTATATAAGTAAATATATTATCAGTATTTTAGATATATGTAGATGTAAATGGCTTTTAGTTCATTATTTCAATCCAAACTTAGCAGTTCCCAAGAAGCAGGTTTTAGCCAATTGGCAGACTTACAGGTTCTTTGGCCTTTGGCCCATGAGCTGGATAACATGGAATCCAAGACAGTTCTTTGTCCTGGGAGAGAAGATGATGAAAGCTAATATTAAACCACCTTTGTCAGTCCCTAACAATATTTTGTATAGGCAACTAAAATTCAGTTTTGAAATTGTAGATTGGTGTCAGGGGCAGAGGCAGATTGGCCCACAGGGACACCTGAAAATTTTCCGCTGCGCCCTTTGCCTCAAGTTTTTTTTTCAAAAATCTTTAATTGATTATAGACCAGGCGGAAAATGAGTGAATGTTCACCAAGAGCGAAATTTAAGGGACCAAGTGCTTTTGGTCAATACGAGGGTGCTGATTTCGAAAATTTATGTTATGCGGGGATTTGGGGGGGCCATCAGCCTCTTTTTCATGTTTGAAGTCTCTTTTTTGCGTAAATGAAAGTAATCAATGAAAAAACAGTTTAAATGGAAATAATTTAAAGTCTTAAAGTAAATTAAGCATATTTCTTGCCCATTAATGCTTGAAATTGAATTATGGGTGCCAAATACCTGTTAAGGGGGCCAAAAGCCTCGTTTTCATGAGAAAATCTAAAAAGCTTAATACATCTTATGTTGGGACTAATTTTTGAATTGTCATCCGAAGGAACTATGCAGTGCTATTAATTACTAACTGATAAATAACACTATGGAAAAAACAACTCGATCATCTAAACGTAGTTTAATCGTTTCAGAGTTCCTCAAGATCGTCTTCTGAGTCACTGCACACAACATTTTAAGCGTAAAACTCTTTTTCACTCCGGAAATAGAATCCTCATTCACCCTAATCATGAACTAGTAAGCCCAACTGAAGCATCAAACCACCTTGAAAATCATAGAGATATAATTTGCATGCAGCATATAAAGCCTTGTGCTTTCTTTACATGGCGGCAGAAGACTGAAGTTATGATCTCTTACTGTTATTCAAACTTCTGCACAAGCAATATGTGTCAGAGAAAACTCAAGATGTTCTTGTTTTCTATAAAATACAGGACCAAGTATAACTAGGAACATAGCTATAGCAAGAAAAAGCATGCAGGCCAAGTAATGCTTTCTTTTTCTAGAACTCATGAGACCATGTCTATTATTTTCCTTTGTTTTCAAGTACCCTGAGAATCTATGAGAATCTTTGTTCCACCCAATTCATGCTACAAGGATATTGTTAGAATGGTCACTTGCCCAGTTTTTTGAGAACTTCAACATGATCCTCTGTAACTTTGGTACACTGAAATTGGGGGGCCCTGCTAAAGAGTTGACTACGATCCTTAATAGTTGCAAGCTGAAAGGACTAAACAATACTTCTTTGCTTTCTTCATTGATATGGAAGCTGTTGAAGTCACATAGCACCTTAATGTCAGGACTCGTTAAGGTGTATAGCTAACTTCACCCCTCTCAACTCTTTCACAATCCTTTATATGCTGTTGTCCTTGTATTTGTGAAAGACAATCACAATTTTTGTGCACTGGTCTGGAATGGTAGCAGTACTGGTATTTCGGTCTCCATTTGTTTCTTGGTAGATTTAAGGCAAACAAAATATTTGGCTGCAGCAAGGTCCAAGCTGTACCTGTTCAGTTTCTCCGCAGGTGATAGTTCATCAGAGCTAACGATGGTCACTTGTGGCAGTTTCATGCAATTCATCTCTAACAGTCATTCTAATGGCACCATCTGCTGTGCTGAGAGGTATTGACATAGTTGCCTGCATCATGCTTGTTCGAGTGCACAACTATAAGACCAAAAATGTCTCTCTGAAAGCTCTTTTTTATTCCTTAATGTTCAGCTCATTTTCACTGACGAATCCTTGAAGGTTGCAACAACTTCGTTTCCAGTTCATTTAAAAATAGAAAGTAAGTATTTTCGAGGGTACTGTTCATTGGTAAATCCCGCAGACACTGTCAGGTGTACCCAAGCTCATTTGGAACGTTTCTCTGAGAGGGGTGGTCCTTTCCTTAAACTTAGGACAGGTAAACTTGAAAAAGGGGTACTTTTTGAATCTGCAAAAATCACTGAAAAAAGGTGCTTTCTACAACCAATGTAGACCACGATTGCTCTTTACCGACAATATCACAGGATCTCAAAGATTTTTTAGAAAGAGCACCACCTCAATTTGATTCAATACAACATTTGCAAGACAAGATTTTTGTTTGTATAAAGGTCATTTGCAACTTATAATAGAAATGTTGGCAGTTTTGCTTGACAATGTCTTCCTTTTTCACTTATCACCATTCTAGACAAACCTATAAACCAATGAAAATAAGAATCATATAAACTTCAGCATTCTCCAATAAGTACAGTTTTAGCCAAAGTAGTGCAACAGCATCATAGCAGAGCAGGAACTCCTGTTCACTTTCTTCTTTTGTATTTTGGTATTATATCTCAGTAAAAAGGGTATAAAAAGTTCACAAAGAAGTCAGAAGAAAGGGGTCTTTTTGTATTTCTCGTATGAGCATGGGTACACAACTGATTGAGAGTGAACAAGCTGGGCAATGATTAAGCAAGGTTTGTTGTGTATTTTATAGAAATCAAAGAAAATCT